TTTTGGGTTTTTGCTGGCGGCAGTCAACGACACTTTGAAGCACCGTGCCAATGCACGTGCTTCGAGGCTCTGTACAGAAGCCTGGCTCAACTGGCCTAGCATGATCTCCAGGTGCACTCGGCTTTCCTGCTCATCATGCTGAGCAATCAGCTCGAAGCAAACAGCTCAAGCACCGTTTGGATAAAAACCCATCAGATGCTTAGGCAAACAGCCGCTGCCTTGGAGAGCGCATTGGCTCAGGCAGGAGCAAAACAGCTCGGTGTCTTGACTGCTGCCACTTGCTCCCGAAAAATGACACAAATGATGAGGGAGACTTACCGATTTCAGGGGGGCTGTGTTAGAGCCCAGAACACTGCAGTTTGATCGAACAACCTGCGAGAACTAAACAGACACAAAGGTCGACAAAGTGACTCTTAATGCGAGCCACTTGAGGCTTTTAAGTCTGTCGCTCGTGTCCTGGACGGTATCGTGGTTCTTAAAGCAACCCAAGATCATGAGTAGCAAAAAAGCTACGAAGCCCCCTGAGCTAGAAAGACGAAGGACAGGGTTCACATCCCCAGAGTCCGCCTACCCGCTATACATGATAACTCTCGTAAAAAGATTCTCAATGATGCATGACATATCATTGAATGCCAGCTCCCCGCCAGCTCCAGTAGTTGTCTTTGTTCAATCCTAACGTGTTTTCCATTCACTAGTCGAAAGGTGCCCAATCTAGAGACTGACAAATTGAGCCCATGACTACCGCCCGTCCAAAAGTTACCTACTTCTGAACAAAGCGCCAGACCTGTGGTGTTTGGCAAATGTATGCAATCGATCGACAGAGACCTTGTGCTGACAGTTATAATTTTGTGTATTAGAAGCAAAGGGCAACCAACAGCAAAGACTTGCAAGACACTCTTCCGATCCTATGAATATCTTACCTGCCGCTTTCAGATCCTTGAAGCGTTCTTACCTGCATTTTGTGAGCCTGGAACAGGCAATACTACCTGAGCTGGAGAGGTTGGAGAGGATTACCTGGCACGCCACGAGTTCGCCCCGCAGACTGCGTGAAGACCCCAAGCCCAGTCGCGGTGATGCTCCGTCCAATGAACCTTGTTGACTAACGCCTGCCTGCACGGAAGACTTTTCAGCGTTTTGTTGATTTGTTGCACCGGCCCAGGCTCAGCTAGGACCTAGACAATAGAGTATCCCCAATAGAGTCTAGACTAGGAAATACAAGGCCATGCCACGTGTGCAAGGAGAACCAATGAAATGCAAGAACTGGGGATTGCGGCGAGGTGACGTGACCGTCACCAACCACCATGTCGTGACGCGGCCGGCCGCGTGAAACCGCGCGAAGGTACCGCGCCCGCGGCCTCAGTTAGACAACTTATGACTACTATGGACTTGGGATTTGCGGGCGCGGCCGCGCGGCTGCGCGCACGGCCGGCACACCACAGTAGTGCATGCCTGCGCGCCCGCTTGAGCCCTCCTCCAAATCGACGGACGCCGGTTGTGAGGCAGCGTCATGCTAGCAACGCGCCCCATAAAAGCCACGCGGTCACTAATTGCTAACGGCCGGTCCTGCTTGAAGCTGAAGGCGCAAAGCGCTTGCAAACACAAGCAACGAGCATGATTTTTTTCATCTTTTTCAAAGTTTCACGTTAGAACATTCCTGTACAGTCGTAACTCATGACTGAGCAAACTAATCCGTTGCAAAACAAGTCTAGAGCAAGCCGAGGACGGCTTTCAGGATGGTCCTGTCAATCAAGTTAGTGAGGCGGCGGCAGGCCGCCTGGCGCCCCGTCTGGCTCGCGCCTTCGTTCTGGAACGCCGCCGATCCGGGGGCCAGATCGGAACATTCCGCTTTGTTGAATGACCAGTGGTTGGTGGACAAGGCGGACCGAGGTCCCAGTCTGAGGTCCTACAACTGATACGGGGAACTTGTACCAAAAAATGAGTTGACTTCCACGAGTTAACTCCGAGTTAAAGCATCAATGGCCCATCCGCCTATTTTCTCGACTTCGTGGGGTAGCTCCGTTCTGTTCGTCACACGTAGACCTGCGCCTGGATCATGTTGTGCAATCAGATTGATCAAACCCGGCGCATCAGTTCTATTGTTGCGTCCAAAGGCAAAGCGCCTGCGTGCACATATTGGACGAGAGTGCCGCCCAGTCTCTTCCATCACCCTCCAGAATACATTAGTAAGACGGCAGGCCAGAGTCCTTCTCTGTTTCCTTCTCCTTCGCGACATGATTCTTCTTACGATCAACCTCACATCAGATTCTTTGCAGGAACGTACATTCTAAAAGAACGGGCGGCTTTCTCCATGCGTCGGAGCTTGACCGTTAACAGTAGAATTGACTGGTTAAAGCACCTCCCCGTGGTGAATTCCAAAAGCCCAAAGGCAAGTGCCGGGTGATTCTCGAGTAGCGCTTCCGGGTCTGACAAGCCTCGCCCCCAACATGCGCCGCCAAAGTCGTCTACCGACCAGCGGTGAGCGGAGTCCGATTGCTATCCGATGGATCCTCCAGGTTTGCTAGGTTCTGCTGACACTGCTCTGCCCGACCAGAATCAACTGGGCCCACGTGCAGTACTTGCAGCCTGTTCCGCACTCCCTTGAGTCCGGGGTTTCGCGAAAGAACTAGGGGGGCGAGCTGATCCGGCCCTTGAGAGACCGCCAATGATCATGACCAGCGACTTCGTCAGCACGAAATTGTTCTCAATCAACTTTGGCCGGCTGCCACGTCAGCCCAAAGATGACGAGCGCTGCAACAGTCAATGGGCATCAGAATACACGAAGAGGTTGTCATTGGCTTCCGTCCGACGGGCGCAGGCGTAACCAGTGAGCACGAATGTCGTTGGCAACATGCGTGGACCAGCTATTGTACAGGGGAACGAGGAGCCTTGGAAATACATGATGCTCGAAGCTGGATCGAAACAACGTGTCAAAATTAATTTGCTTTTCGCAGTGATGATGTTTGTGGACAATTTTTTTGCAGCCGACCGCCGTGAATGCAGCCCCGGTAAAATCACCCGGGTTGAACAGTTTTCCTTCACCCCAACTCATCTTTCAGGCCAGGAGGGCACTCAGACAACATCGACGTATTTGAACGTGGCATCCGTTGGCTACAAAGGGTGACGGACCTTGCGTCGAGTCTCGCGCTTTTCGAGTCAGACGGGAATTGCGGACCGGCACAGCTTGATGCCTCGCGCTGAGGTCTGATGTTTAGCAAGAGCTGAGAGGTCCAGGCAGCCGTAATGGTCTCCTAAGTTGGCCACGGTAGTCTCCTGACTCGGCCATTCCGGTCTCTTGAGTTGGCCACTCCGGTTGTCTGAGGCGGTCATTTGGTCTCCTGGGGCGAATTTCTCCGCCCTGCTGAGACGGAACTCCGGTCTGCAGGTTCAAAGCGGAGCTGCTGCTGCGGAACGACGCGAATCGCCTGTGCCGAGCCGGCCCACGGCGGGGCTGTTCACGGAGCTCGGCGACCATGCTGCTCTTTGGGGCGGACCCGGACGCTGCCGACTACGACGGACGGATCGGACGGTGAGCATTCCGGATAAGTTGCTCGCGTGTCCACCCAATGCCAAGAGTTTTGAGTGCTTGAGGCTCTGAAAGGAACAGCTTGAACTTATGTGGATCTTGCAGCTGAGGTTTGCTACCGTCGGCAGGATTTTTTTGTTAAAGTTGAAGCACCCAGGAGTTATACTTCTTGCTTGAGTCTGACTTTCTGTCCTTATGCAGTCCCTACTTCGCATTTTTGCCCGAACCTCCCCCTGATGCTCCTCTCTCAGTATCCACTAGTGGCCTTGTCCTTGGAAACCTTAGAGCCGGCCCTTTTGAAGGACGGACACATGTGAGCTGCATCTTCGTTCCTGGTCATGCTACTCTTTGCTCTCATTCCGTGCAAATTCGTGATTGCCTCATATATTGCTGTTCACTTCTTTCCTACGACTACGAAGAATTGCTCTTCAGAAAGTAGGCGCGAAAGCAAAAAGAATGAGAACATAACCAAAGCACTGAAAATTGAACAAGGGGACGAGGAAGAAGGAACGAGTATGAAGCAGAGATGTTGCTGCGATCATGGGCCCCGATGCAACAAGATCCGTTTCTCACGCAACTTTCCCGGCCATTTTATACCGGCGCCCCCTCCCGCAGGCATTTCACATCGGAGGACCGCGTCAGCAGCGCGCGCGCGCTGCTCGCCGCCCATGCTGACGTCAATTGCCGGGACCAGGGGAATCAAACCCGTCTAAACGAGGCGCTACGGGCGCAGCACCACGCGTTGGCGGAATGGAGACGCCAGGGTACGAGAAAATGGGAAGAGCGGCTGGCGCAGGACCGCCCGGGAAAATAAAAGGGAAGCGGACGTCCGGAGTGAAACTTTAAGGGGTGCCCAGAGTGGGTCGACCGGGGGGAGAGAGAGATCTAGGGAGGAGGAGCCCGCAGGCGGCGCAGGAGAGGGAGCTAGGGGACTAGAGTTGGGAGGGGGCGGCTCAGGAGTGCTCGGGAGAAGGAACGGAGACTCTGGAATGGGGAGTCCGAGGCGAGGCAGGAGAAAGTTGAAAGGGCTCTGCGCAGGAGGGGAACGTTCGATGCAAGACTGCTCGAGGAGAGGGAACGGGGGTCAGGGAAGAAGAGCGGGAATGCAGGGCAGGTGCAATGGCAGGTGCCCGGGAAAAATTCTCGAGAGATCGGTTCAGGGGGGCGGACGGCTGAAAATGCTCAGTCGCCACGTGGAGACAAAGATCCGGGGGTCGGGATTGGCGAAAATACACAAGCTAAGAAGGGAGGAACGAGAACGCGCCACGAGAACACGCTTTTTAAAGCGTAAGTTCACATGATACTCCAGTACGATCTCGAAGTAGAACCTAGCCTTGCTTGGTCGACGTCAACTTCGTTCAACGGCAAGCAAATCAAAATCTTCGTTATGATCGAGACAACAAGCAAAGCGGAGGAGCAAAAAGGAGCACCGAAAAGGGAAAGGATGAGTGCACGAGGAGAAAACGAGGTTCACCTATAGACACTTCCTGCCAACTCAGCCTGATTGTGTCAGGACATTTCTCAGTGCTCACTAATGCAGCCAGGTAGGGAAGCAGATTTAGTGGTTATGGCAATAAGAATGACACCGGAGTCGCATTCTGTAGCTGGAGTTTCTAAACATCATCTCGATGACAGACAGCTTCATGTGGTGCTTTCGCAAGGCAGCAAGCTTCAAGAACACCAGCATTAATCAAAAGGCTAAGTGCAGTCGGGTAAGAAGGTCTACTTCATCTTCTTGTGCCGATCAAAGAAACCTTCAAGGCAGGACGAGGATTCTGACACGGCCTTGCAACCTTGTCGGCCTCTCAGATTCCTGAGTCATGCCCGCATCGGACCTTTCCTTCCTGACGTGGTGGGACAGAACGACCGCTGCAGATCATGAGAGATTCGATCGAGATTTAAACTGGTAATCTCAAGGACCCAAAGCCCAAGTGCCGTTGAGTCGCTTTGGCTATGTATGTTATTGTGACAGAGCTTGAAGGAACACTGGAAGTAAAGTTTCGTGGCCTCTTCGATGACTCCAACCAAAGTCACCCTGAGCTGCCGTATGAAGTTTTTCCACGCACCTGCTTTGGACGGGGTTTTTGTGTCGACCGACATTTTCTCATTGGATAAGCGCAGGACAGAGCCTCGGGCGCGCTCTGTTCTGCCTTTCCTTGATGAGGACGACAAACATGTTATGGTCCCGGCTGCAATCGTGACTAACAACAGCTTTTGGATTCGAGGAAAGTTTGCCAGGGCCACGTTCCAACGTGGAACGAAGCAACAAATGGAACGGTTGGAAGGACGGTGACGTTATCTACACTCTACCCAAGCGTTCGATCTCAGATCTACCAGCTTGCAGGCATGTTTTCTCAATCTTACTTTACATCTGGTTCCTGTTGTGATGTCACTGTGCTTCGCGTTCTTGGCAATCGGATTCTGGCGCGAACTAGAATCGGATGGTGCATCTGGGCTAAGCTGTTGGCGCCAACCGTACAGCCGGTGCGGCGAAGCTGGAGGAAGCGCTGAAGATCGTGGCGGGGACAAATGAAGGGAGCATCCACTGCTGCAGGTGCCCCGCGTCCTGGGGACCAAGCAGGCCTAGAGCGACTGTACCCCTAAAACCCTCTGAAAAGCAGGATTATGCTGAAACACACGGTTTGCAGTTCCATATAAGACGAAGATCTTTGTACGAAAAGACTTCGAACGAATTCAAAATCTCGTCCAGAATTTGATAGGCTGAAAGTCGCATTTGGCCTGGAGGTGGACCGGCTCCGAGTCGAGCTTGAAGTATGGCAGGGCTCGTGGATGATCCGCGGACCAACAGAAAAGGGTGAGCATCAGAACCAGCGTTTCTACGTTCCAAAATTGCACAAATCAGATCTCTTCGAACTGTGGTGCATCTAAATACAACTGATCCTTCAATTGCAAGCATTCTCCGCCCGTTATTGGATCCTGCTTGATCAGCTGTGGCATTGCCAATGATCTCGTGTAACGCTTTCATTGATCAACCAGTGGTAGGTGCTGTATATCCATTTCCTCCGAGCATTCATTGGAAGCTCGAACTCTCAGACTCAAGCATATTTAGTACGTGGCAGCCGAATCAAGACCTTTTACCCTGGTTGTTTGCAGCAGGGACTACCGAAGCTGCTTCGACATCGCGGAAACATCTACATCGTTCTGACCATTGCTGGAATAATGAGGATTTCATCAGAAACCTTACCCCCCGACAAATTGTTGCCTTTCAGTGGCCAGAAAGGTGCCCACCAGATTGGCGCCAATCAACGCACTTGTTTGGCGTTAGAAGGGCACCAATGGTGCCTTCAGCGATTTGAAATTCTCATTATTCCAGCAACTTGCGTACTCTGGTGCAGTCAAAAGCGTGGAGCTGGCGGGACTCGAACCCGCATCTCTCAGACGCGGCCCATCCGGGCGGTGCTCGGAGCCTCATTCTGGAGGCCCCGGCAGGGACTTGGCCACTCGCGCGGGGCGAGGACCTTTTGCCCCTAGGCATATCAGCCCTTGTCTTGGCGCTCTACCAATTGAGCTACAGCCCCTCTTCCATACGTGCGGTGTTTTGAGGATAAGGTGTCCCCATATATAAACAGCGCCAATTGTCACTCGATGATCTGTGGGCCGAGCTTGTGTGACTTGAGAACCGTTGATCGAGCTGGGCAAGGACATTGACGATCCGATGGTGCAATCGATAGAAACCATCAGAAGCAGTCTCTAAGCCCGGACAGTCCGTGACGAGGACCAAAATGCTCAATGAGCTGGACTTCTCAAAGCTAGAGCGAAGCCTGCACAGAGGATCGATTCATTGCAGGATGTCGAAGGCTAGAGGAGCGCTCTGTGACAAAATTATGGCCCAGCAGCATAGATTGGTCTGCTTGCCGGATACCACTCATGAACTGCCTTTCCGTGAAATATGGAGCTTTTATTGCTTATCTCTGGTAGTGGACCTTACAAATCATGCGAACGGAGAAGAGATTGAAGAGATTCGATATTGCTGTGCTCTGATTGCTTAGACCGTTTGGAATTATATGTTCCAATGATCCATCGAGCATCGAGGAGCTCGTCAAATACTCCGCTTGTTCCATGAGTGTTGGTGTCGAAGTGACAGTCTGCACGGATGCTCCAATATTGCAAGCATCCATAAATTAGATGCTAAACTAGGGTTGATCTAGAAACGCGCACTCCTGCAAGACCAGCGAAAGCAGAATTCGGCGCCATCCTCGCATAAGGCGTTCGCAATGATGTGGCCGTGTACGAACCGTATGTATGCACCCACATGATCAACGCTTGAAATGAGCGAGAAAAAAAGAGCAACATCTTCCACATATCAGAACTGGACAGGCTGGCATGCCACATGCACCCCGCGGTGCATATGTTTTCTAGCTTAGTAGAGCATGCACATTGACCGACTAGAGCTGCATGACATAATTGGCGGGATGCATCAGGACATCTCATGAGCCGTTCGCATTAACCCTGGCACTTTCAGAGCAGGCTAGCTCACCAGCCGGTCTGCTCGACAACTAGTCTACAGAACTGTTGACAATTACCGCAGTCACGGCCGGGCAGATTGCTCATGCATCGATCCAAAAGCAGGAAACCATGCGCGAGTCCACAAAGACTATTGCATTTCACTAACTTGCAACCTTGCCGTCTTTGACCAATCCGCATCTGTACAGTATCCGTAGGGCGCTGTTTTCATCCGACAAACTTTTTCTCGATAAACTTGGCCCATCCCGAGCTCCTAACTTACATATTCGATCTTCCAACAAAACTAGCCTGTCAGTCTTGCTGGTTGTATCACTCTACGACTTCCGAGCCCTTCGTATCTTGCATAAGCAGGTTTGTTGAACACGGCTCCTCGCACTGATCCTATCAAGCTCCTTCTTTCAAACCCTTAAATATGATTGCATTGTCGCTCATCGAGAAGACTACGTTTCGTGAACCATATCTGCTGAGCTATATCTGAGCAACGGTCAAAGGCACATGTTTGCACTAAGCTTCGGGAAACAAGAGTTGTCGAACATTGGGCTTAAGTGCCGCCACCGGTCCGTCCGCCTGTACGGCAACAAAGCAGGGCTCTGACATCGAAGGACCCGACAAAAGCTAATGCTGAGAGTGTGACAAATGCATGCGCTTCAATTGTGGCGAAAGCATTCTGGTGTCTGCCTGGTTGAAAAATCCATCTCTGTGTTGGACCTTTGCCGAAAAAATGGACGGAGGCGGGGTCGAATCCAAGCAGATTGCTTCATTGGTCCAGGTATGCACATTTACACCGTTGAAAAGTAAGCTCAGATGACAAGATTCATACTAAAGGACGAGGAAATTAACCCTTGGATGCCAAGAATCTGACCATTGACGACGATAAGATACAACAAAGTGATGGAAACCAGAGGAAACGTGAACGCCGACGCTTAACAAAAAAGGCCAACTCGTTCCAGCTAAAAGAACTTTTCACAAAGCCTCAAGATTGGACACGAAGCTAGACCGGCTTAGCAAGAAGGTGACCTGCAAAGGGCTGAAAAAGGAGCCTACGTGTGCGGGTAACAAGAGTTTCCGTCTTCATCGCGTCGACAACGACACGATATACTTCGTAGACCGCGCAAATTCCCAAACGAGCTCACCAGAAGTATAAAGTGCATCAGTTGGCGGACTGCATCCGTGACGTCGTTGGAGGTGCGCGCGTACGAGGCCGCCCGGAAGGTCGTGATGGCGGCCGCCAAAAGGTCGCCCTGCATCAGGCGGGCCACGTAGTGCGCGTCGTGCCTCAACAGGCACGCGCGCAGGAACTCGACGGCTATCATCGCGACGCGCGGCTCCGCGTGCCCGGCCAGCCGCGCCACCGCTTCGAGGGCGCCGTGACGGAAGACGAATGGCCTGGAATAGAAGATTGGGAAACGCTGGATAGGGACTCTGTGTTGGTTGATTACACTGACGTTGTATTTGAAGCGGGTTCGTTCCGTCAAATTCAGTTCCCCTCGCGGAACGTCTGCGGACTGGGAAGGGGGGTACTTGGGAAGTGCAGTGAAACGATTTTGTTAGTTGGTCGGCAGGAACGAGCACGAGACACCTGTTCTTCTCGTTTCCGTGTCGCAAAGATTCAGGACGTGACTGCTTGGTTGAGCAACCTGACTTTGTTAACGTACAGCACCCAAACGGCGCACTGACCACAGGTGCAAACTATGGGAAAGTATCGAAAGTGCGCCATCCAAGGGAACAGTGTTGAATATGACTTCACTGAACAATGGTGGGTTGGCAATTTGATAATCCAAGAAAAAGTCAAGAAAAACACATGGAAAGTGAGTTCCTTGAAAGCTTTACCAGAAGGAGCGGATGCGTCAATCCTAACTGCAGCTCGTGCTTAATCCGTGAGAACACAAAAACAGATGGCAGCCTTTCGTGACATGAGCCAAATTCTTCAAGGCTTCTTTTGCCGCATACAAAGGATGTCGCTTAGAAAAGAAAAGCGCTTCTCCTGCAAACCGACCAAGAGCCTATTGAATGCAGATACCCAGATCGAAATGCGAGTGGCACGTACCGAAGCCTGGTGCCGTGGTGACGCACGCAGTACATCAGCAGCGCGCAAGCGCGGACCACCCCATCGATGTCGTCAGGCGAAACGCGGGTTGAAGCGCTGACGTCAGCGTTCGCTTGCGCCACCGTCTGCTTGATGATGACGTCAAGGAGCGGGTCGAGGCAGAGCCAGTCAGACGTCTGCACGCAGTATAAAATCAAAGTGGCGAGCGATGAGCGCGTGTTTTCTGGTGAAGGGCGATGCGGCTTCAAACAAGGTGGGCATCTGTAAAGAGCCGGACGGAATCATAGGAGTAGCTGACTCCTCTGGAGGGGAGTGAGATCTGCTGGTTTCCAGAGGTAAGGAGACACCTATTATCTGCACCCGTCAAGTGCGTGCTGCGTCGACACGCCTGCTAAGTAGTTTCTTCAAGCAACGTTTCTAACTGCAAAGATATAGAACCAGTACAAGCAAGCCTGGGCGTACTTTCTTCGCAGGACACTGGATGAACACGTCGCACACTGCTCAGGCAGTCTAACAATTGCTCACAAATGCCTGTTGCTGCTATGCACTGCAGCATGTGGCTCTGCAATGCGCGGCTAAAGTACCGGGTCTGTTACTAAGACGGGTCATAGAGGAGGTTGAATCAGTCGACACGATTCTAAGCAGTCGCTCAAGCAACTCAGTGGGTGAGATTGCCGACCACACGTTTATCCCAACAATGATATCTGATCCAAAAAAGTTTGCACTTCATATCGCCCCAAGGTGTGTTGACCGCTGCTCTAGCCTCGACCGTCAGCGGCGTCGGTTAAAAACTCTGCTAGTTCAAAGCAGACGCTTTGCCGTCAGCTCACCGGTACGAGGTCGATAAGAGCCCGGGTGAGCACGAGGAGCAGCGTCTGGAGGGGCGCGTCGTCGGTGCGGAGCATCTCGCCCACGACGCAGAACCGGTCGATGATGCCCCGGAGATACTCGATGTGCTTCCGGAGCAACGCGACGTAGCGCGTCATGAGCATGAGGACACCCGCGGACGCGAGCCAGAGTGACTGGTCACGGTTGTCCTTGGGCGCGAAGCACGCGCGGAGCGCGCGGCGCAGGCAGCGGAAGGACAGGGCCCGGCGGTAGAACTGCTTAACCTGCGGAGGAAGTGGAGAAGGCTGGAAACAGACAGCGAAATCAGTAAGGTGTGCTGCAAGCGGAGCAATGTGACGCCCATGTGGCAGATAATATACGCGGACTCACGAAGAGAGGGAAATTTGAGGAAGAGGTTTTCAAGCTCAACTTCAGCGCGGTTGGTTAAAGCTTAGGGCGAATGTCAGGGTGCGGTGCGCATTGTTGTTGCAGGTTAGACTCATCCTTTGCATCCCATTCTTGGGCAGAACACGTGTTCAACGCCGTGCTTTCCTCATCGCCTAGGGTACACTTCCAAGCATTGGTTGACGAAACGAGCAGCGAAGCGGTTGTCAAGACTCAACATGACTCCCGTGCCACAACTCGGCAGCCAACACAAAAGAATGGCGAAAAGGAGTACAGTGATTTGAACAAAGTGTGTACGATACAAGAAGCTTTCTGCTCGGTCTGCCGTCAAATGAATATCGCCAAACGGCCAGAATCGATGTTGCTCACTGCCAAATCAACTTGTTTGAGTTTGGCGCAGGAGCAGCTCACGTGACGAGGGGAGAGGTACTCGGTTGCCGTATTGAGAGCTTCGACCAGAGAGTTCATAACGTTCTGAAGGCGCGGCCCGCTCTTGAGCCCCGCTTTGCACCCCTCCTTCACGCGGTCAAGGTCCTTGTTCAATATACTCTGCACGTAAAGCAGGGTTACTGACTCGGACATCGGGCACCACGTTCGGCTTGCCGTCTTGTCACCTTTGTGGGTAGCAGTCCTTGCAGCGAGTTGAAAGCAGTTGGCTGAAAGGGCGTCGTCAAGACTCTCGCCATTCCAAAGGTGTTGCGGAAGAGCTTTCAGAGTCAAACAATCTTGTGGAGTTTTGAACGAGAAAAGCTAGGCTGGCTGCTATAGCGGTCCTCCGAATGCGGTCCTCAGATGCTGTTTTGCGTCAAAAAGGAAACCCACTCGAGGGACTGCAGACACACCTTCCAAGAGTATTGATGTTTTCTGTTGCATTCAGCATCAGCCTCTGCGAAGCCCCTTGGAGTTGCAATGGTTCCACCCGGTACCGCTTCTAGGAGGTCCAGCCACTCTTCCAGAGCTTCCAGCTTCGAGCTCCTGTCGGCCTGCAAGGGACACAGACTGGTTTGAGATTGGCGGCGAGAGCCTCTGTATGGAAACGCACGCCCAGGAGAAACTCATCTGCTCAAGAGGTTGCACAAGCTTTAGTACCTGGATATTTGGTTGAATACAGTCCTTGGTTAGATTCATTCTCCCTTGAATCGAGCAGCAAGTGACCACAATTGCGTTGTGCTTTCTTGGATATTGATGCTCCAGATATCAAGAACGGACGCCAGATGAGTCCTTCCTCAAATCCCAGTAGAACCGCAATACCGACCTGATAAAGGAGCTGTGGCTCCTCTTCTTCTTGGTAAACCCACGCGGTACTCTCGTCTCCAGCGAGAACCTTTCCCTCGCCTGTTGCTGCGCCAAAGTCGTCGTCGTCCATCTCCGCGCCATCATCATCGTCGTCCATCTCTGCGCCAGCATCGGGGTCGTCCATTTCTGCGCCAGCATCGGGGTTGTCCATTTCTGCGTCGTAATTGGGGTCGTCCACCTCACCCCTCTCCGGCTCCTCTTTTCGCTCAATGACCGCTTCGCCGTCTTTTGTGGGCAACCTTGTGCACGCATTCTCCTCCCAGGGGGGTCCTCCAAAACCCAGAACAGGGCTGTTGGGCGCCAGCTCTCCTAGAATGGTCCGCTGCAGAGTGGGAAAGGGTGTTCCGCGCAGCGCCAACTTGTGGATGGGGGCCATCTCCTCGTACTGGTGCGGCTGAGGGATGACGGGTGAAGACAGAGCCTTCTGAACCGGCTCAGCTTTCCTGCACGTGTGGGAATGACAGGTATCACTAGACGTTTCAGACCTTTGGCAGATTGATGTATGCAGAGAGCAGGGATCTAGATTGTACTTGCAATCGCCAAGAGAATTTGTAAAGAACCTGGAAGGTTTGGCCATGCAAGGCTAGCTGACCTTGTCTGCATGTAGAAAGTCCATTGACTGACCAGCCAATCTACCAGATCGAACTGCTTAAATTACGCAGGGACGATAGAGGCTGCAACAAGAAGACTGATCGGAACTTGTGGCATCATCGTCTCTTCTGCTCTATCGTCCCCGCGTAATTTAAAAAAACAATTGAGTTGCTCTATCTTTCTTTTCTCATTGTGACAGACCATGAGGAGATACAAGACAAGAAAGCAGGAGCTGGACCATTGCTCTTGTATTGCATTGCATGAATTGAACTAAAAACACTGTGACCAATATCAGAATGCTATGCAAGCATGCTCTGCTCAGCCAACTCAAAGGTGCTTCACCATCCTCTGGCACACGTCTGGTAAATCGGCACTCCTAGCGGACTCACCGCCCTGACTGCGGCTCCTCCATGGCAGATGCTATGATGATGTCCTCTTGGCCTAGACTTGCGCTCCCGGTCTCTTTACTTTCCGGCAGGTTGTGATGCGTCTTCTGTTCTACTGACCTGCGCAGAAAGAGTTGCAAGAAGATGCATCAAGCGGTCTGTGGGAATCCAAAATGTCAGAGGATAGCACACACAGGACGGACACACTTGCTAACCTGCATGTTGGCGAAGACAGAGTAGGAATTCCTCAGCTATGGAAGTACGGGGCCGCTTGAGTCACCACCTTAAGGGAAGCGACCAGCATGTCTAAGCAGCGTCTGGCCCTCGAAACATGAAGCTATGGAAGGTGGCTGAGTGGGAACAAAAGCGCTCCCCCCAAAGTCAGCTTCTCTGTGGGAGGTCGGGGATGCGGTTACTACCTACTCACCGTACTGCTGAAGTCAGATGCTTGGCAGGCCTCGGGCGGCGGCTGCCATTCCTGCCCCTTTCATTGCCTGGCCCAAGGTTCTCCTTTTGTGCTGTGAACACAAAGTGGTCCGCTTGATGCACAGGAACCATCTCTTCTGCGTCATCCTACAGGCAGTTCAAAAGAGGCAGAGTGATGAAAGTGTACTGGTTGCTTTTGAATGAGCACTGAATCATAGGTATCTGCAATGAAGATGGGACCCTAGGCCACTACCTCTCTTGCAGACATATAAGGCAGAAGATTTGCAAGGTGTAAGCAGAACATTTTCAGAAACATAAATCTCAAGAGGATGGCGCCACGATTGTGAGCCGCAAGCAGAAAACTAATATGATTTACCGAAGCAGCTGGCACTTCAAGAGGCTAGTGGGCCAAGTCAACGCTGCTATTCAATCCATCGAGCGTCCACATCGAGCGTCCACTTGCAGGACTTTTGAAGGCAACTACACGCTTTCCAACCGGCTGATCGGCAGCATTGAATGCTTCATGCTTCATGCCAGAGAACTTCCATGTGCGGCTTTGCTGGAGTTGCTCACCACTTGCATGTCCTCAGCTGCCTGCATCTTCAAGTGTCTGTCACCAATTCTTCTAGCTTAGCTTGAGAATGCAATCTGTCAGCATTCCAGTTTTTGAAGCTTGTCTTTGACTCAGTCCGAGCATGCCAGCATTGCAGTTATAAGACTCCTGCTCAGTGCCAATTCACAGCTGGAGACAGCATGTGCAGGATAGTACGTTAACAGCTTTTTGTTAGAGCGCCGCTCTAGCTCAATCTGACCTTACATCTGCTGAAATGCTGCCAAACATACAGTGCGCTGGCTCAGCATTGTTCCGTCAACAGATCCTTGCAGGTGCAGGTCTGGCCGCCTGGTGCTTCAATGCGTTTGCAGTGCTCGTGCAAGAGTCGACGCCGCCAGAACGCCATTTGAGCGCTGCATGCAGAAGAGCCTGTGCAAGAGCAACACTCGCACTGTGCAGAGATGTGGCCGTTCGATATGATCCAGCGTTGAAACGGAAGGTCTCGATCACAAGTTTGATTGCGCGCGAGCTGATGACTGCCATTTACGGTTTCAAAATGTTTGGCTGACTCACTTGTGACTCACTTATGCAAAGGTTATGGTTTTCCGGGCTTCCGACGCCATGTTTGAAGTCCCCGGTCGAATTGAGTCCTCGATGCAATCAAAAACAAACACAGCGATTTTTGGCATTAAAAGGCATACGTAAGTGTAATCCGGAAGGGAAAACTCCCAGCTGATTGATTATTCTGTATCTTGGTAACCACTGCAATTAATCAGACCCAATGAAGGCCAGGAAAGCTAGGGCTTGGGTCAAATCGACGGGCTCCTTAGACAGTCATCCCTGATATATGCAACTTCGCAATTATTTTTGTTAATCTGAGCTTGCTTAATCAAATTGAACAACATCTACATATGCGTACGTTCTTTTGTTGGCCTCCGAGGACTTGGTAATAGAATCTTGCATTTGAGTCAGACGCCAAGTCTTAGAAACACTCCCGAAACACTAGCGTCTAGCGTTTAGCCCATCGCTTCTCATGACGTTGTCCGTTACTTCCCCAGCATGGTCCATGATTACAACCAGCGCGCTAGCGAGATCAGCCTTAACGAGCCCTAGTACTAGTACAGTAGTGCAGCCCAAGCTGATGAAACACAACTGCGGCTGAACATCAACTTCGACTTCACCGGGAACAACAACGGTCTCTTGAGTTGCGAAAAGCTCGAGAGGTGGCTACCAACTAGTGGCGTGCGTACGTTTGAACATGATTGCAAGGCGTGCACCAAATTCTTAAACTTTGTCTCAGGAAGACTTGGGGGATATTCAGCATGGCAAAAACTTCGTCTGCTTACGGGTTCATAGTCCCCCCTTTAATTTGGCGGCTCGACCGGGTTCGCATTACTGCTTTCGACATGGTGCGCCTAATGGAGATGGCATGCAGGAACCCATCGTGTTTGAACGAACGTTGGACTTGAATAGAAGCTCTAGAGTTTGGTACACCATTCGAACCAACAATACCTTCCATCAGCTGAGTCTCTTTGGTATCAATAATTTCTCTCTGGCCGTTTGTACAGTCTCCTTAACTTAATTGTCCCGCCTGCTTGTAGGTCCCCAGGAGCTTCGCGTCATCCCCTAGGAATTGAAAGCCCGCCTGCATCATTGACTGCTCCTCTCCTTGTTCTCCACCTTCTCGCCAGTGCCTACCTGATCCACTCGGAGGCCGCCGCAACTCTGCGATTATCGCCGATATACTCGAGCAGAATCAGACCGTCCTGGTCTTCCACGTACTCCTGCTGTCCGCAATTCGGACAAGCGGGCCAGAATCCGCTTGCCACGAAAGCGAAGCAGAGTGACGCCACACGAAGAGATAGAAGAGTATATTTTATCGAACTCCGCAGGAAATAAACATGCCTGCAAGCGGATCGATGATCATGAATTCGAATGAATGGGCATCAGGCCCATCATGAAAATGTCAACGACTTTAGCATGCGCAATATCTTCCAATTGCTTTTGGTACTTTAACACTGGACATTGCAATTTGAGACATAGCTCAGCCACTTATATGTCCGAGTGCCGTGAAATCTCCTCATTCAGGGTTGCACTATGCTTGTCGTCTTCATATCAATGAAAAGCTGCAAACCCTTAATGCATCGCTCATTCGATCCAAAAGATGATTAAGCCTGAAATCATACGGCCACGTTGCGGTCAATTGGCTCCAGGGTTTGTGTTCATGCATCCGGCCAGTCATCTTATGCAGCTCTCGGACGAGGATGTTAATTCGCAGTGATAAGCCGCACGGATGCCAGTCTTGCACGAGATTGAGCCATCCGCTTTTGACTCCAAAATAATATGTTGAAGATTCGTTCACCTGGGTCCACTGCAGCCATGATTGGGCCGCGTGCATGCGAGAACATCCATACCCTTCCCATCAAAGAGGCAAAACTGCCCTTACGATGTCTCAGCATCTAATTCGCCGTCCCCTTCTTGGTTTTGTAGATAGCCACTTTCACAAATATAAAAGCGGACCGTCACGGTCACTTCCATACTTTCGCACAGAAACAAGCCAGTCAAATATATAATATTTAAAAATCTCGATACGCGGTGTGATGATTGAACGGGAAACACATTTCAAGCGTCCTATCATCGCATGTCTTTAATCTTCAATCTTATTCTGGGTCGCATTCTCCCGTTTATTGAGTACGAAGGCCTCTTACTTCATAACAAGGTTCTGATCATAGTTTGGCAAATATGCTAGTGGCAATGACTCATTCACACAACGCTCGTGCTAGAACAAGAAACCTTTTTTGGTAAGCAATGCTTCTAACCCCCGTGGAATGGGCTTTGCCCAGCTCCAAGACAATCCAAAGTGCAAGTTGACGTTCTGATCGTCTCACGAACCTCTGGGCTTCAAAATTTTCCTCAGATCGGACTATCGAAGCTTCGGTGACCGTCCCCAGCTCGATCAACGATTGTCGAATCGCGAAAGCATTTTGGCCCACACTCAATTCGAGGTTCCACTAGTGCTGCTTATATTTGGAGATATTGTGTACAATCGCACCTTTATAGCGGGGCTGTAGCTCAATCGGTAGAGCGCCAAGGCCCGAAAGAGGGTGATATCCCTCATGATCAGAGCTGGAAGCTCAGGGGTTACAATCCCAGGGGTGATATCCCTCAGGTTTACAAGATTAGGGGTGACATCCCCAAGGGGCGAAAGCTCCTCGTTGCCGGGGCCTCGATTGGGGCTCCGAGCTTCGCCCAGATGGGCCGGGTCTGAGAGATGCGGGTTCGAGTCCCGCCAGCTCCACGCTGTTTGGTCCATCAACAAGCAGGAACTTTTAGAATCGAACGAGAGTCTGCTGAGAGTGACAGCTGTTCACGCGGTGTTCTGAGCAGCTTCAACTTTTCCACGAAGTCCCCGCGATCGCTGGGAGCTGCAAGGAAATAAGAAGAGCTTCGTGCTGAACGTGCCTCGTTTGAGAGGTCGAGCGTACTCCAACGAAGGGCTGGAGGGGATGAATGTACAGAAAATTGGTTGAAACCGAACAGGGTTACCCTCTTCGTCGCTGAGCTCATGACATATAGCTCAATTGCTCACACGTTTACGATCCAGAACAAACTGACATGCCCAATAATGGAGCTGCCTTTGCTTCTAGCGAGCCAGGAGCGTCTGCTCCGGGCAGAGCCTTGTGGGCAGACCGACCTGTTCATCCACATGACGGTCAAGGACTTTTGCTGGTCCGTTTTCCGAACAGACGGATAAACTACGCGTCATGTTGTTGCATCCTTGAACAGGACCCGAGGAACTGCTTTGACATCACCGAAGCGATTTGGAGACGGCTCACTCTCCGAGGGGAAACTCTCGTTAGGAATCCGCTCGGGGCACCGCTCAAACTTGCAATTCCGGGCAGCCGCAATCACCTAGAAATAAGACGAAAAGAGCACGCCGCCCTGAAAAGCATACTTCAAGGGAATAGTTGAAGGTGAAATTAACAGCGTATTGGTGATACAGGCTTTTCGACCCGGCAGCTTGTTTTAACAGGTTTGAAGTAAAAGTAAGAGTAACACCAGGCAGTGTTAAAGTGCGAGATGTGAAATCTGGTTTTTGACTGGCGCTCTTGGCACGAAGACTTCTTCCCCGCTTTGCAGAGCCTGGTACCTTTACTGGCTTGTGCAGGATGACAAGCTGCGACGGCCGAAGATCCGCGTGATGCACGCAGATCACCATTTAATTCTGCGTGCCTTACGGGGTCCGCAGACCTTGAGGGAGGCGCTAGCGATCGAGGCGGGGACGAATGAAAGAGAAACCGGTAACTCTCGTGTGACCTAACGGGCGTGTGACCTAAGATACGAATTACCCGGGCACAACAAACTAAAAACCTAACACAAATAATCACCCGCTCCGCACCCTAACCCACCCTAACCACCATACCAACCCCACCCGTGGACCCGTCCCCCGGGTGCCTATCTTAGGTCACACGGCTCTTAGGTCACACGAGCGTTATCGGAGTATGAAAGAGGGGTTAGCAACCGTCACTTCGGGTGGGCCACGTCTGTCCTGGGGAGTGCGTGGGAATGCACGACAGCTTCTGAAACCAAGCACTGGCGGAGGTGGGCATGAGGAAGTACACGTCGAAGGCGCATCACCAAGAAACAGGACAGCACTTTACACGAGACGAAGATGATAAAAGAAGTCATCGGAAGGACATATCTTTCAGTCTATCGGCCATCATTGGGTCTAACGTTTGAATACCAAAGTGACTATCTGTTCAAAGCTGGTGCGTCGGGGTGATGACATCCCCACCGGCATCTATAACGCATGCATTCAGACTCATCTCAACATACCTCATTTTCTGTACGCATGAAACATTGCAATCGGGGGAGCTCAGGGAAAGAGAAGTGCATAGGCAGACTTCAACAATGAATCATGTCGAACTTGCATAAGTATGAACGACTATGAGAAAATGTTCAGGCTATGTCGACTTATAGATATTTGTGATCTTGCACACAGTAAATGACTGTCTCTTACTTGTTGGAGCCTACGCAACCCGCAACATTCTCAACGCTCTTGATACAGCCATGAAAAGCCAAAAAATAGTCCAGCAATTTAGTAAGTCTGTTACTTTCCGATGAGAATTCTCAAAAGTAGCAAACTATCACTGACTTCTGTGTACTAGAAAGCTTACAAGGTCCGCCTTCATACAGAGACTGCAGGTTTGCTGCAAGGTCTAGTTGCTCTCCCTTACAAAAACTCTCAGAAGGCAGTTATCTTAAGTTTCCGATTGTTCTCGAAGAACTTGCGAACGCCAGCAATGGTAGTTGATTTGTAAGTCTCGGACTGTTTCGAAGCAGAGAACATTAGGTTGAGGCTTTCCAGGTTCTGCGTTGCTTGGAAGAGTGACTGAAGTGTGCTGGATGTGTCAGACCCCTCTCTTCAAACGCCAGATCAACACATAGATCTTTCAGTTTGGAGAGCACCTTAAAAGGACTTGACGATTGAAGGCTTGAAAAGAAAAGAAGACCTAGATCCAGTTTCTCGATGCCCGGTGGCAACTGGGACACAAAGCTTCTGACAGGAAGAGGCGTCATTAGTCCGTCAAGCGTCACAGTCAGATTCTGCAAGGTAGGGCACTGACGGAGAATAGGGGCCACAATCTCCGTCCAGCTATCCCAAGCGGAATCCCAGGCCGCGAAGGTCTTCAGGTGACTGCAAGGCTGGACAAATGTCACCGGGTCCTCCAGACAACTGACTGTAAGCTCTAGCTCTTGCAGTGCAGGGGCTTCCAATCGAAGAGAGTCGCAATTAACGGCCAGCCTGTGCAGGCTGGGTGCTTGAACATCAAGAGAAATGAAGTACGCTCCTAAAGTTTGAAGATCGAGAGATCTTAGCGTCTCTGACTTGACGAAGCACGTATTAACCTCCGGATCTGGATTACCAGTTCCAGAGTCATCAGACTTCAATTCGACGTGTACATTTGTCCAAAGAGTCTCAAGGAAACGGCACCTCTGCAGCAGATTGTGGACCGCTGCGACAGACAGGTTTCCATTGACGAATCGCACGTGCCTTACTTCACTGATGGGAGCCGCTGTTAGCACTTCGATAGTGCCACGAGAGGTACTGAAATGGTTGAGACCTGAAACCGAGAGGAGGATGTCGATGATGTTTCTACTTGGTTGAGGGTCATCTACCACAAAGTCGGCGCATGAAGGACCACCCCAAATTGATCCCGGTTCGTCCTGCATGCAGTATACTGAGACCACTTTTGGCAGGCGCTTGAGCAGCGAGTCACTTGAGATGAGACTGTGCGGAATATCCTCCTGCTTTGCGGCGATCAACAGTTCCAGTTTCTTACAAGAGAAACTCTGATGGTTCACAAAAACCAGGAACCCTTGCGCCTCTGCTGCGCTTCTCAGGGGCCAAACCAGGCTTTCTACCTGGTGCGCCAACCCCTCAAACCGCCGGCAAACGAGGAGCGCTTGAATAAAATCCTTTGCATGTTCGACGCTCGGTAACCAGCTCCAAAGTTGCAAGCGGCTTGGGCCTGCAACTTTTCCCAGTACGCGAATGATCAGATCATCCGGAAGCAGATCAAAAGGGTCGGCTTCGATCAGAGCCATCAAAGGAGCCTGCTAAGTTTCCAATCGCCAAGAACCAAGCTGAACTTAAGGCTTATTTTCGAACCTGCTTGTCGGGAGTGACATTGGCGCTCTCTATGAAGTACCCCCAATTCAAATGAAGGCTTCGTAATATCTCTAGCTACCAGTGCGCTTCTGGCCCTGATCAACAGCGAGAAACCTTGAGAAAATGGAATCACCTGAAGCTCACAGGTGCTCAAAACGCGTGTCTTTCTTGGCTTGCTGGATACACCCCTGGAAGTTATTAAAACTGGCCGCCTGCATCTGAATTCTCATCCAGATCATCGTTTGCACGTTTCTGGCTGGCCCGTACGGTCGCTGGCTCTCATAAGTTAGTCGCGCGCCCGTCGCACACGCGGCCGCATGGCAGCATAGCGCCTGAGACTCAGGCCATGTTCGCAGGGTTTAACTGGGTTTTACCTTTGCGGTTGCGCGCGTATTATCACAGCCTAGTGACTGCGACAGTGAGGCGGCCGCGTAGGCGAGCCGCTCTGCGCAAGTCTTCAGAGGCCGACTTGCTTCAGAATAGTTCATAAGCTGGCATCCCGCGGGGCCGCTGAGGCGCTAGCCTAACTACAGTCACCTTTAAAAAGTTCTCCTCAAGCGTTCCCCTCAAGCGTTCTCCTCAAGCCTGGATGTTGAAGGGATCAGAGCGTCGTTGCACCTGCTGAAGGTGTTTGCAGGCAAGTTAAACGGATCAGGGAGAGACTTCGGGACTTTCGACATTCGTTAGCGGCTGAGTCACTTCTGAATACCTTCTTCGTAGCAAATTTCATCGGACCTGAATTGATTGACTAAGGATACTAAGATTGTCTTTTCCCTTTACTAAGACTATCTTTCCCCTGGAAATCTGAGTGAAGAAGGCAGAAGCCGGAGACCTGCAATGATCCATCCGAATTTCAAAACATCGCCATTTGCATTTTGACGTTTTTGCCCCGCCCCTCAAATGCAACGGCCAACAAGCCCCCATAATTTCCTTCTTGTAGAAACAGCGCGAGGTGTGCTTTGTGGTCCTTCTCACGAGCGGTCAAGCAGATGATCCTTTCCCTCAAAACTTGTCAAAAAAATTCACCCAAGGTGAGCAAAGGAATCAGAGTAACAAAGGACACGTAGTGCAAGTTCAGGCTGCTGCCAAGTGACAGCTTGAGTGGACTGTATTCCGAATGAGAGTCTGTTGACCACTGCCTTATTCGGGATACGAATGTTTCTCCACCCGCATCATTATCTGTCTTGAACGCTGTCAAGATCGTCCATTACGTCTGGTTCACTCACTGGTTGCAGGATCTCACAATAGTACGTCGACCAGAAAGGCGAGAATATCCCGTCATGCGTCAAGCTTCAGGACACAGAGAATAGTTGCATACGTGGTAGCTGTTGTCGCCTTTCTCGCAGGTGGCAATCGCATTTCGTTGAACAATCTGCTGTGATCTGACAAGATTTCCAACGGAGGAAGTCTTCTTGTCCAAGTCTCATGTGTGTTGCTTGTCTCGTGTGCCCCAGCTGGCAAGCTAGCTCCGACTTCTTTCTGAACGCTGTCGTGCTAGGCTTGAACCTTATGCGAAAATGGTCAGCCAGGCTCTCCTGCATGCTTGAAATCGACGACTTACTTGTTTAGATAGACAGTGTTACGGTGACAGATCTAGAAGTCGAGCGTTGAAGCATTAGATGCCCATGATGCATTAAGATACCAGCCGACGTGCAAGTAGAAGCTTGAACGACCGATCGACCTAATACAACAGCATAATAAAACGGCTCTTAATTCAATGTACGCAACCATCCAATACTCACATGACGGTTTGCATGAAGCACTCAGGCCATTAACGTGGCTTCCGGCCTTAGGCTGGATCTACGTGCGAAGCACTCTTATGTACCTTGCAAAAATCACACATGCAGCCTTCAAATACAAAGTCCTGCGCCACCGCCTGCAAGACGGTACTCGAGAAGGTCACGCTCATGAGGGAAGCCAGTATGTGCTTGGGTCACATGCAATATCTGGCCCACCTTGTTGCATGATCCGTCATGCATATGGTCCATCCAATGATTAGATGGACTGCTAATGCTCAGGCCTGACTTCATCAACTTCGATCACCGTCCGCCGGATCATCTTGCAACGTATTGCTGCCAGGCTGGTCTGAATGATGATCATTGATTGCAGGGCCCGGCATCAAGTGTCGCCATGCATGTCCGACCATGGCACAAACGTTACTGCAGACTCGCGGCCGATCTTGCACGGAGCACAACGCCTTGCGGACATGAGTTCGCTTCACAAGTAAAGCTCGCGGCTAGCAGAACAATCGCTTGATCCCGTTCCAGCTCCTCGATGAGAAGGATCCGGACTCAAACGACAAACTCTATACTCAGGCTCGATTGGCAAAGGCCTAGAGACCGTGTCCAATCATGACAACAAGGCACTTCTTAAAGTCACTGAGATCCGAAAAGCCCTCTTTGTAAAGCGATAATCTTTACGTCCGTTCGACGTATTGCTTCCAGGTTCGTATCCCGAGTCGCAGCTCCGTCAACACGTTTTGCTCCCACTCATCTTTCTGCGGCAGCTCTCCCGTCAGTGCCATGACTGAGCACCCTGCATCCTTACCAAGCGTCCTGACGTTAATCTCTCCAGGAAAGGCCTCCCTCATCGCCTCGAGCACTCGCCCTACGACTATCTCCCCATACTTCCGACTATCCCCCGGCGTTTCTCCCACCTGTTGTCGTTTTCGACGCTGTTTAAGCTGGTTTTTCCGATTGACGCTCCCCTTGACCCGCGGGTCGACTTCTGGTTCTACTGCGGCGCTTCCGCAGTTGACCATGATTCGCCCGCCGGGGCGCATCCGGCGGGCGAGATCGCGCCACGTGGCAGCATCCTGGAGCTCCGGCAGAACGGCGCCCCGGCTGAAGAGGTCAACGATCAACCCCGCAAAACCGCCCTCGGTTATGGAATCCGCGGTTAAGGCGTCCCCGGTGTAAATCGTGAGGAAGCCGCTCGCCTCTAACGGGGCTATGTCGAACCAACGCCGGGCAGCCGCAACCACCTGGAAAAGCAGTGCCAGCATGCTGCTGAGAAAAGGATGCTTCGACAAATAACTTGAGGACAAAATCCTGTTTTCCTTGATGCAACGAGAGTACGACGTGACGAGTTTCTGATATGAATAATCCAATCTTGAGAAAGTTCTGAAGCTTTCAAGACCCCGTCGTTTTTTAAGGTCGCTCGGTGTGTTATCGCTTCGGCTGGGCCTGCATAGCGCATTGTCAATGTGCAAAGTAGTAAGGCATCTTTTCTAATCATACACTGCAGGACTCGATTCGGAAAAAATACCGAGGTGCGGTTCAAAAATTGTTGCGAGAAAAGCACCGTTTCCTTGATCGACGACCTTCGACATCAAAGATCCCCGCTTTGCAGACCATAGATTTGCACAGATACAAGGTCTAGGGGTCGACTGGATTAAGACTGAAGTCAAACAAAACGGTTTGCCAATCAAGAATGAAGTGTTAGGAGAAATCTTCAGGGAGCTGACTTTAAAGCTTTCGCCTTCTATTTCTTTCGTGACGGCTAGAGAACCAGCTACTTTGCAGGTGAAATCAATTTGCAATCAAACGCTTTGTCTCTTCATCAACCTGGATTTGCTTCGCGGCCGTGGCCTCAGCCGCCTCGATTTGGAGATGTGCTGGAATCTGACAGCAACAACACAACGTACAAAAACGGAGACACACAAAGCTTAAGATCTTGACGCCCGCCAAATGGAGCAACTCAAGCCGACCCTTGAAAGCGCTCGAGAGATTCAGACACACCGAAAGGCATATGTTCGGCCACAGTCGAGCGCTTCTTCCATCAGTTAATTTGGAAGACTAGTCTTCCGGACAAGGAGATTGAAGAAGCAGAGCGAAGTTCCGCATCTGGCCTGGCCACTTTCTTTCCACTCACCCACTTGGGGCCCCACTGCCTGTCAATCCATATGGATTTGGGCAGATCGTTATGAAGAATCTACTTTCCGACCCCAAATCCAATACGACCGGCTGCCCCGTTCGCCCATGATTCCACCTGCCAACGCTTTACGTGAAAAGGCGTCCTTGAAGAACCTACCTTTGCATCCAGCTCCCAGGCATGCAACCTCCTCTCAGGCGCCACGTGATGCAGCAAGTGCGCTGCCGTGCCGGCCCCAAGTCCGTAAAGTCCGATCGGTCCAGCGGGAAGGAGGCAGGGGAGGGTGGCAAAGTCGTCATAATAGCTGGAGGTCCAGACGCAGTGCCTGGTAAAAACCGAGGGGATCAGAAAGTCTGAATGTGTTTCAAAACACTCGTCTCTTTGTTTCTTGAGAAACGAGAACAACAATGGGTGTCAAGAGATGCAAGCTTCGAGGGGCGGTGTCCGGACTGTGAAGCTGGGGGGACAATTGTAAAGAAGAATTGATGGCCATTTGCCTATGCAGTACCTATTGGGCCTAAATCTAGTCGATTGCATTGAGACCAAGTCCGTCAATTTTAAGAGCAGGAGAATCTACGAAAGTTAAGACATTATTTGACACAGCGAGCTTGACATAAAGTAAAGGAAGCGCACACCTTTCTCTAAATTTGAGCCTAACGTACAGAGCGCCGGATCACCAGTGACTGAAAGTGCAAGCGTTCTTCGCGGTGCCCAACGAATGCCAGCAATCACACTTTCTTGGACTTTGCACCTAACACTTTGCGCTTTGCGAACTCTCTCTGAGAACATGGACAGATGACATTTTGAGACTGGATGGTTCATGATTCGACCTCAAATGTCTGGCGTGCCTGGAAAGCTGCCTGCTATTATGAGTCTCGAGAGAATCAATCACGCCCTGCGCATCTGAACCCCTGATAAGTCTGACAGTCTGTTGATATGTCCACCTTGCAAATTAGTTTGGACAACTTGGGAGACTAGCTGCCATTGAGCAGAGCCTCATAGAAGTAACCTCAGAAAGGAAAAGTCCAGGCCTGAGCCTCTCACTCAGTACCTGGTAAGAAGGGCGAAAAAAGATGGATGAGAAGAGTCCAAAGATCTGCTCACTTAAAATACACGCTGTGGATGTTGTTGGCCGTGTCCAGCAGCAGCAGCGTAGCTCCCGCCAGTGGGTGGTCTGCCGTGCGCGCCAGCTCGACCACCTCAATCTTGCTGTTGTAATCGCTGCTGCCCCGAGCGAGCACCCGAATGTCGGGGTCATCACTACTGTAGTTCCACTCAGAAACAATGACCTCGTCATCATCTAGCCCAAAGTTGTTCACTGAGGCGTCGTCGGAAAGCTCAGGAACGTCCTCCAAGCACGCGGGAAGCTCGGTTCGTCCTTTTCCCCTTTTCTTGGAGAGCTGGGACGATCCGGCTGGAATGGAGCGCGCACTTTGAGGGGCATCTACTTCTTTGGATACTGTTGGTGTCTCTGTGGCACATCTAAGAGCAGACTGACGGTTGGGGCGCCTGTCGGTTGAAAATCCCCGGCTGTGCAGCGATGCTGGAGGTGCCCAATCCGGCGAGCTTTCCTGAGGCCACCCGAAACACAGCGCTGAAGACAGAAAGCTTCCCATGCACCAGATCTCAGCTGAGGGTGGTGCCAATGTGGAAGTGTTTAAAGGAACTGACGGCGCTGCTGGCCCAAGCTTCTGAGAAAAGAATGCTGATGAGATTGCGGGAAACAACGGTGGTGAGAGCTGAAGGGAGGCGGAGCAGATCGGCGCTGGAAGTAGGCGCCAAGCAACCACCTTCCGCACTGTGACCGCCATTCTGCGGAACAATGCTGACATTACAGGGGCAGCAATGTCATTGACAAGCACAAGAGTCACAGACCTTCCTCCCTTGTCGGTGCGTCCGACTCTGCAGTTGCTCAGAATGTCTAGCTGCGATAGAGAGCAAATGAGCTTTGTGTCTCCTTCTGGAAGCTCTCTGCCGCCGTGTTCGACGAAGTGGATAAAGCATTTTGACAAGTTTTGGACGACAGAAACAGCTGTGGTCTTCAGCGCAGCTCGAATGGAATATTACTGCTTCGAAATCGAACTCGAGATCTAGACAACAAGCAGGAAGGCCTCCAGGTGGCAGGTGGGTGTTGGAGCTCACTGCCTCACTGAACTTGAAGCTGCAATGCGGCTCATGCGCAGCTACAGTTGTGAGTTCTATGTTTATGTAGGTTGAATCTACAGGTCTGCACAATTCATGGCGTCCTAGTAAAGTTGCAGCTTCCAGGCCTTCACTCCCAGTCTTCACGGCCACATTGTCCTGCATTTGGCGCCATTGCAAAGCAACGCCTCAATTTTGCTGCTCGGCTCTGCATTGCTTCTACAAACTGCCGTCTAAGGTGGAGGCTGACAGGCAAGGACGGAAGCTCACAGAAGGCAATCGAATTTCAAGCTCTTTCAGTACGTGCCCATTACGAGGATATTCCGAGGGCTTGAAGCTGAGAATTTCACCCTCGTAGGATTTCCTAGCAAAGCGCTGCCAAGACACAGATTGCCCTTCTGTCCTGTAAGTAGAGGTGCCAACTTCTTCCCAGGACCTCTGTTCTCAACCGCACAGAAAGCCCTCCTCAGGTCAATCATAGGAGAGCAGAATAGAACGATGGCTACGACCAGTGCCGCTCTCACCACACAATTCTCCTTACTTCATGGGCCATCATTCACAGCACGACAGCGGGCCAGTGTAGAGCCAAGCGCTGCCAGGTGCTTAGCTTGCAGGCTATTGAGGCCAGCTCTTGGGGCAGTATCAAGGAGCAGAAAAAGAATGGGGGTTAAAGCCAGAAGGTAAGGGGCTTAATTCTCCCCTTCTCCTCCCTTCTCTATCCAAGTGCACCACTGACTGCGTGCGCTACGTTCCTGGGCAAGCATGTAACTCCCTCTTCCTGGTCAACTCCTATGTCGTAACAGTTCCGTTGCAACACATGCCAGAAATGAGGTCTATCACAGACCCTCAATCTGGTATCTACTTCAACAGTCAGCCTGCCGCAATCTTATCTCCCCTGCTTTGTAGGGCACTCAGGAATTCACCAAACTGAAAATCAGCAGGAATCTGTGTGTTGTTTGTGGAAGCGCCAGCTCATCTTGAACGGTTCGTTTGTTTTCCCTTCCCAGCTCACATGAAGAAGAAGGATGTTCTGCGGACCCTGCACTACTCGAATCGCGAGACGAGACCAAAGTGGGGTTGTCCAGAAGGGCCACTCTAGTGGGTGGAGCGCTTCTGGGTGCAGCGGTTGTAGGGTCAAGTGCGGACATTCGAGAAGCACAGGCTGCGGACGAGCCAGCAATCACACGGAAGGTGCACCGAGCTTTCAATCGAGCGTCTGTTGTTCCTGAGGTCGCGGTGCTTAGTTGGCGGTCTCATTGTGGCGCGGAAGAGACTGAACTTAAAAAGCTCTTCCATTGGTCTGGGTGGAATGGCTGCTTCTTGGCTGGCACGAAACCAATGATTCGAGTCTCTCTTCTGTGCATAGAGGGTGGACTAGACGCTTCTGGAGTGAAGCTCTCTCTCTGACAAGCCTCACGTCCATCAAAGATCTCTGGGGTTGGCAACAAAGACCTCTTAAGCCTCCGCTTTCCAGAGGTCTTTACTTTGTGTCCATGCGGTAGGCGGACCATGTTATAGCCCGCTGGGTCCCCTTGTCTCTGTCCTGATTTAGATTAGACGATAGAAAGCATTAGTACAGAAGCCATGAGTCGAGACTGATACTCAAAAGTCACTGTCGCATACACAACTCTCTACATTACTCGGAGGGTGCCGACCTGTATGTACAAGTCGTCCCTTCCTTTTTCGAAGCTGCAAACATAATTCTGCCACCTAGGACAGAGTGACTGCCTGCTATGCTTGCGCTTTCACCACGTTTGCAGCCGCCGTCAGGCCGACCTCTCCAGACTCAGGAGTCCCCAAGCTCCGTTCTTTCTCTCAGGCAGAGAGAAGGGAGCTGCCTTCAGAGTAAATCTTGCTTGACGAGGAAATATGAGTTTTTGACATGGCAACTCGCCCCTTTTGAAACACCTGGCAAATGTCCCTCTCGAAACGGCTCGTACGATTGCTCTAAGCCACCGTATGATAGGTTCTTGTTACATTGGCTGCAGGTCTTCTTTGACATCACAGTTGATGGTGAGCCGATCGGGCGGTTCGTCGTGGGGCTGTATGGCGACGACGTGCCAATTGGCACGGCTCGATTTGCAGACCTAGGTGAGTCATGGCGAATCTTAAGTCTCATTTTGGATCAGCTTTGATTGAAGGCATAGCAAACCTGGAAACGAAGGTCTGGTTGGCTTGCCTGCACCCTCGGAAGCCATCGTAACTCAAACCAAAACACTAGTGAGGACCCTGGAACCTTACAGATGCGTATCGTCTCTGCAGCGGCAGGCAAGCAATCGGTTGGGTACCGGAGACGGCCTATCGAGCTCATAACACCGGTAATGTTGTCCCTCTTTTCTTCACATTCAGAGGTTCCAGCAGACGGTGTGGTCCCCCATCCTTTCAATCGCATTGCTTCGAATGGTCGTCGCATCGCTTCGATCGAACGCTCATCATTCGTTCTTTTTCTGGTAGCCTTGGGTCGAGCCTGAGCCCTTTTGCTTTACGCAGAATGTCTTCGAGACTTTTCGAGCACCGTCTGCTTTCTTAGACTTTCTTCGAATTGCCGACGGTCTCATTCAGATAAGATGCTTTGTTGAGAGAAAGAATCTGTCTTCATCGAGCGCCATTCCTGAATTTTGCTTCATCCGCATGTTTCTCGGACGTTGCTTCTCCGCACTCAGCAAGACCCTGGCTCAACATTGAACATGCGTCATCCTTCTGATTGCTCGCTAACGTGACAGTCGTCTCTGCAGAACTCCATCCAGGGGGCCGCTTTAATATCCTTGTACCCCGGGGGTAATCGCTCCGCTGGGGTGAGATACCTTGTCCGCCGCTAACCTTTTTGCCCTTCTCGCTCCTTCGCCTTTCTTGTCCCCTCTATCATTCCTCCATTACCCCTTTTCTCTTTGTTTTAGGTCATGCGCCCGAAGATTTGCTTTGAAGCCTTCCTCTGCCCTCGCCACCTCCGCAGCGCTCTCTACCTCTCAATCCCTCTCACCCACGCCACTTCCTCGCGTTGACACTCATCCAACCCGCGTTCTTGCTGCTTCCATGAAATTCTGCGGTGACCAGTTCCTCATCCCACCTCTCAATCCTCGATGCCCCTGTTCGAGTAAACCCAGCAGCTCGCACTTCACAGAAGGTCGTCCTTTTGCGCTTTCAAGACGGGAAGACTTATGCACTAGTCAGGGTCTTGGACTTACGCCTTTACGGTGTTAAAGCCTTCGGGTAAACAACCTTGAGGTCACTCCGCTCCAGATTTGCTGCCAATCTAAAACCGACCTGGGGCGCATCAATGGGTGGCTTGATGTCCTCGTGCGGTTACCCAGTCTTGAAAGGAAAAGCCGACTCTATCTGCGGCTGCTGAAATGAGAAGAGTAAAAGCGCCGCGTCTCAAACCAGTCAAGCTGCCCGCTGTATCCGTGTATACACCTGCCTGCTCCGTTTTTTATGACACTACTTCGTCGAGCAGTTGCCTAAGCACTCTTTTTCGGGTTCAAATTAGCGTGACGATACATCTGGAATCTGGCTTCTCACATTCAGTCATTAAAACGAATTTGGTACTCCACGTTGGCGACATCTTGGTCTCGTGCTCTTTCCCTCCTTCCAATCGCGAGGTGCCACGTCCCGGCACAGTATACAGACCCCATCACGGACGTAAAAAAACAGCCGCTAATGTTTTTCTCTGCTTCGTGAAGTGCCACGTGTCAGCATCTTACGCTTCGATCGCTCTGTCGACACAGACCCCGATCACGGGCGGTGAGACGACGGGCCCGCTGCTGAACGAGATGGAGGCGCAGCGGGGGCGGATGAGCAACAGCCAGTATGCCGTGTCGCTTCTGATAGTGGACAGCAAGAAAGAGGCGGCCAAGCAGAAACTGGTGGCGGCCGATGGCAAGTTTTACGTTGTTGAGGTGCGTTCCTGATTGGTCCCTCAAACACGTCATTCAAAGGTTCTTAGACGGGATGTCTAAGACGGCGTTCTGTGTTCTGGAACTCAGTTGCCCTGTTGGCCGACTTTTACATTGTGGAGGTGCGTCCCGGATTGGTTCGTCGTGCGGAAAGCGGACACTTTTCAAAGATCCAGGCGTGTGTGACATCTGAGGGGATGTTTTTGGTCGTCATTCCGAGGTTTCTCGAACGGAAACCTGAGACGGCTTCTGTGTTCTGGGATTTCGTGGTACCGTAGGCAGACTTTTACATCGTCGAGGTGCCTTTCTAATTGGATCGTCGTAGGAATGCAACGGACACTTTTCAAAGATCGATGCGGTGCGAGAGCAGACGATTGTTTTTGTGAGGGTCGTACATGTTTGTTTGTGGAGGTACGTCGTTCAGAACTTCCTCGTACAGGAGATCTGAACGCCGTTTGTGTTCTGGAACCGAGTGGTATTATCCGAAGCTGATCGTAACAGCATTTTCTCCGAGTAAATCGCCTGCAAACATTCGGACGTCGTTGAGATGCATCGTGTAAGTGTTTCTTTGCGGGACATCGGCGATCGTGTTTCTCCTGGCTGACAACTGGGATTCGTTTGAGTGACGAAGCAGGGATAACAAGTGCTGATTGACCACAGCTCGCCAATAGACGTCGCACGGACTTAGAGCCGCGAAACATCGTGCGTCAACCATTGTGCCTGAAGATCATAATTCGAAGGTCCAACAATAAGTTGAGAGGCCCCGTTCTCGTTGTAAAGGCAAAGTTCCGCCGGATTTCCTAGACCAATAAGCGACAAGCCTTTTCTTGACTGTCTCAGGAGAGCAGCCGACCGGAACTGAACGGCACTGCGTTTTCGATTGCGACGGTGGACGCCCCGGAGCTGGACAAAACGAACCTCGTCATCGGACGGTGAGACCCGTGGTTGCATCTTGCATTGATCTTTCTAACATCCACGGGATGAAGCTGGTTTACTTTTGCAACAGTGTCTGCGTTCTTGTACAGGTGAGGATGTTATTGACACCTCTTCGTGTCATGGTTTGTTGAACGTAAGGCAATGTTTAGTGTTTATGTACTCAGGAATGCCTTCTAATGGAGGTGACAAATTGATTCAAATTGAGGCGTCCCGTTCCGATCTGAATAAAAAGTTATGTACCATCGTTTATGTTTGAATCTTCGAGGAGGGTAGAACGTTGTTTGGTCATGCGTCTGATTCTACAGACTCGTTCTTCCAACTTCAAACCATGCATCGGTATCTCAACTTCTTTGCTAAGAGAAGAGTCACATGGAGTTAACCGCTCTGGAAAAGGTACCTGAGATGTCCGGTGTGTGATTGCCAAATGGCACTGGTTTCTTACAACTCGAAAAGTCTACCATACACACAAGCTCCAAAGGCACCTTTAGTTCTTGTAGAAGGGCCCGGCTTCTGAAGGCCCGTTGACTTGTGACCACCAAAAGCGACGGCTTTCTTTTGCAGAGTGATCGACGGCATGGAGGTCGTGAGAAAGATTGCAAACTTGCCAGTCAATAGAGACAATTCAGACAGCGGCTTTTTCAAAGTAGGGAAACTCATAGGAGACCGGCGTGCCATAGTGGCTGAAAGGGGCTTCAATCGTCCATTCGCAAAAGTAATGGTGGCATCGTGTGGGGAGCTTGCTAGTCAAGAATAATATATTATGTGGCTCACGGAAGGCCGGCATAGATCCTGACCATGCTTTCATCAGGTCAATGTGCCCTCCTCCCACAAAGGGCGCGTTTTCCAATGATTTTGCATGATTGCTCAAAGGACTGCACTGGTGGCCTGGACAAGGTGTTGAACTTGGGAAGACTCACGGCAAAAAACGATCGAAAGGATGCACTTCGTGCATAGCGCTCAAAGTTCTCGTAGTTGAGCTTCAACTTGTGCTCTCTGTTTCTCAGAATCTATTTTCTTCTGGCCCGAGATTATCAATGCATCGGTGTGGACTATGCATGCTCTCCGTGCTCAATGAAGTAGCTGGGCTGATGCGGTTCACGTCTCTTGAGTACGTATCAGGACCTCGCTCAGCTGCCAGTGCCGCCTTTTCATTCGCAGGGCACCCGGGGCTTCATCTTTTCTCAGTCTTGATACCGAGATTTTGGACTAGGTACGCCCGTTGCCGCGTGATTGTAGCAGTCTACCTACCATACCGCCGCCGGTAAACGTGTACCAAAATCCCCACGACAATTTTGCCTGATATTACAGTACCGTAGGTATCTACCGTAGTACCGTACCGTAGACTGTACCTAGTACCTACCACGTACCGGTATCCGGGCAGGTACTTTCTGACGGCCCTGACGGTACATTGATTACGCCTGAACACGCGTCTTCGTTGGCAGAAAGCGAGAAGGGGATTGAACGGCTCGATCTCATTCTCCGATAGCTGTTTATGAATCGGACGGTTCCGTGTGCAGACCGGCGATGCAGTGATGATTGCAAAATTATGAGGCTGTGTAACAACCTCCCCCAGGCGGTTACAATCTGCTCAGATAGGTAGAACTAAACAAAATGACCTCACCGAAAGCAAAAATCTGTGGTCTTTTCGTCGAACCGCGTGGGTAATCCAGCCCGCCATGATTCCGCTCTAGTATTACTCCTATTTTGCTATGGACAATGGCCAAACAAGACTAGCCAACGCTTCGACGTTGAAACATAATCTGGAGCTTCGGAGATAACTGAAAAGCGCCTCACCCAAAACGACAAAACGCACTCGTGAGAGTCCACGTCACGATACGGTATGGGCCCCGATTCTTTCGCGGTCGCTTTTGGTGTGCACCATTCGTTGTAACACCCGACGAAAACCTTAGAAGTTAATCCATACAGCAGCAACGCCGCTACCGGGAGTTTATTGGCTCAAAACTAGCTTAAGCGTGGCGACCACCTAACGGGTTTGACTCGAACAAACCCCCTTTCAAAGGAGGTTATCGAACTTACGTAATCCTAACTTTGTTTTTCAAAGCGGCGACCCTGACAGGCTGGCGTCACACGCGCGTCATTTGCTCACGTGGTCAGGAATCGGAGTCGGCAATACGGTTCGGCAGATACGCCGGGCGAGTTTTGCCGTACGACGCGTGTAGCCAGGGTGTCCTCTGTCTCAGGCGGGCCCAGAAATTTGGACGGAGGGCCATGTGAGCGGTGATGTCAACAAAGAAAGGGGCAGATTTTGCATTTTAGGCACCTTCGAGGTGGCGCACGTACAAGGGGGCCCGCGTGGGGGTTGCGATCTCTTCAGGAGGGGTGCATGTGACTCCTCAGCTCAACCGTCCTCCCTTGGGAGCCAACTTGCCTCCCATCATTCCGAGTCCGAGTCGGCATAGCCATGGCAGCTTCCTGCTGAACCGCCAGGGCTGGCTTCAAGGGGGGCAACAGATCTGCAGTGCAGGTTTGCTGATAACGGTTTGCTCTCACATCTGGGAGTATGTCTGGCACTCTGAATTCTGACCAGGGTGACAGCACTGCAGGGAGCGTCCAGGAGGAGGAGGATGCTCTCAAGGAGGCTGTGCAGCCGGCTCCGACGGTGAGGATGTCCAACAAGGCTTTGTGAACGTCCCGGAATGTCGGCAAGGGTTGCAGCCGGTCTCTTCTGGTTTTCAGCACAGATTCCTAGAGTTCTTTGTTTCAACCTATTCTGCAGATTATTCATTTACTCTTGTTTCACCAGTCTGCTATTCTGCCTTGCTGTTGTGTTCCGAGTCAGAGTAGGTTTTCATGCAGCCCTATGTTGTCCAAAAACCAGCAACAGGGTCTATAGGAAAGTTCCTTTACATCTTCCCTTTCTATTTACCTGTTGTTGCGTCTTTTCAGAGCTGCCTCACCTTTCTTGCTGGTCATCTTTGCAAGGGGACTTGAAAAGCGCATGGGTTTCTTTATGTACCTTGTATCGCGCTGGCAAATAAGAGAGGCCTTGTTTTTCTGGATGTCACAACGCATCGAGTAAGCATGAAGCTTTGTGTCTGCAGAAAGATTTCTTTACTTCGGAGACCCTGCCTTCCATTACATTCTTGTGCACCAGAGCAGCATATTTTCCTTGTTCAAGAAACCGTCAACACCAAGTTTGGAGAGTGGTGCATCTGCTATGAATGAAACTCTGTTCTATATGCAGTTGTTGTCTGCTTACCCTGTCTGCTCTGAAGGTGGAAGCGCTTGAAAGTGATTTCACTTCCCTGCTTCGCTCAGGCTGGGTTGCTCGATGCCGTCATCCTATCCTCTTGCGTTCACTCCTAAGAGCTGTTCATTGTGGATTCGAGTCTGTACCGATACAAAGCTGTAGATTGTTGGAGTCAATGAGAAAAGTTGTATTTCCCTGAGTCTTTGTCATACTTACCCTGTGCAGTCATTTGACCTTATCTGTATCACTCTCTTGTTTGATTCCCAGCAAGCAACCAATGCAACAGTTCGGCTTTCATTTTGGTCGCTCTACGCATCCATCTCTAGTAGTGGTGGTGGAAGCGTGTGCAGCATTTGAGCACCTGACAGAAGAATTTGAGGCTTCCGGTTGATAGCTGGCGAAGTTTTAGCATGGATTTTGTCAAACTTCCATTCGTGATGCATCCTTTGAGCCCTATGGTTTTGTCCACAGAGAAGAAACCCTTCATTTGACAATCTGATGAAGTTACGGCGGACTCTGAATAGCGATTCTGGGATTTGTGTAGCGCAGATACGTTACTTACTCGTCAAGCGGTATGATGACAAACTGCAATTGCTTGCAGAATCACCAAAGGAGCTCTCCTGCTTCTGAGGAGTCCAGTCAGGTCACTGAAGAACCAGAGCAGCACACGTCGTCGGCAGTCTATCAGCCGGGAGCGGCTTCAACAAGCAGCCAGTTGACAAGTGGCATGGATGGAAGGTAGGCAAAACGTCTTCAACTTGGTGCGCCCATTCTTATTGTTCTTGGCCCTCGTTTCGGACTGGTTTTTTCATGTCTCACCAAGAACTATGCTTGCAGTGACATGGCATGCTTGGGGAGCTACAGATTGCATCAATCCAATGTGCAACTCACCTACCTGTTCCATAAAGCTCGAGGGCCCATGTTTGAGAACTCTTCTCACCTTGAAAGCTGTGAACTTATGGCAACATAGTTTTCAGTGATGCAGTGCACCATGTCTTTAGTCTGCATGGCGCAAACGTTTCAAAATGAATCGAGAGATCTGCCGAGCTGCAGTCTTTGAAACTTTATGGTGACATCTTTCAGGTTTTGAACAAAACGCCTGCCATTGCTCTGTTCTACCAGGCCTCTGTTCAGTATCCAGACTTTCACATGCATGCCAGTCCATTGGCGGTCTTTTTTTTTTCCCCATGCTGTTCTCGTCAAAATTTAGAGGATTCAAGTGCTGAAAGGGGCTTTTAGGGTTTTTTAACAGGGGGCCATGGGGTTTTAAAGGAAGGGTTCTGCTTGCACTGGGGTAATACTATCATCGCTCTTGTTGCGTGTTGGACATCTCTGACGCAGGCATGCCTTACACAGCACTTTCTTCCTCGCAGGCTAGAGTCGTCTGCCAACAAAAGCGCGCCCCTCTCCCGCACTCCTTCGCCTGGCGTCGGCCCTCCGGACAAATCTCGCTCCCCCCCCTTCGAGCTGAAGTCGAGCCTGCCCAAGCGCGGAAGCAGCCGCCCCCCGGGCTCGAGCGGGCCTCCCTCTGAAGGACACACTACCCCCCCACTGCAGCAGCTGCGCAACTCCGGCTACCAGCAGGATCAACCCCCCAGAGGCGCTTACCACCCCCCAGAACAGTTCGGGGTTATGCCGCAGGGCCCACGAGGGCCTGCCGGGGGGGTGGGAGTAGGCCACGGGTGGCTGGCGAAGGAGCATCAGCTACCCCCCCACCAAGAGATGGCGCGTGGTTGGCCTCAAGCGGGGGCCCATGGGGCGCATGGTTACTATGAGCAGCCGCGGTACAGCCCCCCTGGCACGGAAAACGACATGCACTACGCTGTTCATGGAGGGGATCACGGGGGGTACCAGGGGCTGAGGCCACCAATTGGAATGTATGACGACCATGGTATGCATGGTGAGGAACGTGATTTGATCATTTGTTCCCAAGTTGCATTTGCATTGTTGATTTGCTAGGGGGTCCTGGTTTCTTGTTCACAAGGAAGTTGGGAGTTGGTTCTGGAAGGGGTTTGTTCAAGTTGCAGGTAGTTCAAATCAACCCGCTTGGTAGCCTCTCTTTGATGCTGAGCAGTAGCTTTTACGATGTGAATTTTAGAGGACTGCAGTAGGTCAGTTTTCAAATTTTGATTGCAAAGATTTGTTTGTGGAGGTTGATGTTCCAAGGTTGTTGGAAGCCTGCTCAATTCTCTTAACAAGCACTGTTTTCGGTTGAGAAGATGGTTGTTTATCAGACTTACCATTCTTTGACATGCAGATGAGATAGTGTCTGAACACAAAAAGAAAGGCCAAGAGACTGCATATCCTCGAGTACACCTCTTTTTTTGAGACTGCCGAAGGCTGTCTCTGTCAGTCATTGTTAGCAGGGATTGTTCCAACCGGCAGGAGTTAATACTGGGTGTGTTCACACAGAAGTCGCAGCCTTATTAAGGTGCCAGTTTTGGTTTGAAAACAGGGACGGATGTGGGATTGCTAGTATTTTTTCATAAGTGAAATTCTTGACGAGAAGAAAATAAAACTAACAAAACGGCAGTGGCGTTTCTTGCAGGCAACTACCAGTACCCCCCCGACAGCCAGGGCCTCCCCTACAACAAGCAGCACATGCAGCCCATTGCTCCCAACCGCATGCACATGCACGGCGGCATGTACAACCAGCCAAAGGGACACCGCGGGCGCTCCTACAATCCGGGCAGGGTTCACCCTGATTACCCTGTGGAGCAAGTCGACCCCCATATGGCACGCGCACATCAGGAAATGCTCGCTCAGCAGCAGCAGCAGCAGGTGAGCTGCGGGCCACTTCGTCCTCCTCCGTTTTGGTTTGCTCTTTTCCGTGTGTGCTTGAAGTCTCATCTGACTTTCAGAAGTTTTGATTCTTGCCCTTGAGTTGGTTGGCTGCCGTCATTGATCTTTGTTGTGGAAGTGTACATGCGTTGGTTTGTTGTGCTTCAGATATCTTTTCCGCGATTTGAAGTTTCCAAACAGATGCTTCGCGGCGTAAGTAAGAGTACCTGGGGGAAAGTCACATATTCGATATTGGATCTGGTCTTGAACTGATTTGTTCTCTTACCATCTGAAAGTGATGGTAATCATCACTTTCATCTTTAAAACCTTAGTTGTGAACCCCGAAAATGATTGCTGAAGGGCGATTGCCAATCCGTTTGCAGATACGGGGCCAGGCCCCCCAGAACATGCAGCGCGGCGCATACCGTGGCCAGCGCGACGGCGGCCATGGCATTGATAAGCAATTTGACGGCATGCGCCTCGACCAAGGGGGCCCCAAGAGCAGCTCGGGACTTGACGTGCACGCTCCGGAGTACGGGGGCGGCAAGAAGTACTCCCCTCCTAACCAGGTTAGTAATCAAGGGTCATCTTATTCCCTCACATTGTCCTTTCTTTTGTCATCGCATCTCTTAGTTGCCACCCCGTTTCTGAGAATGGAAGCTTTCATCTTCGTTTTTGAGCACTGCCGGGTGTAACCCCGATCTTCTCTTGTCTGCTGAATCCCGATCCAAGCATAAAGGTACATAGATGCAAATGCTGATTTCTGCTCCCCTTTTTTCATCCAGGAGTTCCTCAACTTCTCCCCCGGGAACGAGGAGTATCTGAGCCCGTCGGGTGCGGGCTCCCGCGTTCCCCCCTCCGAGAACGCCAAGCGTGACGGCTCGAGGAGCGTTCTTGGTTGCATCGGAGACGGGCGCAGGGGCAGTTCCGGCACGGAGTCGGAGGGAGGGGGAGACTTGCAGGCCCCCAGCGCCTCGCGTCCGGGCACCTCTCAAAAGGGGGGGTCTGGAATGAACAGGACCGGGGGGGAGGAAAAAGGTGGGGAAGGGTACGAGAAGGCGGCCAAGATGAGCTGGGCGAGCGTGATGGCGAACGGCATGGCCAAGGACGATGAGAAGAAGAGCGACTCGGAGGACGGGGAGCCGAACCTGGAGGACAAGAACTGGGTGGAGAAGACGATCTCCAAGCAACAGAGGGAGGTGAGAGTTGAGATTAAGTGGAGGCGCTTTGGGGCTAAGGTTTTTTCTAAAGATCTGGTGGAGTCGGTCCCAGGGAATTAGTCTGACAGGCGTTCAGTGACTGCAAATCCTGGCAGGTGAAGCTTTCAAGTGCCGAAGGTTTCTGACGGGTTGGCTGAAAGTGCATGGTACTCTATGCGGGTTTCCTGGCCTGGATACGAGATCCCCCGACTTGGTGTACTGAAGTTGGAAAGTGCAGAGATGTGTTAACGAAACGCAGCCTTATGTGTTGGCGACAATCGAAGGCTCACACACATGGCGTCCAACGAAAGCGCTATCTCTTCTGGTCCTCGCTCTACTTAGCTCCCGTCTTCAAGTTCTTTCACTAAGCGTTACTTCTGTGCTGCAGAATGAGCAGCTCCAGGCAGCGGCTATCAAGCTGGCGCAGACAGTGGTCAACTACGAGATGCGCCAAGGAAAGGTGAGATGCTTGGCCGGGCAGGAGGGTTCCCCATCACCCGACAAGGGCACAGCTCGTTGTGGCCTTCTGTGAAGTTGCCTGATGCTGGCTTTACCATGTTGCGACCAGATTTTACAGTCTGTACGAACATGCTTGGCTTTACGAACATGTTTCGATTTTCAAAAGAATCAGGGCGGAAGGGACTCCGATATTTTGTGTCTAGCTCTGAAAGTCAGCCTTTCTCAACGGGATGCTTCGGAAGAGGCTATTGGTTCGGGAAAGGGGTTTGATGAGGTTGAGATTATAGTTACTCACAGCCCTTTCGTGATCGGTGGAACTGTTGGATTCGGAGCCAGCAGTCGACCCGGCAGTAATCACATTGGCTGAATCCAAATAAGACCGAGGCCCTGAGTGTTATCAAAGCCCTCATTCTAGGCGGTTGACAAGGTCAACTTGGTGGAGAGGTTGGAGCTGCAAGCCCTGCGCTTGCACCTACTCTTGAACATACATCCCGATCCCACTGCTTCGGACCGATCTCTGAACCCCCCGTTTCTTGATACAGGCGGCCGGCGCGGACAAGCCGAGTGTGGAGATGGAGCTGCAGGGGCTGAACGGGACCCACTTCGCCAAGGGCGCGCCAATCTGCGTCCACTTTCTGCAGCACGGGCAGTGCACGTGGAAGAGCCGCAGCTGCCCCAACAGTGACACGCACCACTGCGGGCGGTGCGGGGGGCCTCACGGGACCAAGGCTCACTCGTACCTGCTCAAAGTCCTGGACCAAATGCGCTAGGGGCAGGGGGATACGGGGTTGGGGGACAGGTTTGATGGGCGCTTTTCGAAGTGCGGGCAGAGGAGGGTTTTGGGAGGGTTGCGATGTCTGTGGGTAGAGAGTGGACCGACGTGAGGGAGGCGTGCGGTTACAGCGGTATGGAGCGGGTTTACAGAGCGACTAAAATCGAGAACGAGGAGTGTGCGGAACTGGAAGTGTGTTTGAGAGAGAGTCTCGGGGGGCCCGCGACGGAGCGGATGAGAGGCGGCGCAAGTTGCGGGGCGGTCACGAGAAGAAGCTGAACGAAAGAAGCGATTGTGAAGCGACACGGGAGCCACTGGCGGGAGTTGGGTGCTGTGTTTGTAGAAAGCCTGCGGGCGGGCAGGCGGGTAGGCTGTGGGTGGCGACGGTTCTTTTATCGGGGGGCTTTTTGTTAGGGACAGGAGATTGCGTCTGTCGTGAGACCAGGGGGGCCTAGTCGGAGTGAGGCTACGGGGTACCGAATCGGCGAACGCGACGCTCGGAGGGTCTGTTCAGCGGCCAGGAGGATCACAGATGCGGGAGGAGTTGCGCGCGCGCCCGCAGGCATTCTCGTCCGAAGGGGTGCCCGTTTTACGACAGCGCATGGTTGGAGGGGGGTGTTTCAGCAGGCGATGTGAAACAGGGGGTGCTTTGAGGACAGCCAACAGAAATTGAACGAAGGAATGGGCAGTCGGCGTTCGATTGTCTTCGGGTGAGCGAATCAGCGGGCGGGGGGGGAGCCTGCTGTAGCTCCGGCGGACTGTCGGGATTCGGCAGCCGGTGTCCGGGGCTCAGGTTTCAGTTGGGCGGACACGCAGCACAATTTTGGTAAGGAAGAGAGAAGATTCAGGGGCGGCAGAACAGGCAGGGAGGCAGGGGTGAATGCCGGTACAAGCACGTTGTACATACTGTACTCTGCGAGCATGCTGCGGCAGAAACTGGCGTGCCCCTGCCCGGGTTTGATTTGGACCGTCAAAAGAGAGACGCCGGCTCAGTAGCAATACACGCGTTTGGTTTAGCTAGAACATTAGCCAGCTTACAGCCCCAGGCCAGTTGGGCTTCCGTCGTAGTGTCGGAGCCAGGCCTCGAATTTCCCCAAGCAGCCTGTGAGATGAGCCCTTGCATGGTTGGCGGCACCCAACCTGGGGTTCGGTACTCGTCTTCCTAGGACCGGTTCAGAACCTGACGATGTGCAAGAGTGCTTCGGGCCCCAAATCAGCCAACAGCGGAACGCTGGTTGCAAGGTCGAGTAGGACGTTAGGCTCGTCAAGCTATCTATGCTAAGAAGTTGATCAGCAAAGGCGATGAAGATAGGTAAAACTCCTGCATTTAGGACGATAACGGTTGCTATGGGGCATCTTCTGCTCTTGAATTCCATATGCAAGCACGGTTGAGATATAGTAGTCTGGATTTGCGGCGATCCTTTTGCTTTGAGTCAACTTGAAGTTTGACTATGGTACTAAAATTTATGCTCTTATTGTACCGTCTGAAGGCACTTCAGCTTAGTTTGAGGCACGGCAGCTTGCGCCGCGTGACCAGCATGGCATGAGAATGTTGATTGCGACGTGATTGCATCGCAGAATGCTGGTTGCACATGCCCAGCGGCGGCGCGCCACACAAAAGAATGTGACTCTGTTCTGTCTGGCCCTAGCTGCCACATGTATATCTGATTGCTGGCATGACTTGGATCGACGGTGTGCTCAAGCTCGGGCCGCCACTGCATATGTGTGTTGTCTTGCAATGGTGATTTGTAATGTGCTACAACGGTATACGAGCGCAAATGCGCTGCATGCACCACTCAACCAATTGCATTCAATGATCATGCATCCATACCTGGCCGGCATGCATATTGTTTGGCCGATTAATGTCTAAAGCAGAGCATGTCTGCGCAAGAATGCGCGCGCACACATACATGTGATGTAGTCCAAGAGACATTAAAAGACAATGTTCGATGCATGTGCGTCAGTTTATGTAGTCGATTTGCATCATACAATGCGCGCTCACCAGGCTACATTGTACTACCTAGTATCGCATTATGATAGCGACGTCCTGCCCTCTCCGAACCTTGAAGTCGAAAGCTCGCTCAAAACAGCTTTCCCACTTTTGAACAACCAGCATAAACACACTAGGTGTAACATGCAAATGACGTCTGAAGGCCTCAGCTGATGTGTAGCAGCAGTCAGGCGCGTGTCTGTACAATCAAAGTATTTGGTTATATTAGATCAATACATGAGAGCCTATCACCCCGCAACGTTCTCATTGACGCACCAACGCAGTAAAGCTTGGGCTATGGGCAAACGTGGCATGGTTCATTGCGGCGCCTATCCTTCGCAAAAAGCTTCTCAAGAAGTATCTGGCGGTCTTCCTCGGTAGGTTCTTCTTTAATCAGCCGCTCCCTTAGAAGCCATGCTTCTGACCGAGTGCTGTCGCCAACAACCTGTAAAGTAGGGCACACGCTTCACCAGAGGACCGTGCAGCCAAAAGCTCCTTACTATGTTCTAAGTGACACGATTATGGAAAAAAAAACGAATACTTTTGGACAAGATTACGTAACGGTCAAAAAGGACGAGATGCCCGATGCACAGAAGCGATCCGTGTAGCAGCATGAGGCCCCGTGCCGGATTCGAGGCCAGCTTTGACAATGGACACACAATCCGATTAAAGTGTTTTACTTCTGCGCAGAGTGTGACCGCCAACAACGACGGTTGCCATTTGAAGATACGAGCGTTTGCAGAAATGCTTCCACAGGTCAGATACCACCCGCTTCTGAATCCCAGCCACCATAATGTGAACTCGTGCTTCGTCGTGCGTCCAATTACTCCGTAGCATGATTTTCGGGGGGTTCGGCGTGCTGACATTAGCCAGATTAAGCACCTGGCGCGCTCACCTGGACGAAATTGTTGACATTGCCCATGTTGTCCGGCCGTGTCAGGGGGCTGTCCGGGTTGTACGTCCAGTGGCCGTCCACAATGAACTTGTATTGGTACCGCCCCGCCTGAAAAGCGACGAGCCTGAGTGAGAAGACTTCGCCTCGAACCGCCCGAGGAAGGCGGGGCCAACTGTCGCAGAACCGTCAAAGAACCCCCTCCTTTTGAGATCGCCTGACACCCACCGTCTCACACGCATGGACAGACAAGATGATTGAGACCTTTTCCCAGAGCGCTGACCCGTAAATTTGAAGACGTGCAGCTGGCCGGTGCACCAGCTTTCGAGAAGCATTTGCTGAACCGAAAGTCCGCTCAGATGAGATTGAAAACCAGAGTGCAGCGCCATGGTCGACCCTTGCGTTCCGCTCCATTCCTTAGAGACAGCACGCAACGGTCGGCCGTCGCAGATGAGGTACGCCCTGATGGAAACTTCAATACGGCGAAGGCCTACGAAAGTGGTTCTTCGAGGAAGGAAGGAACCGCGGTGGGCATCATATTGTCAGAAAAGAATCTTGACACGGATCGCAGAGGACAGAAGTACGGAGACGAGACCAGGTTCTTACGGGCAGCAACCGCTCCAGGATCCATCGCCCGTCCTTCCTTTCCAGCTGCAGCCGCCCCCCCCAGCCGACGTCGAGTCCCGCCACCTCGACCGTTTTCGGCACGCCCCCCGACCGCCAGACTATCGTCACGGGCTCCTTCGACCCCCCCGAAATGACGTCGCACGTCGCGGCCCGGATGGACTCGAGCTTCGGGTGGCATGGTCGCACTTCTTGCAGCCGCGCGTTGGCCTCAGCGAGAGTGAAGCCGCGGAGCCAATGCATGTAAGCGAGCTGTGAAGAAACGATAGACATTCATTCTTCAGGAGCGGAAGAGGGTTAGTCCTGTTTGTCAGCAAGGGATCGTGATGTAGCATGGACGTCTGACCTTCTTTATCGGTTTTGGTTGATCGAGAATGAGGCTTAGCTTTCGTTGCATTTCCGGGGCGACTCGTCCAACAGGGTTCGGAGGAAAGCTTGCGCAAAGCACAGACTCCTATTAGTCAAGAGGCGAACTGAGAAGCTCGCTTTTAGGAACTTTTCGTGTCTTCTCTTGCGTGTGAGCGCTGAAATCTGAGCTGAGCTTAGAAGGGGACACTGAGTCAGTGTATTCATCCGACGGAAGCGACTTACACTCGGAAGGGAAGAGACCGAGTCCAAAACGTCCCGTCGAGGAGAGCGGCTGACAGTCGTTCTTTGCATCCAAATTTCCGACCATAGGGAAGAATACCATCAAAATGATGGACCCCAAAGTGATGCTAATGTTCTCCCGAAGCTAATGAAGAAAAGTAATTTGGCTCTACGGCTCGACAGAAGATAGACGGGGTTTGGAAAGAGCAAAACACTGACGGATGGAAGACTCACAGCCACTCCGGGTGCCCGGCCGAGCCCCGCAGTACAGTGGATGTACACGGTCTTTCCTTTGCACCGTTCAAACGCCTCGTGAACGGTCTGCACCGCGTCTGGCAAGCACATCCGCAAGTCGAACGGGTCGAAGTCCCTGTCAAAGAAGGTGCAAGCGAATCAGACTCGTTTTTGGCTTATTTTTAACCCGATCCTCCTGCGTCAACTTTCTTTTGCTTCTGCGACGTTGAGGATACTCGATACACGAGGATAGAATCCTGTATGCTTCTGGACGGAAACATTGGCGTCCACTAAGCACGCCGAAAAAGGAAGACCCATACCGTACACGAGATGTGCCTACATGCAACAAGCAGATTTTCTCACGTGGCTGTACATGATCGAGAAACTGGACTCGAGCGTCCACGAAATCTGGACGATCCACACCATCCTCCTCACCTCTTTTCTTGGGGCTATTCTCAATCCGCAAGCTGCAGGAACGTGTTCAGAACGATTCAGACACTTGATCTGCAAGGAGAAATAGGATCGAACGCCTCTCTCATAGTCCGAACAAGGAACACGGACCTGATAGGCGATCGGATGTGCTCGACGTCCTTTCGTTCTGCGCAGCGCCGCTGAATGGCCCCCAAATCCAGGCTGAAATAGGCCAGGTCGGGGTCCTGCTGTAAGCAGATGATCGCTCCGACGTTTTCTTCCTCCACCAGCCGGTCAACATCCGCCGGTTTCTGGAAGAGAGAAGAGTGCGAAAACAGTTTGTTTCAGGCATCATAGAAGGTATCGCAGAAAGATGGGGATACTTCCAATACGAAAACTGGAACAAATGATGTCCTTTGCCTGGACTTTGCAGTGAAATGAACGACACTTGCTGAATGAAATCTTTTTATCGGTCACTTGAACGTCTTCAGTCTTTGAGGATATGATTGTACTGAAAGAGCAACTCTGCTTGAGTAAATCATCTAGAGGCAATTCTCAGGAAAGCATGTCAAAAGTCGGAAGTCAAGCTCCGTGCTTTGCTATTGAAACATGAGTTGGCCCATTCGAGGGCCAGAAATGATTTGAAAACATGAAGTGAACGATCTCACCTGAAGGCAAGATCCGACGATGAGGTCGGGCAACACGTGTGCAAAATTCATCCCCAACTCGTGCCGGTAAGTAAGTGCTGCAAACAGGGCAGAAAATATCAGTACAAGCTCAGATCCTGAAGCTCAACCAATGACAGAGACCGATTCTTAGTGTGCTTAACACGCAGTCAACTACCAAGGTACAGTCAGGAACGCTGGCTGAAGTGTTATCAACTTCACTGCTCGCTGGTTCCAAGTATTTACCCTTTGCCTTGCTCCTAGATAGTAAACAATCCTTACCAGTCCCCATGGTCTGCTGCATCGTTTTCGAGTACTCGTCCGTCTTTGCTGCATCATCCTTCTTGCTCCCAGCCGCAGCAGCGGCTGCCGTTGCATCAGCCTGAGCAATGGGAAGAGCGTCACTGACTTCCAACCTAAACATACAAAACTCAGTCTGCTACTTTGAACGTTGGACCAAGCTAAAGAAGACGTACCTCCAGCAGTATCTGTCGAAGAAGCTTCTATGAAGGCCATGAAAGGATTCCAAATCCCCATTAAAATTGACATTCGAATGCACCAGCACAGATTCAAGCAACCTACTGGACACCACTTGTCCGATATACTTTGATACAACAACATTTTGGAGGGGCATGTGTAAAAGCACAGTGGGAGTTCTCACCTGCAAGGCTTGCTGTGTGTCTTTTGGCGCCTCACGCTCGGCAGCAGGGGCTGGCATTGCTGCCATGGGAGGGGCTTGCTTGTACATCAGTTTCTGCAAATGTGCTGGAGTACGCCACCCAGGATTCGTCCACGTTCGTGAATTTCCGGCTACAAGGGCCCTTGAGAGAGGGGGCTCAGGCGTACCAGATGGCAAGCTGCCCCGAGCTACTAATTGCTTGCAACAGCGCCTTGGTAGTCTGCTCTTAGCTGCGTCAAGATGGCCTGCTTGTGGCAACCCAAAGGTTGGACGTAGATCAGCAGTAGTGCTATTCGCCCACCCACTCAGTTGCAAATTGCTCAATCTGCAGTAAAGTGAAGTTCACGTTAGAGCCAGGGAACTTTAAAATACAATGTGATGTGATTCTTCGCACTTGCATATGTCAAAGTTTCTGAGAGGAGGTTACTTGCAGAATCTGCATGTGTTCACATGCTGGAGTTCACGTACGCAGCTGCAAAGGAACCCAGGGCTAAGTAACCATCCCCATTGCAAGTACAATTCAAAATAAACTATCCACTTGTCGGATCCAAGTACTTGAGTCACCTGTTCTTGATCTCCATTCTTAAAAGAGGCCAGTGCATGGAACAATTTGCACTCTACTGCCAGCGTTTTCAAATCTTCAGGAAGACCGGACCAAAATGTAAATCCAATGCAAGAGGCAATTTTCACCTTGGTCGCATCGCCGTCTGTTGACTCCATGCCATCTTTGTCCCACCCTAACCGGTCAAGAAGCTGAAGCGGCGGGTGGCCCACGTTGTTCTGCAAGTGCGATCCAGAAAGATCCACACACAACGTTGGCTTGCAATTGTGGTCCAAGTAGATCACAGATCAAGGCACCACGCGTCCTTCTCTATTTCCTTGGGATCCCCACAAATCAGTTCATCAACCTTCAAACAAAGGCCGGAGAACGGAGAGTCGAACCTGAGGACCTTCCCCTGCGAAAAGATGGCATTGGTAGATCTTTGACTTCTGCCTCTTTGACTCGACGACTCTTTCGAGCCAGTCTTCACCGTCTTGCAGAGGTGCTTGCAGGAGGGGAGTGGGAAGGCCGGAGGCGGACTCGAAGTCATGATGGACTCGGAGTCAGAAAGTGTGTTTCGCTTAACCTCCCCGCCGTTATCAAACTTTGGCTGCTCCAGTGTGCGGTTTTGAAGGTAACCTTGATGTGGCGTTTCGATGTCGAAACATGGGGTTTAGGGTTTCAGGCTCATGACCTCTCCACTTTCGCGACCCAGCTTGAACTTGAAGTCGAACTTGGAAATCGCACATGCATGGGCGCTCTGCTTGCTGCTCGCAAAGTTGGACTTCTGCAAGTTCTGGACAGTAAAAGTTTGTGCGCACGCCAGGATACAGGCTACAGCGTCATTGCTTGCTGGGAGGCCTTCCAGAGGTCCCTCGACGCACCTCTTTGGCGCTTTTAAAGTTTGAACGTCCGGCACTGGGTTTGGGCGCACCAGACTAGGAGCTACACCTTGCTGAACCTGGTAAAGGCACACGGCTTGTGTACCCGTTTCGCAGCCCTGATGCTTGTTGCTTATGCAATAAGGAGCTCTCATTGAGACCAGGATCACAGGGGGCCTGCATGCCCTTAGTGGGGGAAACCCCGGGGTATGTCGAGGTCTGGGCCGCAGAGCCTCCCAGGCACCTCAAGTCTTGCAGAGGACTTAGACAGTAAGTCTAGTTTTGATTGCATTATAAGGTGGCCTGCCTATGCAAGGGGGTTTTCTGTAGCATGAAGCGCCGCTGCTTTGTTTGATCGGGGGTGGTCCAGATGATGCTTGGTGTAGGACCTTGTATCTTTCAGGGTTCTGTGTAGCTTGCGCACACACATCTTAGGTTGCGCTCTGAAGTAAGATATGTGTCCTGGAAGGCCTGGGACACAACTTATCCAACTTCAGTGAGGAGCAGAGAAAAGCGTCACCACTCGTACGAGTGAAAGATTGGTCGCCTTGCATCGCAGCTTCTGGCGCTTGTTCTGAGAGTTATGTGGCTGCTAGGAAAAGGTTTCTGATGGTTCTCGATCCATATGCCCTATCGTGACTACAACATTGGATCAGCATCTTTGCATCATTAGGCAGTAGCTTCAGAGCGCAGTTCCTTTCTGGTCGGACGAAAAGCCGTTGATGGTGTCCATCTCATTGATCTGCTCCATGAGAATCTTCGGCTGACCTTGTGTTCGTATCTGCAGAGAAGCTTCTGGTGGTGCTCCGTGACGGGCGGAAAATTGTCGGCATTCTTCGCTCATTTGACCAGTTTGGTATGAGCCTCTCACAACATTTTCTAATCAGCTTGATGCCAGCAATGAAAGCTTGGTGTCTCCAACGGTAATGTCATCCTTGTGATGGACTGCTTGCCCCTTTCCTGTTTGGATCAGTCTGGTTCGTGTCATCAAATGACCCTGTCATAGATCTCCTTGCTCCGTTCGACTTTCGAAGATTGGGCATTAGGAAAAGTGGCTAACACTGGAACGCTTTTATCGTTGTCCAGCGAACGTGGTCCTGGAAGCTGCGATTGAGCGGATAATTGTTGGAGAGGTCTACTGCGACATCCCACTTGGTCTGTATATCATCCGCGGAGAGAATGTTGTACTAATTGGCGAGATCGTAAGTGCACCTCACCAAGCTATTGCGCAGAAGGCTGGCACCTGCTTTGTTTGACAAACTCTATCAAGTGCTGGGTGCGAGGTCGAACCTGTTGTTTGCCGATTGTGTTAAAGCCTCTTGTTGGGCTTCTTTTGGTACCTGTCTGAAAAAGGCATAACCAATCTTGGGCTGTCAGAATTGGACATTTGTTTCTTTTGTGCTTGTGGTTGGATTCCCTCTCCGGCTGGATACCAGAGGCGCGCCCCTTCCAGAACGACACTGAATTATCCATCTTTCACATGAACCCAAGGCTATAGATGTAAAGCTACATACTTGGGGCGAGAGTTGCACCCTAAGGTCTGGTGTTGCACCATCTCTAGGATGGGTCGACTGTTTCCGGACTCTGGTACAGGTTTCTAGGGCAGGTGCGCATTGTAGTAGCGAGCCTCTGGGCCACAAAAACTCTCTAGCCGTCCGTTTGAGTGAGTTCTGAGCCAAGTGACGAGGTAGATCTTGGGGTTGGTGCATACTCTTGGGGCCAGGTGAGCATACTTGATAAACCATACATCTTTTGAAAGAGGCACACTTCTCCCTAATCGTTGGACTTTTGGACTGATATCTGCTGGATGAGTTGCAGGATCTTCAGAAGGAGGAGCTGCCGGCAAACTTTAAAAGGGTGGGCGTTGCAGAGATTAGAGAAGCTCAGAAAGCAGAGCAGGATGCAAGTGAGCTGAAGTCATCCATGATGAAGAGGATGAACGAGTTTTTAGATTTTGACTAGCACGTCGTAGGAGGCTGTTGATCAAACTCAAGGCGGTAGGATGGCCCGCTTCCTTCAGCCGGCAACGAGCACGCGCAAGGGCTTGACATGTCTGCCCTTGCCCGCAACTTCTTACGCGGAGGGCTCGAGCTGCTCCCTTTATTGGGATTTGAAATGATGTAGTGGTTCTTTGAATTTTTGAGCACATTCGATTCGCCATGTTTTGGTCATTCTGCTGCCATCAAAACAGTGTGTTGAGATGACACCGGCCTTGCTCCGCCAATGTTTTCTCCTCATGACTTCAACGTATGCGACCATCAATGATATGTTCGTAAGCCACTAGCATGTGTGTCCACCAGTGACAGCGGCCCAAAAGTTTGCACACGTCCTACTTTTCGCACGAGTTGAATGAATGGTACTTGAGAAACTGGTATTTGAAAAGCCGACCCGATCTGGTTGCTCCACGAAGTGCAGTCAAAGTTGGGCAGGAAGCTTTGATGCATATGGATAGTAACCGTGTATAGATGAATTGTCCATCATGATTTTCTTCGATTTGATACGCATATTGCTCATGCATGTCGGAAACAATTACTGAGCGCCATGCGTTGTGTGCTGTTTGTACCATAGCGCATACAAATTAACAGCGCACATACCACCTGCATATATCATATGCGCGGGCGCCAGCCGTACATATATGCCTACCCCATCAAGCCGAATCCTCTGGCGGCCAAAACGCGAAAGCCGCATGCAAATTTTTTCCGCTGCAAGCCGGCACATGCCAGGACAGCATGCCGGTACTAAGCTACCTTCTGTTGACTTTTCTACTTCACTATTCATGCGAAGTCCACATCACCACATGTGCCTGTGGATATAGTCGAACTGCAGTCTTCTAGCCTTTGAATTTAAACAAGCTTCTTGTGACCTACCGATGGGTGAAACAACTGCAGAAAGTAGCAGTTGACCCGTCGAACAGTATGAGACTCATCGGATGAATGCTCAGATCCAGAGAAGGCAGCATATGGATTTGCAAGGGCGGTGGCCTTGGGCCCATGATGAGTCTCATACTGTTCGATGAGTCTCGAACTGTTTGAAAGGGAGGCTGTGCTGAAAGCACTTGCCTTCGAGAGAATGAACAGCTTGAAGCTCAGATCATCGGAGGGACCAAAATCCAGAGCGAAATCTAAGCAATACATACAAAAGAAAGTCCTCTAGATTTTACATCATCTCGACACTGAGCGTCTGGCTGATTCTACAATCTGTACATAAGCTGATTGGTCGTCCCTACTGGTGCCAGGGAACTTGGATGGAGATGCAAAAATCGCAGCCTCGCTTGTCTACACGTCTATCCTACATTTCACATGTACTTGTAGTGGTGCTTGCGTGCAGTGCCATGCCGTGCCGTTTTGCTATCTCGTCTTGAGGGCAAGAGCAGAGTCCTAATACTTCGAGGCCGTGGTCCTGCTCATGAGGACAAAGGTGGCAATCCAGAAGAAGCTGGTGAAGTAGCACATGGCGATAGCCGCCTCAGTCTTGTGGCAGAAGCTGCACGGCAACAGTAATGCAATCCTGTCAGCTCCAGGGTTTAGTTGCATCAGCTTGCATATCGAGGCAGACAGATAGGCAGGCAGGTTGTCTTAAAAACGCATCACTGCGTCCTATGCTCCGAGACGGACGAGAGTGTTTCAAACAAGTATCAATGGTCTTACGTGGTTCCATTCTTCGACTCCCGAATGAACTCGCAAACGCTCAAGTTGTTGCCATGTGACGTAGCATTCTGAGTTGCAACTCCGGCAGCTGCAGAGGAAAGGACCAAGGTTGTAGATTAGGAGCTTCCCTCCGTCATTAGAAGAGATCCTGAGATTCCGGAGAAGTCAAGAGTTGCTCGTCATCTTCAGAGGAAATGTGCAGCTTAAAGCATATCAAAGTGCGTTTGTAATTCAGCTCATACTCTTCCTATTGAGCTTCGCTTCGAGAAGGGACTGCCTTGCACATACGTAAGTATCAATCAATTACATGGCTGCGAATGAACGAAAATGTGGTCCCTCCTTCTTTGCCAGAAGCAGGTCGGACTTGCCTGCGCATGCGGCTCCCCAGACCATCAGAGTGAAGAACTGCAAGAAACAGTGTTGAAAATATTAGAGCTAACAAGTTCAGGCACTCACAAGGAGACGAAGTTTTAGAAGCTGGAATGGAAGCAGTGCACTCCCTGTTTGCCCTTCCTTCGTGCTCTTCGGGCACTCAGGCACATGGTTACGAAGAGGAGGAACGGAAATTTTCATCAAGAACCGATTATGTAACTCGGTTCTTACTCCAATGGAATGGTCTCAGATCACATACCCAACCAATAAGGTCTGATCGTCCTTTCAATCCGTTCTGAAGTACTTTGCATCAGTTTACAGAAGTACAGAAGATACTCACTGCATCAAGGAAGTACTGGGCCAGGTAGAACTTGCTCGTAAATTCCTTGTTCCCAAAGACGATCTTCACCAGCGTTGTGACCGTCAGAACGAAGGACCAAAGTCCAGACAGGAAGGTGACGGCAACAAGGAAGGAGAAAGCGTGGAAGTCGTTGAAGTTGGCGCCCTGCATTCGATAAAACTTTGTGTCAGAAAAATACAAAACCTGGCAACAAGGTTCGGACAAACGAGGACATTTCTTGAGTTACATCCTTTCCCGAAGCTGAGATGAGTTTGGCTACACAGTCGATTCAAACTGAAAAGCGAGGGATCTTTATTCGTCTGTTATACAAGATCCTACGGCAGTTTTCTTGTGCTATCATAAACAAGAGAATCATTTCCAAGCGCGGGCCTGATGACATGTTGCAGGCCAAAACCCTTCTGCTTCAATTCTTTCATGTACCTCTTCACCTCTCTGCACTTGTTTGTTTTCTTTCGAAACCCCCTCCCATAAGCTCGTCGAGAAATCATCACATACTTTCGCGGCTAATCATTTGTCAAGTTGAAAGAGAAAGGCTCGAAACGCACCTCATGTCGACTGCTTGCCATGACTGAGAACGCGATCAAGGAGAAGACGAACTGAGCAAACCGGAGCCCAAACTGGACGCCCATGCTGGGAGCCAGGACAGGGCTCCGGCTGACAGAGGGCCCTTGCTGCTCAAAGGAGGCTGCCATTTTCTGTGTGTCGGCCGTTTTTCTCTAGTCCTGAGCAGGGTCTGTAACTTCGAAACAAGGTCAGCTACAGAGCAGGTATAACGGGACCCCAAGTTACTCGCTGTTGAAGCTGTTTGGCGAAAGAACTGTAAGAGCAAACAAAGCGGAGCGCCCTTTTCCCTTCCTGATTGATGATCAATATGATCCGGTATGACAGATTGCTGCGGCACTGTTCAGAAAGTGACAAGCCGACAAAATGTTGATCAGCTAATCTTGGAGGGTCTGATGATCGATCAGCAGTATGCGCAGAAAAGAGTGGGAGGACAAGATCTTTGCGTCCCTCCTTGGCCTTGCTGATTGAAGAGATTGAGCTCTAATCAGAGCCACCTGGCCAGTGGTTGACCTTGCTGATCGCGGTCAAAGCCTGGAAACGTTCTAGAGTCTAGAAACTCTTGGTCACGTCAAATCATCTTCCAGCTTGTCAACAGTCAAACCTCGAACCTGGGGTTGTCGAACGACCCGGAGAAAGGCACGACTCTGAAGACCCTTCATCCTTCTGTAGGATCAATGCAGTCTGCATTGCAGACGCAAGGGAACAAGTTTCGACGCTTTCAACGGTGTCGGGGTTGACGACGTTGAAAGCTCCGACCGATATTCTGAGGGCTTCGCAGCCATTGGATTGGAAAAATCTAGGCTTTTCTGAACATCGACGGCTCACAAAAGTTCAGAGGGCGACGTCATTCAGAGAATGTGGGTCGTCCGATCACTCGAAACCTTCAACGTCTTTGGCGGCGCGCGGCCGCCCTGTTTAGCAGCCGCCCGCTGGCGCGGCCGCGGCCACTCTTATGCTGCTTCAGTGTCCGACGCGGCCAGCCGCGCGCACGGCCGCGCAGTCCGACGAGTGCATACCTACCTAAGGCTATACTACGTTTTGACCATGCAGAAGTGGGCCAGACAGCCGCCTATCCTAGGCTCCGAGCTTCACAACGCCGACGACCACTCAGTCCACTCGAAGGCAAGGCCCAGCTTTGACACAGATTCTGAAAAGGCGCTCCAGGTGATCTCTGCTTTCAAAGAAGTCTGTACCGGTATTGGCTTGGCTTTTGCTTCAATTCTCTGAGCTCTTGTGGCCAGCTGAAAGCCAGGATTTGCAGAGACTCCTTTGGTCCAGCGGCAGCTTTTCGTGGAACAGGCAACTTATTAGGGAGATGGGCAAGCGAAGCTCTGCTAAGCCCCCGCCCAAGGCAGTGCAGCCCAAGGTGCCGACAACTTTCAGGTGTCCGTTCTGCAATCATGACCAGAGCGTCGATTGCCGGCTGTAAGTTTTTGGCGCACACAATTCACATCAGCGAAACCCTCCTTTTGGAGTGTGAATGTTTGTGATGACTTGTCAAAGAGCTTGTATCTCCTTTTTGGTTGAGGAGGGTAGCAGCTGCTAGGCTTTCTTGCGAGAAAAACAACCACTGTTTCGCCACCATTTGGGACAACCAATAAACTTTCTCTGGGTCAACACGGTTCAAATTCAGCAGATCAAACAAGCTTCTTGTACAACCCGCCGGTTGGAGCAGCTTTCTAGCAAACAATGCGCCTTATGCCCTTGGAGTGCACTGCCGAAAAAATCAAACCAGCATCAAGCAACTGCAAACAATCAGAAGCACTTTTTGCCCAGAGTGTATCGTTATTTCCTGCGCTGGGCAATTCCTTCCTGATAGGTGATCTTTGCCACTCCTAAATGCGTCAATCAGGGCGTCCAGATGTTATCCAAATGTTGTTTGCAGCTAGCCCCGTTGTCGCCGCAGGGCAAGACAGTACTCTCTGTTCACGGGATTGCAAGCCCAACAGGTAGTGTAAGCCGCATCTTCAGATCCTCCATGGGTCACAGTCCTGGTTTGCTCCTAAGGCCATAGTGGCAGAAGACCTTATCAATCCAAGTCTGTCTTCTTTCTCACACACTCACTCAATCAGCAAATTTATTATGTGGACCCAGTGGGCATGTGCAAACAAGAACTGATGACAATTATTGATACCGTCCCCTTGCAGTGACAAAAAGAGTGGTACGGGGGAACTCAGATGTAGGATCTGCGATGAGCACTACCGGGTGCGGATAAACAACCTCACGGAGCCGATTGATATGTAAGTCAGCAGATTCCACCTGCGAGCTTGTTTCCTCTTCGATGTTCTTGGCACCTATGCTAAGTTTATCTGTGGGTTAGACGTGTGCTTTCGATTGGTATGAACAGACGTTATCTCGCCGCGCTGTCAAAACTTTTGGTAGCCTTGAACGGCTTTTGGTTGAGTTAAGGTAGGGGCAGGCAGTACTCTTTGGATTGTCATAATCTGATGTCATCGTGTTGTGGAGGCTGTTACGATCGCTGAAGAGTTTTCATTTGTCCATCTTTGCGTTTGTGTAGCCAAACCTTCTGCTTCTACTCTGTGCTTAAGAAAAGGAAGCACTTTCAAAAGCACCCGTTGACTTTCGGCTTCATGTTGGGGTCTGCAGTTATGCAGAATGGATTGACGAACTCGAGAAGGTAAACGACCCGAACTATGCGGGAGAGGTCCAACAGGAGGAGGAAGCCTACGACAGTGACCGGTGAAAAGGCTATGGTTTATGATGGAAGCGAAAGGCCAGGCGGGTCGTTCACTCCCCTTGAAACGTGCCATCCGCCCCTGACATCAATTGTTCTCTCCAACGTGGGCAACTGCAATTGCTTCTGGGAGACAGAGCCGGATCTTGCAGCACGAGGACGGAAAGCAAGGGTTCAAGATTGGGTTGATTCTTTGAAGAAATTCAACAGCATTACGTGCTTGTTCGTCCAGACGAGCTTTTGTACAGGTTGGCAACTCGTTCGGCATGTTGGCTGTAGTGTTCCACGTTCAGGAGATGAGCCAGGCACCGAGAAGTGGCTGGGATTGACGACCGATGCTTTGCGCACACATAAATCCAGATACTAGATTATCCTTTCACCGTCCTTAGTCCGTATCCGCAACCGGTGAACAACCTCTATGTCTAACTTGCCATCGTGATATTAGACTGTGGTTGACAGTTGTATACTATTGACGCAACGTGGCCAGGACATCTTAGAATTGAACTCGTCAGGCGTTGCAGGTGCATGTGCCTATATTCGATCTGATTATGGGCTGTAAACAGCTGTGCTACCATGATCACTGAGTCATAGCGTTCATGAAGAACCCCGCGGACCCGCCCCTATCTCCTTGCTCCAGATTGAAACTTGAGAAAGATACGGCCGCAGGCTTATCCACCTAGGACCGTTGATACCGTCATCGACGGTGTGCGCAGCCCTCAGCCAAAGGCGGTGGTGTCAATCGCAAGTTTGATGTACTGAAAACTGTACAGTCCTATGTACAACCGCACCGCCGCACGCCTAGCTAGTAACTATATTGCCACATGTCGCGCGCTGAAGTTTACCAACTGGACTAGATTTGTCTGAACTCAACCCGTACCGTACGGTCGACCAAATTTTGCGGTCGGACCTCTACGGTACTTGCGAATCATGTAGCAGTTGCCCGTAATAATTTCGGTTTTCCGCAAGATTTTGTAGAGGACGCCGTCGATACAAACCTGGCGTGCACCTGCGCAGTGCGCACTTCGCAATGCACACCAGGGTGTGCACTGTGATCTCTGTCGGCCGGTCAGTACTGCGTGGGGTAATATTGCACCGGGGAGTCTACTCAAACCGAAGCCTATAGGTACTACACTTGTGGCCGGTTGTACAACCGGTACAGTGGTTTACTTCCCGGTATGCCAAAGTTCAGCGCTCATCGCCTTTCAACACCGTGTTTGGACCTAGGGCAGGTGGCGGTCTTTGATTGGATCTTATCCTGCGATCGTATCTTGGTCTCAAAGTCCCGACCACTTCTCCATCAAGCAACCGGGCACTTTTAGGGGCGGGTCTGCAAGGTTCTTCATGAACGCCATGAGTTCACTTTAGTACTGAAGGGGGTATCATGTGACCACCTATCGATCATCCAATTTAAGCTCGATCAAGTAGAACTGCAAGTGCATGGATCACGAGCATGCACCTATCTAGTTAATGAATCAAGCTCATTCTCCGCCATCAGCTATATGCAGGCCCGGGCCCGTACCCTCCTTGGTAATTCGACCCGGGCCCGCCATGTGCCATGCAGTAACCGCATGCATATAGGAAATGAAGTTCACCATGCGTAAACTCGATCCAGAAGTACCATGAAATGAACACACAGTATCTCGTGAGCTCGGAGCCTACAACAAGTTCAAAATGGACAAGCTAAACTTTGAATTGATCTCGACGAAGAAATTCTGTAGCCCAAGACTGTAAAGAATACGTGCAATGGTTGCATCTATTTGTTAGGCCACATCTCTTGGCATCAGCCCTATGCAGTTCGACGAGCCACAATAGCATGGCGGCGCAGTCTGCAACGTGCTCTCATCAGCCTTGACCTCCCCGTAGCTCATCGTGATCTCCTCCCCTGCCAGGATCTCACGATTCGCAAACAGAGCCACGTGGGGCAGAGGCCAGCCCGTCTGCCGCACAAGCACTCGGGTGGCGTTCCCTCCGTCACACGAGTGGTTAACAAAACGAGCGACGTTTCCGAAGTGAGTGGCGTCGATGTTCAGTCGGAGGGAGGCCGTTTTAGAAGGTAAATGTTCTCGGACGACCAAGAGAGCAGGTGGAGGGCGGCCTGAGGAATGGTACTCCGGACAGTCGTAGATGAGGTGGCGACGATTGGCTTCTGCGTTTGTAAGCAGCTCGCCTGCAAGAGAGGCATCAGAAGAGTAAGGCCGTGCACCTAACATCCGAAACTGCCACCTCTGATTTTCAGTGTGGTCCTAGGGGCAACTAACAGCGGGTTGTGCAAAGAAAGAGAAGAACAAGAATTCTGTAGCTGGGGCCGAAAAGATTCTTTGGATCCGAAATTGTTTTGATGGCGTGACCAAGGTCGACGGTCTTGAATTGGACGCTCACAGCTTGCTGAAGGGTATGTTTCAAAGATGGTCTGAAGAGCTACAACAAAATCAGTTACTTCACAAGTTGACCGACTTCGAGTTGTCCCAACAGACCGCTGTGTCCAAAAGCCTTCCTTCTGGCAAGTTTCGAGAATCGAATGTGTTTTATTAGTCAAAGCGGGCTTCGACCTGGGAACATCATTGTACATTCCGTAGAATACGCAAGCCAATTGGTAGAGAAGAAGCTCGCCGTTCTCAACAGAACCGAGCATCGGTTCAATGAAGGACTGAAATCCAGGAGCTTCAAATAGCATGGCCCGTCGAGCGGGACGCTTGCTGAAGCGTGACAACGGCACAGGTTGACCAAGTCAGAGTCGTTCGCTCGTCTTGCCGCACATTTTGATCGGGAATGCAAAGCGCGCTTGCCATGTCTGCTGTAAGCTGAAAGTTAGAGTAATCAGGAGCAACTTTTGAAATCACCCACTGTCTGTGACCTTTCAGCTGTTTCTTCAAGAGCAGCAGCTCATGAAGCGCAACTGAGTGGTGGCAGTCACACACATGCTGACAGAGAGTGCACAGGGATTCCATCTGAGAAGGCCAGCTCGAGTTGCTGTAGAAAGGAACCGCAGAGCTGTTGCTTGTCAGACCCAACTTGTAAACAACCAGGAATGGAGCCTTGAGTGTCAGAGACTCACCAGCATACTGGCAGACGAATGCCCCCCGCCTGATGTCCTCAGCAGCGTGAAGGCACCATCCCTTCTGCCGATGCCTGACGACTTTCACTCTCGCAGCAATTCCCCTCTGCGTTACCCGGTTGCTGCATTCCGCGCCACAACGACAGGCCGGGCCGCATTCAAACACAACAAGTGACTGACCCTCACTGGCCATAGTCTTCACAGCATGCTCACTTTCTTTAGTCTTTTTGGGGGATCTGCTACTGTTTGTTTCTACCGTGGGCTGGCCTCTTACTAACAATACCTTCATTAGATTCTTCTTAGGTACACTTGCCCTGTCCTTGATAATTTTCCGCTTTTTTTCAGGAGGTTCCATGCTGAGAGAGCACAAAGCGCTCGGTTCCAAAACCGGCTCATCTACTTCATTGTTCTTTCTAGTTTGCAACCCCGAGCCAAATTCTGGTGACGTCAGATGTAAGCTTGACGGTGGCACTAAATTACCGTGTCGCAAGATGTTAGGGGAAACAAGATTCAGCTGGGGCGCCAGCAGAGAGAGCAAGCGCCCATCATCGTCATAAGCAGCCTCATTCCGGAGGTCAATTCCACAGGAACAAAGCCCTGGACGGCACACCTGCAAGCTTACTTGGTTATTGTTCAGCAAGTCCTCTTCCCCCAAGTGATATCTACTTACTTCCACTGACTCTGACTGCACCACTCCAGAATCTTCATGAGATTCAATGCAGTCGCACTGTTCTGCTGTGATTGGAGTGTATGCTTCTCTAATCCTGACACCACTCGACAACACATTCTCACTTACATACTCGATGTCAGCATAAGGCTCGTTGTCCACACAGTTCTCATATGGAACAGTGGATCCTTCTCTTCCTTCCGCTGCATCAGACTGCCGCCGACACACAAAGGCATGTGTAGCACTGGCAAGAGTGGTACAGGCTTTACAACAGGAGATGATATCTGAAATTGGAAGGCGTTGGAAGATCAGCTGCCAAGCCGCTGCTTCCATCCTGGACACTCCTTCTGATGCTTGTTTGGGAGGCCGGCCAGCTGCTATGGAAATTCTCATTACGCGCTCCGCGCGCGTGAATGTTGAGGGGATCACCGGAAGTTGCGGAGTAACTTCCTGAGGATGCACCGGGCAACCTCAGGTGCCCGGTACAAAATGTGCATGCTGGACACGTCCGGCCAGTATTTCGGAAGCGCACGCTGCACACCAGTAGGGCACTGCCCAGTGGTCAGGTCATGGCATGACCCGTCACCTGACCTGTGCATTAGTTCTATACTGGTATCATTGCGACTGAGCAGGTGCCACGTTGGTCTGGCATTCACTGCGGCGAAATGGCGAAGGCGTCCGCTCACGGTCTGCCCTATGACTCTGGCCATTTAGTGGTAGCATTTTTGCCTGGGCCAAGTGACCTTGCTAGAGAAGTTTCGAATTGATCGGACTCCTAGAGCATATTCACATGTCAGATTGCCTTTCAAACAATGGCCAGCATCGGGTGCCGCGCGCCCATGTTCGCTTAGCTGGTAGCTCTCTGTATCCAAGAACGTCCAACATTAAGCATTTTAAGCAACGTAGGGCAGGACAACTCATGTGTAGACAGTACAAGTACTTGTAGTCTACACAACCAAGCCGGCATCCGATGATCAGTTTGGAACACGACGATGTGACACGTCAAAGGGTCCGGGGTCGAGTATCATAGATCCATAAGCTGCGGAACAGTGCGGCTAATGGTTGGCAACGAGCTGCCCAAAACGGATTTCATGCAGAAGCGGACTGGCCCCAGCCAACACTGGACCGAGTCTGAGACCTGTCAATGCTGCCGGTTGTAGTTCGTAGCAAGTGCGCATTCTTTTTCACTGCTGCCGCCGTTGTGCATAGCACGCACCTAAGCCCCTCATCCCCATCCTTTCCTAAGCCCTCTTCAGAGGCGGCTTTGCCCCGCTTTTCCGACTCCGACAAGCAACTCAAGTGGTAGGCATGCCAGCAGAAGAAGACGACTACGTCTCCGTCCTTTACGCTGATCGGCTCTAGGCAGATCGAGCACCGCCCGGGCTTATTGCCACCCACTTTCTTCTTACTAGCGTCCTTTGTCTGCACAGGGGCAGGCTTTGCGGTGCCCATGAAAGCGTCGAACGAGAACGCTCCAAAGACTTCGGAACCCTCGTCTGACGGGAGCAGTGGTAGCCGGTCGAGCTCGTCGGAGGAGACGGTGGGCGGGGGGAAGAAACCGGGCAGGTTCAGAAGGGAGGAAGCGCCAGTGGTTGCAGGCGGTTCAGGAGCAACTGGGGTAGCGGGGTCGGGGTCGCCGACACGGACGGCATGGCGGGCCTCGTTGTAGAACTTGATCAGCAAGGCAACGCAGTCAGACTGCGGGGAAGAACGCAGTCCTTCTGAGAACGAGGCCCAACCAGACTCATCGACTTTGCTGCATCTGGAAACGGATTCTGACTCCCAACTGAGTCCAAATTAAACGACTCCCAACTGAGTCCAAAATAACCTAGCCCGCAGCAGTTGCTTACTGTTGAGAAGCTTTCAGCTACTACAATCTTCCAGGTACAAAGGCTGACGAGAGTCGGGCTGCACAAGTATCTACATCGATTATTGTGACCGGACAACCCAAGCCAAGCAGCTCAGAACTGTCAGGTGGTGGTGGATCCGTCAGCCCGAAACGGACTGGGGACAGCTCCAGTTGCCCTCTTAAGAGACACGACAACCGGCTCCAACTCAAACGACTCGCTACTGTGGTCACAAGCATTCCACAGCTCAGCAACGAATTACAGCCCTACCTGGAGAATGTTATTGCAGCCCTCTCGCAGGCTCGTCTCGGTGCGGTAATCCGAGATGATGCGCGCCAACCGGTCCCTCAACCGGGGGATCGCCATGCCACGTGGCACCCGGTTGATGAGCCCCAGCGGATCGATGTTGCCCACCGTGTGCTCTAACAGCGCCCCGACCATGCCCGGGTCGTGCAGACTGTGCGAGATGAGCTCCTCCCAAAGCTCGTCGTCGTGCTGAGACGACACGAACTCGATCGCCTGGGGAAATCCACCGGATGGAAATCAGTAGGGAAAGAAGCGTGTCTAGATGCACCAGGATGAATACTAATGGTGGGAAAAGACGAACCCAACCACCTCACTACACCCGAGGGTCTGTCGAGAGACCTGGTGACTGGCCGGTCTGCCGCGAGGAGTATTCAGAGGAGCAGTGAGTCAGTCCAAAAGAGTTCCCGTTGAGAGGAAGGATCATTCAGTGTCGGAAGTCCGTCACAGAAACGCTGCTGTGAGGCGCTTCGACAGGGTTTCAGCTTGTTAATGGAAGGGCTTCGGAAGAACGATTGCGGATATCCTCCAAACTTCCATTACGCTCGTCCTTCCTCAGCAAGATCTGCAGCTCCATTGTAGCGGTAGTAAGCGGGATCCAAAAGTTTCTGAAAAACAGTCGAGCAATCATTAGCCCGACACCTGGTGCCCTCGATATCGGCCCCAATCCTCACCGGTCAAGATGTGGCAACGATCCACCTTGATACGAGGGACACTTTGGGTCACGATCGAGTCAGAGGATAACCTGGCGAGCATGAGACATTCGGCAAGCCTTAAGAAATCAATGATTTGAAAAAGACAAAAGTACGCCAAGATTTTCCTAACGAACCCAAAAAAAACCTGACCCAGAAACTTACCTGCTCCGCACCCCTACCCACCCTACCCGCCAAACTAAACCGACCCGTTTCAGTGTTGTTACCTTATTATGATCTCGGCTTATTCTCATCTCTCTTGAGTTCGATCAAAAATCACCTGCTCCATGTCGTGCAGCTCTTCGATGATGAGCCCCAGAGCCTCTCGCGCGTTGCCCATCCGCCCCAGGATGAACACCACCTCGCGCGTCAGGCCGCGCGCCTTGCACGTCTCGTACGCCTTTTCCAGCGGGTAGAAGCTGCTGCTTCGCAGAAACGGCAGCAGGAAGCGAGGCTCGTAGTCCGCGTACAGCTCGACCTGGGCAGTAATAACGTGCAGGCTTTCATGCGACAGTACATTTTCAGATTCTATGATCTAGAGCCGTGAAAGTTTTGAATCGAAGGTGGAGTAACAATGGCTAGCAGAAGCGGTCCCTAATCCTTCCCGGTTCGTGGCGTGGCCGGATGCTTTCCCAGGACACCGAAAAGTAACTTTGGGACTCGTTCTTTTTGTTGTGACCCAAAAACTTCAACGCAAAGTCGGGAGCAAACGTTCTGAATCTTGTTCAACCTTGGACCTTGGGCAAACGCTGAACCACGGTTGATTAGCAGTTTACCGGTCATACGTCAGCAGGTTTAACACCATTGGGTCGCGAATAATCGAACTCGCTTCGAGCCCTCTTGAGTGAGAGTTCGGGAGAGGCATCGTGACTCTTGACACTGAAGAGAAGAGCGGCGAAAAGTGTTCGGATCTCAGAATCCGTATCCTTGAACACACAATTCGAATGCTTGTTCCAGTTCGGAGTGTCGAGAATCAAGCATACTGCCAGCTACAAATATGGAGAGCACCGCCGAGAAAACACAAGTTGGGCGTCACATGGATGCGCCATCAAGACCTCGGGCCCTACCTGCATCCCGTGGTACTCTTTCCCCGCCGTCATGTCCACTTCAAACAACCCGTGCAGATACAAATGCAGCAGCTTTCGCAGGTCCCGCCTGGACCTTCCGCCCTTGGGACCCGCTTGGCTTCCCCCGGGGCTGCTTTCGCCAGAGGGGGCGGCTAGACCCGCCCGCTTTTGGCGGCGCATTTCGTGCTGGATCTGGGAGACGACGTCCGAGGGGGGGATGTCCGCGCGATGTTGAACTAGCATGGTGACCGCGCGGGGGGCGTCGAGCTTCAGCAGCGGGAGGGCCTGTAGAGGGAAAGTGAAAAGATAAGAACGACGCCGTTTGCGGTAGGTCACGTGGGGAAAGGTTGGTAAAAATCTGCTCGTAGAATCCCGTTCGCGCCAAAAGAATGAGTAGGAAACGAAGGGAAACCCGGTGGATGGACACTACAAGCGGTCGGCTGATTTTTTGGTCAGACGTATGGCCAGCATGAAGTGTTGGAGAACCACAGATTACACGAAGGGGTTGCAGGACCTCTTCATACTGCAGTGCTGCCCCTGCCTTTCTTCCGGCAGGCTGCTTAACACATGTGTACGTCTTAGATACACAATTCGTGACCCTGAGGCGGTAATGCTCGAGTGTAGAGTGAAGAAGAAAGAGCGTTGTGGCAAGGCCGCGACGGCAAGCGTACTTTGGATTTGAAGACTGACTCAGAAACTTTTCTGGAGCGGAGTAGTCAAGCAGAGCAAGGAGAAACAAGTCCAGCGAGCCGACCTTGTCACGGCATGCAGCTTGCAGCTTGTGCCGCTCGATGAAGTCAAAGACGTCGGTGCGGCGCAGCTGGAGGTATAAACCCAGCGCCTCTTCCCACTGGTGGTTGTGCAAGTACAGCTCCGCTAGCGCCTGCCAGCAAGATAGCAGAAGCGTCAACACCGGGTTCTGATCGTGTGGCTGACAAGGGAACGTTCATTGTTCCTCAATTTCAAGCACGAGGTCGCGAACAACCTTCTTCGGAGAATCGGGAGGAAGAAAAGTCGGGAGAAGCCGGGACCGCCTCCTCGCTCCTGAATGTCGTACAGTGAACCCAACCCCAATGGGCCAAAAGAGTCTAAAACCAAAACTGAGCATGAAAGGAGGCGCTACAGCCGTGTGAACACCCTCTGACCGCTCCGACAACCGGACTCCGCTGCTTTACACTCACCGCTTGCAGCGCGGCGGAGTGCGGAAAGGCGACCAGCCGCTGCTGGACCGCTGCAATCATGGTGGTGACGGTGTACAGGGATGGGGGCCACGTGCGCACCAGGTCGAGGAAGCGCTCGTGCTCGGAGGGGGCGGCCAGGAAGGCGTTCAGGACCACCTGCGAAGGGTGCAACGTGACAGCTGAAGAGTCGCCTTGCGCACAATGACGGCGCGTCTTCAAGGTTGACATCAATGAAAGGTTCCGGCCGCTGGGGGCTTGCGCGGTGATCTCGGAACAAGCATTGGACTGTCCATGAAAGCTTTTTGCTGTCTTTTTGGGTCTACGGTACGAAGACGGTATTCATGTAAGCGGTTGAGAACCACGCGAATGCATTAGGTGCGAGCAACTTTCGTGGTGCACGTTAGACCAGCAAGCATTCTTTCTTCAAATCAGATCATGCTTGGCATGGCTTCCACTCCTTGCTCGTTTATCGACCGTCTTCGAACCGATTGCCTTTCTACTTGTTTCGCACAATGGCTCGCCTATGCTTCTGGTTTGCAGGTGCCTCGCAAACTTCCGCAAGTTTGCCCGCCCCTTCCCCTCACCTCGTAGACCGTTTCCCGCAGCTGCGGGTTGGCGGTGGGGATGTAGGGCGCAAGAGCAGGCAGCTGGCGCAGGCTGGCGAAGTGGAATACCCAGCGCTCCCATGCGGCCGCGTTGCCCTTGAGCAGCTTGGGGCACAGCTGGGCCGCCTTGCCGTACTGGCGCTCCAATACCAAGTGGTCCAGGTAGCGCGCACCCACCTGAGGTTTTTTGAGGCCTGTGTAAGCTTTTGGGAACTGTGAGCTTTGCGTGATGATTTGACGCAGCTGTAGATGCGGAGGGCTTTCTCTCATCCTCAAGACACCTTGCGCAACTATTCAAAAAGCCGGTGTCCGTAGGTGGATCTCCGTTTCTTCAACATTTTGCAGACCTTGTCAGATGCTTCTTCCAGGTTTGCCAACCTTCCCACTCCTCTTCCAAGCGGGAAACAACGAGGCCACTGCAAAAGTGGCACTCAAAGGGTTCCAGCGACAGGGGCCTCCCACGCACCTCTTCCAGGACCTCTTGCCGGGCCCCTCCCTTTTCGACGGCCTCGAGCGCCTTCTCGTGCCGCCCGTGCTGCACCAGCCATGCCACGTGGTCGTCCGCATCCCGGGGCTTCGCTTGGACAACATCCTGCACGGAGTTTCACGCTGTGATAATTACATCTAGCACCCTTCCGCTCTGGCTTGAGCAGAATGTGTGTACTGCTTAAGCTCGATGTAGGACGCAGTCAAATCTGCTATGGCTCGGAGTAGAAAGTATCACAATGATTTAGCTTGACGAAGGCCTAACATATTCCCAGGTGGACGATCAGCAATCACATGATTGCTTTCCTGAAAGCTTTTGCGATCCCGGGACTCTTTTGCGACCTTACAGAAGTAATTACAACGACAACTGCAAATCTGTTCATCCACTCGGTAAGAATCCTCACACATTGATTAGCGGCAACTAGACCCAACCAAGATGTCGAGATGGAGGACTTGAAGTACTTGGCATCTCGAACGGCCACGCTCAATTACACCGGAGCCAGATGGCTCAAAAAGCAAATACTGAAAGCACCCAGTCGCAGTGGCGACTGTTACAGTCGCGAACGCTTTCGTCCTTTTCGGATCAGAAGGCACAGCGGTCCCCTTTTCTGATTCTTGGACTCTCAGGCAGTCAGCGAAACCATACCTTTTTAGGGTTTTAGGGACCCGAAAGAAAAGAACGAGAACATGGAGCTGACAGTAAACGCGTGACAGGCGGGAATCGGTGTGAAGAGCAGCTGACCTTTGGCGAGACGATGTAGTAGAGCGGCTCGTCACCTGCGGACCACTGCCCGCCCTTTTCGCTGCTGCCCATGAACGGCGCATGTATGAGACGGTAGTCCTTCGCTTGGTACTGCTGGAATCCGTTCACACTGAGGGCGTCCGAGGTCAGCTCCTCGTTTTCGCGGGTGAGAATGCGCACCTCGGGCCGCTGCCCGGAGGCGTGGGGGGGGGCTGACGTGGCAGTGCCCTCGGGTTGGTCGTGGATGTAGGCCAAGACGACCAAATCCTTCCCTGCCAGATTGGAGAGAGGTTCGATAATTACGTCGATCGAAAGATGTCAAATACTTGAATGTCTCTCAGGGAGCGGAAAATCAAGTCTGAAGTTTACCTCGTTTACAGTCTTCTGGAACTCGGCGGAGTCAGTCCAATCAAGGCTTTCGTTTGCAGCCGCTACAGCACAGGAGTCCTGAGCTGTGTTTCTCCTAGCTTGCCAACCTTCGAAAGGGACAATTACCACGCGGCTTTCACAGTAACTCCTGCAACATTTCAGGTTGGATGGAGAATCCGATACAGACGTGGACTACTTGAGACATACGACAGCGTATAGCAGACCAAAAAGCTGCTCCATTCGTAGAACCGGCCTCACCATAGGGCGCGATGCCCGAGATCAGGTAGTCCGCCTGTATCGACGCCAGGATCTCCACGTACTTCGCCGGTCCCGGCAGCCCTAGCCCCACTGTCTTCGCGGCCCCGAGAAAATCCATCGCGTTCAGTCCCGCCATAAGAGTCGAGGCAGCCGCGGCCGGCGCAAGGACGCTGCCGTTACTCGGGGGTTTGGGGGTTTCGGGAGGGTTTGGGGATTTGGTGCGGATGGCCGCGAGTTTGATGGTGCTAGCCCACCCGATGACGAGCAATGCGTCGTCCTGCCAGACGAGGTGGGGCCGTAGAAGACCCGCGCTGATGCTGCAAGGATGCAAAGGGAGGGGTGTTCGGATCAACGCAGATTACAGGGAGCGAAGCTCGTTTCATTCGCTAGATTGTGACTAAGAGCACGAGGAGATGCCGCAACGCCCCGAGTGTGTAGAAAGCTCGATACTACCTGCCTCGGTTGTGAAAAGAGAAGGGCTGACAACGGAAAATTGACGGCTGACTTTACTCAGTAGGGGAGAAATGCGCCGTAACGAAGGCTTAGTCAGGGTCTGCTGACATGGACAGCTGAAGTGAACTTGCAGGATGCGAGCAGAGGCTGTCGACTCAACAGGACAGAAATTTCTTGATTTTCCGAGGAGCTAAGACTGAGAACGAAGGTTTGCCAATCGCGGCCTTTGTTTCCAGGCGACAGGGACACAAGCGTCCCTCGCCTGCTCGAAGGCGTCTGCTTCCGTTTCTGGAACATAGAATTGAATCATTCTCGATCTCACAACGAAGGTTTGGTTACTGACGAATGGGTAGAAAAGACAAGCGTCTTATCAATAAAGTGGGATATCTCCAAACAAAAACAGGGCTACCGCCCCCTCGCTTGACTCACCCGCCCCTCGGCATGTCGATGTAGCTGATCCTTTGCCCCGTCGCCATATCGTACAGTTTCACCCCCAGATCATTTGCCCAAGCGACCAAACTGGTGCGCCACCGGACCGCATGTATGGGGCCCTCTCCAGAGTGGAGGGCGGTGTCTTTGGGCCCCAGCCAGCCCTTGGTGTGGAGGACGAGCGTCCCAGCAAGGCCTCCCGCAACGAACTGGCGGTCCTTCTTGGTGGAGTACTCGGGGTCGATTGCCACCGTCTGCAGGTTGAGTTAACGGGATTAACTAGATGTATGTTCTTCGAGAGGGCAGTGTGGGGCGTGCTCCTCTGCGGTGTCTTCTGGTACCCGATAGAAACGGTTGCTTCGAGAACAGATTTCAGAACTAGACTGATGCTCAAAACGAACCAAACACGTCCTTCATTGGGGTCGCAAAGGAGGGAACAGTGCCGACGAGCAGAGGCCATCGTAACAACGGGTTCATTCCTAAAAGTCTGTGGCTTCTAGTGAAATTGTCTTCAAAAAGGATTGCACCCCGCAAATTGTCCAACCATCATCAATGTGATGATTCCACCTTCTCAGCCTGATGTATCCAGCAGCTGCGGACTGCCTCTCGGCCGGCAGCTCTGTCTTTGTACACGAATCGCCAAACAGCCCCTCTCAGTGTTCCGAGTGTCCGTTTCCGATTGCAGTACCATCCAAAAAGCCCACAGAAGTTTCATCAAGTGTATGCCACATCCGCACCTTGATTGGTCGGTAGTAGTTGTGGCGCTCCCGCTCCTCTGAATAAAGGCCGTTGACAACCACTGTCCCATCGTCAGAGCAGCTGGCAACGTACTCCCCCGCCAGGTCGAAGGACACGTCATTCACTGCGGCCGTGTGTGAGGGGAAGCATTTCACCTGCATCGAAACGCTTTTTGTAGCACCATCCCACGGTGATTGGCAGCAACGAAGCAGGGGATAAGCATAAAACCCCAACCTGAAGGTACTTGCAGAGCGGCCGCTCGTAAACTGAAACATGCAAGGTTTCCAACTTGCACACTTTGCATGTACCTTTGGGGAGCGCAGCAATTCAAGCAGAAGGTGGAGTGTTCAAGGCAGGATGGCCGGGGCAAGCCTGGGGCTGGCAGCCCTGCCAACACGGCATTCGACTAGCCAATACAGCTGTTGCGCAATCCCCATGTCCAAAGTTGTGCAGCCTGGCTTTGTTCAGCAGCCAGATGAGAGGGCAGAACTCCACCGTAGACATTCGAGTTCTGGAAGTGAACGGACCTCGTGTCCACTGAAGTCAAGGATGTGCACCCCGCCGTTCTGCGTCCCGAGCGCCAGCATCTTCTCAGCCACCCCCAGGCAGGTGGCCGCATTCTCCTTGGCAAGGATCTCAGGCAGGCTTCCCCACAGCCGCTGATACTTCAGCTTTGGCTCCTCCTCTTCTTCCTCCTCCTGGGGGCAGACAGGTCAAAGATGAGTCTGCCTCCAATTGTTGAAGCACCCTCCAACGGAGCTAAAGCTACACGTATCCCAGTACTCACTGAAAGTCTGGTGTTGAACCACAAAGCATGCATGAAGTTGCTGTTCTAAAATCATGAAAACTTTCCAATAGCCAAACAGATTCAGCATCGGAGGCGCCAGTGAGCAAAAACCTACGGTATGCGTTACAAGTAGGAGCATGCTCAGTGAAAGTGATGTGGATGAACCTTTTGATCGTTGATCATGTAGGAAAAGGTCGCACATCAGGTCCCCACGAAACGCTCAATTGAGAACATGTTTTGGCAGGCCAGGTCCATGGCTAGGAAACTGTTTTCAAGCTTGAAAAATTCCTACCATATCCCTTGCATTACAGCATTCGTTGGTCAATCCTTAATGTGTAACAAGCCCGGAAAAGTGGGCACGGTTGCCCTTGTACAACCGGTACAAACAGCTTTTTAACATACATCATGTCCTTCTCTCACAAACCGATCCTTGATACAACTCACACAATCTGCATCTTTACTGATATCTTTGCTGAGATTCACCAGGCATACATGCACTGTGATGAAGACCAACCAATGCTAAGACACATCCGCAATGCTTCAATGCAGAATTCGTGAGCCCTGGCACATTCACACTGATACCCGACAACTGGCGCGACGAGCAGGGTCTTTGATTTGTCTCCCCATTAAGTGTATTTCCGAAAGGTCAGTCAGAATGAAACCGCTCAGCAAAAAGGGAGACAAAGCTCGCTTGTAGTGAGCTTGCTCGGACTGCTCACCTCTTCTTCCTCTGCATCATCCCGCCCTCGTTCACCCTTCCCAACCTCTGCTTCATCATCCCCCTCATCACCCCCGCTCTCGTCTGCTGAGCTCATGTAATGACGTTGTGCCTTCACGCTTTCATCACTATTCTTATCCATGTTGCTTCCGCTTTCATACGAAGAGCGCAGCTTTCAGAAGAATTTGGGTCCAGCCCGCTACTAAACGATCAATTCAACGTGCGAGCACGGCTCCATTCGGTTTCCAAGTAATCGCAGCGAGGGAAAGGTGTCCCAGCTAATCAGGCACAATTTGATAAGGGATTGATAAGCAGTCACTGTTCAGAGGTCCTTCACGTAAGTTGGCGCCTTGCAGGGAAGTTGGAACAACCAAGCAAGGAACTGGCTTGTCAAGGCTAGACACACAAGTCTCATGCAAGACTTTCTCGTTCGGCCTGCGTTACACACCATTATCTAGCAGTCATATTGTCAGCGTGCCTCGCAAAGCAAAATTGGTTTGTAACGCTCATTGCTAGGGTTTGGACAGCTTCAGCTGAACACGTCAGAACACCGCATTTCTGCGGGACCACATTGTCATTGCAATCTGCATTGCAGAAGAAGTGCACCGCTTACTTGTGGACGGTGTGCCTTCTTTCGATCCTTTGATCTTCTAAGGGCTGTCTCTCATTATAGTACACTGCATTGCACCACTGGACAGATGGCAGCGTCTCTTGCTCTCCGGAGGTCTTCCGCGAACTTACATTTTGAGCGGCAACCTCCACAAGCAAAGCACAGCACAGGAAATGTCCCGCAACTTCAGCAAAGCCTCTATGGTAAAAGGTTAGGTCAGCGGTCAGCGCAGAGGGTTAGAGTCTTGAGTGGGCACGGAGCTGAGAGAAGACCTCATGGTACTGTGTGTATGTCACGAGAAGGTCAACCTTTGGTTGGGGAGGACTTCGGAGCCAGGGATCCCTTTGCAGGCGAAATAGCATCTGACTTTGGCAACAAGTAAGGAGCCTCTTCTTATCCTAGGTTTTGACCACTACTGGTAATGGTGCATCACATTCGGGTGTGCTTCTTGGTGCTTTCAGATTTTCTGCCTTGCCTCCTTCGATAGCTTCTGGCAGACGCAACACAGTGGATACTTGTTGAGGGGACTCCCAATAGACAGCTGAACCTTTAGGCAACCTCAGTAATTGTTACAGCATTGCCCTAGGTCAGTTGCTACCGGTTAGTTCCTTGGTGGAAAGGCTTCCAATATGCTGAGGAAGTGTCACTCTTGCTCGTCTTCAGGAGGTGTGCCTTGAGGTTTCCGTTAGCCTTTTGCCACGGCTCTCTTATGGTTTTGGTAAAGTGCATGATACTTTGTGCGCCTGTTATTTTTAGATGTTGCCAAGGATCTGCGGAATGCCTTGAGAAAGATCAAGAGGTCTGCTGTTGCCAGTGCTTTGTGTGACACGATTTTGCCAGAGTTGCAACCATTTTGAGTGACGAGGTATGAGCATCTTGATCCACCTAAATCACAGGCCTCCTGTATCTTCATCTTGATCTGAGTCTGGGGGTAGAAATCCACCCGTGTTTTACGCATCTACGCATTTGATTTCTAACCGTTGACCTCGTTAGATGTAAGAATTGTCAGTATCTTATGCTCCTGAATATGAAGTAAAGGTCGGCCTCTACATCCTGGACCATATCAACGGCCAGCCTTACCTTTAGCCCGACCCACGTGGACATCAACACCTGCTTTTGCAATGACTTGTGGAGAATAGAATTCATCTGGTACTGCATGGGAGTCACCAAAAGCAAGATGGGCTGAGGTTTAGTCACTCCAACTACGAATGGTGAACAGCAGATGCCAACCCCCCCATAGATGGCTCTCTTGACACCCTGCTCCCACGTAACTCCTTGTCTATGGAGAAGCGAAGGTTTATGGTTCTTTCCTTCTTCATCATTTCTTGATGTTGCTCCTTAAGCTTATTGAAGTTTGAGCCAAGTTTTCCCAGGTTGCACATCTTTTTGAAACCACCTCTGCTACAAAGTCCTGCAACGTGCGGCCTTCAGGTCTGTCCCCTATTCGTTATTTGTGTGTTCAGATTATCTACGTAGCGCCACTTTCCAATAGAGATGGTCGGCTGTGCAGGGTGTTGGGCAATGCGGACACAGAGCATAAGATCAAGGTCCCCATACTACGGGGCATCGTCGGACTGTCTGCCAGAAGTTGTCAGAAGCTTGGACCTGACACGAAGGCGCTGTCACCGGAAGAAGCAAACGACCTTCGAAAACAGGTGAGTGAATCGGACCAAGCGCTCTTTATTTCCTGCGGTTAGGAGATGGGGCGCTTGCATCATGATCAAAATTGGTATATTGACAAGAGAAAAGGCTTTATTTGGTGCTGGCCTTTACCCCCGTGAACTTATCGTCGTTGATTTGGCTGTCTAAACTTCTATCTTTCGAGCTGATTGCACACCTCCGCTCAATCGGCGGTGGCAATGACCGGATATGTGTGTCGATGCGCTCTAAGTGCGAGTAAGTTTGACATGGGCCCATGTTCGGATCCTTCTCTAGATAAAGATGCAGACGCTTGAGTAAACAGAAACCAAGAGCATCCTTGAGTGTACTGCAGAACGGACCTCATTTCTGCTCTTGGATAGAGTATAGGTCGATATGCTCGAAGTGGAACAACGGTGGGTTTGAGTACCGACAAGCGACCCGAGGCAAATTCCGCAAAGCAACCTCTTTTTCTTTCTGCGCCGTTTGAATTCGAAGCTACTGGATTGGAAAACGTCGGACGATCTTCAGATGAGTCACCTCAAAATTCGCGAGCAGATGCAGGAAGAGGCCTCTTTGTTATGCTAGCGTCTCTTCGTTTGTGAATACCGGAATCAGGTTCGAGAGAACTGTGACAGAAGGGATTCGCTGTGCAGAAGGGATCAGAAGCAAAGTTTGAGGTGAGGCCCTTCTAAACATCTTCACATCCTTCCCCGTACAGATACTGGGCTGGAAACTTCTAGAAGGGCCAAGCGGCGAGCTCCGGCTGCAGCGGGAGTGGACGCTGCGGAATTTCCCGTCGGGGCTCGAGCTGTTTCAGCGGATCTCAAAAGTTGCGGAGGAGCAGGGGCACCACCCGGACCTGCATCTAACCGGCTGGAACAAGGCCCGCGTAGAGCTGTACTCGCACGAACTAGGTGAGAGGGGGTTTTCGGAGGGAGTGGATTGGAGGGTTGTTTCTGGGTTGATGACCGGCGTGCTCGCTTCGGCGTTCCTTGGAAGGAAGTCGCGGTGAGGTTCCGTTTGATACATCGATCGACAATCATCTGACCGTCAGTATCCAAGCGAGAAAAGGCAAGGAAAATTGGCGCGCATACTGCTGTAAGCGCACACACTGATTGTCTTGAAGGCCGTTCACAAGGGAACTTCTGGCCGGGTTGGGGTTGTACTCTAGTTGTTGTCGACAGGGGATTGATGCATATGGCAGGCCAGGGGATTGTTCTGAGGGTAAGGGACACAGGAAGTTCTGGCTGCTAATCGTGCTGATTACCAGACCGGAAAATGCAAAATCACCAAGCCAACTTTCATCCAGGATACGTATGCCATTTTGTCCGGCGTGTAAGTCGTGCTATCCTGCGTTGAGTTGTCGGCGATCTGATCTACGAAAGACCCATGGAAGCCGGCGTTTCAAAAATTGATCGATGTGTCACATGTCACCATGCACTGTTGTAGAAACCTTCTCTTTGCAGAATCGAACGGTTTCTGACCACGAAGTACCATCCTGATTGTGGCGAAAGACGAAAAAACTTTTGTTCTGCCAGTGACCTATCCCGGCCGCTTTCTAACGGTTGCTCGACATGCCTTTGCAGGGGGCCTAAGTGAGAACGACTTCATACTGGCAGCTAAGGTTGAGGAGATCGACACGTCAGATCTCATCAAGAAAATAAAGAAGTTCTGGGCCTAAGGCCATCCGTCGTTGCATTGCCTGCAGTTGCTGACAGACCTTCGTTGGGTTAGTCGGAAGATAGAAGAACGGGGATCCGTCGAATGAAGTGTACCTTATTACAATAAACATCGTTGCGTCGAATTCTAAGGCTGAGTCAGCCCGCTGCAAGCTAGCCAAGCTTGCTGAATCGTAGATCCGGGAAGCCAACGGTCCTGATCAGAGTCCAGACAAATCTGCAAGTAAGACCTGTGGCTTGCGTTCAGGTCCGTCAGAACTCTTTCAGTGTTGGCCCACATAGCTCCTAACAACACGAAGTGTGGACGCTCTTCAGAGTCCATACTACAAGAGCAGACGGTTAGCAGAAGGTTTGATCGGTTATGGCACTGCGCACCCGGTACTTGCAAAAATAAACCTCAGGCCATATTGTTTGATTGAGATTCGGTAACATGTTAGCATCCGGAGTCTGGGCCTGAAATTTGAATGAGTCGATCTGCCCACCCGGTGATGGTCTCTATTCTTATAAGTGATGCCGCAGCCAGTGCCGCTTTAGGCTTCTCATGACATACATATAATTACGGTTAGGGTGCGTTCTTGCAAGCCAATAGCCTCCTCCGCCGACACAAGCGCGTCTCTGGATTTGCGAACCACAATGAACACCTTCTATATAGAGGTACTGCACAAAAGTGGCAGACTGATCTCAATGTATGTCGAGTAGCAGACTAAACGGTGGCCCTGGCCGGCTTATGCCGCACTGCGACCCCGGCCGCCGCGTCTTAGGCCCGGGGCCGGGCGGCCCCGGGCCGGGCCCGGGCGCGGCCGCGCCGGGGCCGCAGGCGCTCACGGTACCCACCTCGGCTCAGGTCCGGTACCGCACTGGTTGTTTTCCCTGGCACCCGATTGAAACCTGGTGTCAACACTTCCAAGTTCCAATTCAGCCTTCAGGCTACCATGACGTGCATAATGCAGAAATGGAAGGCGGGTGCCCGAATTGGCGCACGCCGCATACAGCACTGAGCAGGCGACTTGGGGTAGCTTTGCTCAAAGCAAGAGGAAGCACTTAGCATACACAATCATGACGATACATAGAGGAATTGCAGCAAGTGTGCAACTAGGTAAGACTTAGCTGAAATCTTCGTTGGAGCCTTCCAGAAATTTTGATCAAAAGAGCCTTGTTGACTTCACTTCCAGGGCGTACAATGGTAGTTCATTAAAGCAAGCTACGGACGCCGCAACAGGCCAGCACAGAAGGATGATGCCAGGTCCTTAATGAAGTTTGAGAAAGTTCATTTGAGAAGCTCTATCACAAGTCATCATTAAAGGTAACACCTCATAAATAGCACGGCTCTTGGACCTTAGTGCCCGGCCCTCCAGGTGTCCATCACTGCCCTAATGGCTTGAGCTGGTCCCGCAGTGTTTCTAGCTCCCATCAGCAATCAGCATGTTGCAGAGGGTGGATAAAGCCTTCTATTACAAGCGGACCTCCATTGGCTTCGCTGTCAGCTTAGCTTTGCTAGTGTTTGCTGAGCGCAGCAGAGCAGACTTGGTAGAATCTGCACCTAGACCTGGGGCTCCTCTTCCTCCACCCATTCCTTCTGGCGAATGTCCCCTGGTCTTCCTGCAGGCAGACATACAGTATGCAAAGCAGACTGCATGCTCCTCAGGTAGGAACCGCATGTTGGTGTCAGCTAAACTTCTGCAATTCTTTCCAATTATTGGCTTGAAATATCACACTGTAGGTAGAACACTTGAAACTTTAAGGTCATAGTAAAGCCCTCAGGTGTGTCTGAAACCAACTCTTTATCTATACGAAGAAGTTGGGACCCTACGTGGCAGGCAACATAAGTGGAAGGATACACAGCTCCAGTAGACAAAAACTTCCTATCAAAGACTTTGGTAAATGAACAAGTGTCCCCCGAGCAAGCAACCTGGAAGATGGAAGGTTCCTTAGCTACACCCCCTCATCGGGCCACAAAGAATTTATCGTAGGACAGAGAGCTCGGTTTGCGCTTATTGGTCCATGACTTACAGTTCTGATAAATTACCCCTGTTGATAGTATATGGGTAATCTAAAGCAGACCTTCATTAGATTGAGACACCCAGGCTCTGAGACCTGGGCTTACATGTCCCAATGCACGTCCTGCCACTGACAGAATCCTGAGCATGGTCTTGATAATTGTGAAGCTGACAGTCGGTTTGCTCCTTGGCTTCTTCAGGCACAGCTACTGCGAGCAGTGTAGGCGCAGCTGTTGCATCTGCCAACAGCCTAGCTACCACATGCTGCAGTCAACTGAAGGCTGTCCTTTGGAAGGCACGAGGGCGGTATGCCAACGAGACTGGACGCCTCCTCCTGCCTCAGGCATCTGCTGACACTTGTGTCCAGGTACACATCTGAACTCAGTGTTTTTGTTCAAAGTCTTGCTTGCTAAGTCTACCAAATGCCCAGTCTTGGTTTCATATGATTGGCGCTCTGCTCCTAGATTGATGGTACTAGAAGAGTAGGGGTTCCCATGGAGAGTGCATTCGAGGGCTGGATCTCAAGCCGACTGATGCTCCAGCGAATTAGCCTGTAGAGTACAATGATGAGAATCTTGCAGGACACGATGGACTGTCTGCTTCCAAAGGCAACGCAGTATGCTGAGACAAGCTGCGAATCAATGCCCAAAGGGGTTTTTTTTCGCAGAGTTTGAACAACTCGGTGATAGCTGCTGGGCTACCTGCTGTTGGCACGTGCCAAATTGAGAGCGATGTATTCTCGGAAGATGCGGGGAAAGCATGTGGCGACGATCTCACGACTGTGTACAATTTTTGGTCTGCATCAAATCGGACTTTTCCAGGTATGTCAACGCTGCTATGAGTGTCAGTTGTGAAGATACTGATACTTTTGTTGGAGACAATGCTAGAACAGAGGGCTGCTTCCAAACGGTTTACTGGAAGTCCATCTATCAGGAGGTGATGTTCTTTTCAGCCATACTCAGATCGTCATGCACGAGTTGAGCTTATTATGGCATTACCAACACTGCAACGTTCTGAAGGACGGCTCGCTGCGAGGTGCGCGCAAGAAGAAGACACTCAAAAGCTCGTTTCGAGCTTGTATCCCTACATATTTCTGAAGCAGCCCTATCGTACTTGCAGGAACGGTTGGTATCAGTTGCTATGGAGCAAATGCAGACTGCGGTCTCTGTACCACCCTCATTCAGAACAAGATTCTGTCACTAGGCAGCAGCGCCACGGCCTTGCTAGCATCGACGTCATGCCAAGGTAAGTTCCAGAAGGATATTGTAGTCCCTCTAGGAAAGATGCTTGCTTGATTTGAAGTACGGAAATCTTTCATTGCTTGTGCGCCTGAATGAAACAAGAAGGTTCAAGTCTGAGATAATCATCCGGAGACTTCTTCACGGAAAGCGCAGTCAACCGGAGACGTCCGTTGATGGCCTTTTTGTGCCGACTTCTGCACTTGGAACCAAAAACTTGAATATTGAAGCATTCCTGCATACCGCAACGAACCTGCCTGAAACGAACCTGAGAGGCGAGGGTCCCGCCTCCAGTCTAAGAGTCCAAGCCCTCCTTTCGCTAGATCTGCGACTCGTTCATGTAGCTCGGTAGCAAAAACAAGAGCTGGGCTTGGTAAAAGAAAGGATTCTCCGGCAACGAAAAGTCGCAGGGTTGGGCAGGCACGTGATATCCCAGACTGTTACCCTTTTTCCGCAGATCTTGCTCAGGTTGCAATGGCCGCGGCGGCATACCCCCTCGCCATCGCAAACGGCATCGCTCGGTGCCTTTACACCGTGGACATTGCACCCATTCCTCAAGCAACCAAGTGCACGTCGTACGATTGGTCGAGGCAGAACTGGACGTCCATCGTTCGCAGCTGCGGGCCGGAGAAGTATCGAGCGGACCGCTGCTGTAATCTTATATACGGACAGTACCAGATGATGCTGGCAGCCAGCCTGAACAAGACGAACTACGTGTTGGACCAGGTGAGACGCGCTTCGCATGGATGTCAGGAGCGATCGCGCGCGCGCACAGGAAGATTTTGCTGCTAAACAGGCCTCGTTAGCACCGTGGTTAAGGCGCTAAGCAGTCCGCCCACCCAGGGTCTGCTCGGCGTCCCGTTTACCTTACTCTGGTCCAGGGTCTGGTGAGGAGAAACCAAGTTCCGGTTACTTTAACCAGAGTCTGGTCGAGGGTCTGGTTAAATTTTCAACCAGACTGTCAATTCGGAGGGTTTGAGATCTTCTTGAGACCAAAGCGCGTCGTTTCTTTGCACGGCCATAGTGGGGTGCTGCCTGACAATAGGGTCCGACCATCTTGGCCACAACCTGCTTCTACGCGGAAATCTGTGCTGTATCATACTGCAGGTAGGCATTCGTATCTCCATTTCGTACCTCAGACAGGCGATACTTGTATTTTGCTACCTACGGATATGGTTGAAGGATTTGTTTTCACCGGCACTGCAATCTGTTGAAGCGATCCGTTTTTCCGATAGCCCCTTTTGGAAGGCGCCTTTGCCGGGGCGAAAACGGCGAGTCACCCGACACTTCTCAACACCGGTGGTTTGCTCGTTTGCGGAGTCTCCTTCTTTTGTTTGTTCTTTTTGCCCGTGGAAACACGTTCATACGATCCTCCGCAACCAGGACCTACAAAACTGTCCAGTCGAGGTAGTAGCTCTCACGGAGACTCCGCAATACCCTAGGCAAAGGACCTTCAACTTCTCTTTTCACTTCAGGGGCAATCCGACGTATGCTTCTCGGAATTCAAGGCTTCACTCGTCGCGCAAGGCATTCCCCCCGCCACGCCAGAGCTCTGTCGCGTGACACCCGCAAGCGGTCTCTTGAACATCGGTTGTTTCAACTACTCCACACTTCAACAAACGATTCCCACCCGTTACTTCCATTACTTTGCGGGCAACTGCACGCGTGCGTCGCCCGACAACTGCCGCCACTGCACACAAACTCTCATCGACGTTGGAACCGAGCTTGCGAACAACACCAGTGTCGAGTACCTGAACTCTTGCCAGCAGCTGGCTGTGCATCAGTATTACCGGTGGCTTGGCAGGATCGACTTACCACCCGAGCCAGCGAATTGCTACTATCAATTTCCCCCGGGGCTGGAGCTCACGATAGTGCCCTTACCCCCGGGCAAAAGCTCGTCCAAAGTTGGCCTCGTAGCCGGGCTGAGTTCCGCAAGCGCGGCTGTGCTTCTTGCGGTACTAGCGGGTGTTGCCTTCTTCCTGTGGAGGCGTTATCCTCTGTACAAGGCCGAGTGGGACGCCGAGAAGAAGACGCTCGGCCGCTTATCGTCGCTGCGACAGAGGGTCGTGGGGACGCGGTTGCAAGTGTTCACGAAGAAGCAGCTGAGTAAAGCGACCCAGGACTTCAGCGAGAGCCGTTTGGTGGGCGTTGGGGGTTCGGGAAAAGTGTACGTCGGAGAGCTGAACGGGGAAGTAGTTGCGGTGAAGGACGCCACGTTTGGGTCCAACAAAAATGGAGCCAAGGTAAGAAGGCAACTTGAGCTGTACAGGATGTGAAAAGCCTTTGTTATTAGGAACGCGATCAGTACTTCGCAGTCTAAACTTCTCTTACACGCATCTTTGATCGCCCCGAATCGCTCCAAGACTGCCTTTGGAAAATAATGATCTTGGGAAAAGGCGTTTTCTTGGGGAGTGGCTTCGTGATCAAAACCAAGTGATCAAAGGTAATCTGGGGTGCAAGATGGGTTCGGGTCGGGGGGGGGAACTAGATTGGAATTTCTTGCTTGGACGGTGGCAATATGACGGTGGACTAGGAGCGGCCGCTTGTTTCGGTTCGTGTCCAAGCCCTCCAGACAATTCTGCTCATCCATCGGTGGAAGTCTTTACTCTCCCGTCCTTCCTGGCACTTTTTGGCTCTTCAGAACTGACAGGTTTTGTCCTCGCAACAACACGAATCGTTTTCTCAATGATCGAAATACAGAAGGATTCGAGAGGTCTGTAGGACATACGCCATAATTGGCATCGAACCCGACATTGACTATCGGCGGGTTGGTCAAAGGGCACTTGATAAGCCACGAGCTGGTCAAGTACACTAATGGTCAACCTGTGTTTGCTGCAGGAAGCATGGAACGAGGTCGCAACTCTGGCCCAGTACCGGCACCGTCATCTGGTGGTCCTTAAGGGCTGCTGCATCTCCGGAACGCACTCCTTGTGAGTTGGCCACTGCCTTTGCACTGCAGGCGAGAGAGTTGTCTGCGCTTCTTGTTGCTCGTTCGGGATGTCAGCTTGTTACAGAAGTTGTGATCTTCAGTCGCTTGATTTGGGCAGCTCACAGGAAGTTCGACGCCGGATCCCTTTTGAAGCTCTTCTCAGGGCGTTGATGGTTTCCGCCGCGTTCTTTCAGCTCCACTTCCTCGTGTCCGTCACAGCCCTACAACACCTTGCACTGCTCGTCAATACACTTGTCCTGGCTGCCAACCACAGACTTTCGACGCTTTGCAGAAAAAGATATACCGACCCGGGAACAGCTGCTTGACCATAATTGATTCCCTCTGCAGCCTGGTCTACGAGTTTCTGGAGCAAGGCAGCGTCGACGACCACCTGTGCCCGGTGGGGGTAGTCCCGGTTGGCCGCCCCGCTGAGCACAGTGTGCGCGCGCACTACTTGGACTGGCCCACGCGCGAGAAGATCGCCCTGGGGACGGCCAAGGGGCTGGCCTACCTGCACGAGGTGAGTCAAGTCGCCGTGTCAGGAGAAGCTGATAAGTTTCGAAGTTCCGACCCTTTCAGATAGGAGGAACTCGATTTGGAAGAAGGAACAATCTGCTGATGCTTCATGAGATTGAGCTTTTGTCTGCGATTTTTGAGGCCGGTGATTTGAAGATCGAGTGTCCGCTGATACTAAACTTTTCTGATCATCCCCTTAACCGCAAGCTCGTTGATTGGGGCTTCGTTGGCATCGTTTCTTCAGGGCCTTTTCCGGAATGAAGTCGGAAGACACACAGACATTTGCAAGCAGGAGTTAGTGGCATGGCAGATACTCTGCTCTTGGTCATTCTAAGTTCCACCTGAGCTGTCTGTTTGCGGGTCCTGCAGTAAAGGCGACATTTTTCCCTTGATTCGACAACGGTCCGTAAAAGCTATATCTTTTCTCCCCCAAGAGTGTAAGCCGCGGTGTATTCACCGAGACGTGAAGCTGAGCAACATCTTGCTGACCAACGAATTTGAAGCCAAGTTGGCCGACTTCGGACTTGCAAGGCGTACAGACCCGCATGACACGCACGTCACCACAGGTGGGTGTTTCTTTCCGGAATGAAGCATGCGGTAGCCATGACTCAGTGCATCATGTGCATCGGATTCAAAAGCTTCACGCACGTAGACACTAGGTGAGCCTCACTTTATTGTGCCTTACTCGGAGTCCAAGAAGCTGAGAAGGAAGATTTCCAGGCGGCGGTAATTCAGAAGCCTCACCCTTAGGGTTGCGGTCTCTCGCCGTTTCCTCGACGCTCGGAGGACTGCTCTTACTCAGTTGCCTCTCCAAGTACGGTACTGAGACGAGAGATTTGTGCTTGAGCACTCCTGCTGGTCATCACATACGTTGGACAACCGGCTCCGGGCTGTCCCTGCAATTGACCCCTCTTATAGCAGCAAGGATGACTTCACTGAGTTTGTGATTCACTTTTCTGTTTGCAGCGATCGCCGGCACGTGGGGCTACTTAAGCCCCGAGTACATGGCCACCGGGAAGCTCACCGAGAAGAGTGACGTGTACAGCTTCGGGGTGGTGCTGCTCTGCCTCGCGGCCGGGAGAAGGCCCACTCAACCCAACGGACCAGAGGACCAGGTAAGAACTCGGGGCGGTACCCTCTCCGTCTCTGGTTCTTGAGCCGAAAATGATGCTGATAAGGCATAGCTGGGCGGCTCGCTTTTACAGTACGCTTTGACCAGACGTTCATTTAGTTATGTCCACTCTTTTGACATCAGCTTCGGATTGGGGTGGTTGCGGAAACGCTTCCCCAATTTGCGGTTGATTCGAGCGGTGACCGTGGCACTGGTGGGGACCTTCGCCGTCAAGTTCTCGTTAACCAGATCAGAAACGTTTCGTGCCGCCAAAAGCCTGGTCGAAGCGTCAATCAACAGCTTTACTTTCGACTCGTACGTACCGTACCGTACCCAGCGCTTCGAAGTCACAAGCCGCCCCAACAAGGTGCAAGGTTTCTTGGAGAGTCTTTCTGACAAGAACCCGCCGTAGATCGCTTTCGCCCCCTCGTTGGTTGCCTTTCATCTTTAGGAAAGTACACTCTGCAAGTCCAACAGAGGGCGAATCCTACTTTCAATCGCTCTTGTCATCATTCCGCCAGATCCACCTACCGGAATGGGCGTGGTCCCTTGCGGAACGGAACGAGCTCGAGCAACTGATCGACCCGCGGCTCGAAGGGGAGCAACGGGAGTACGCGGCGAACATGGAGCGCACGACCAAGGTGAGAAGTCGCCCGTCTCTCTTCTCTCAGAACACGTCAGGGCGTACGTCAGCTTTTGAAAGGGCGGCAGGGAACAGATGGGCTGGCGGCTGTCAAGAAGGGGTTTCGCGGTCACGGTGCGGAACTGATCATGTCGCATCAAAAATGGCGACCACGCACCTACGCATACCCCCTTTTCTGTCAATGAACAAGATCAGTGCTTCGCAGCGCCATGAAGAGAGACATCATGAACTTTGTCGCTCCAAACGAGTCTTCTGCCGCTTGCAGTATTTCCTGCAATAAAGGGTATTATTGGATCGGACTCGTGACGTTGCCCAGAAATTCTGATTAGAACGGCGTTGTATCATCGACTTTTCACCGACGTTGTGTTATAGACTTTTTCCCGGCGTCCATCAAGCCGGTCCCGGTGCTTTCAGGTCACCAAGAGCCACTGGTGTAAAATTTCGGCAACATGAAAGCAATACTGCGAGCTTGCAGTCGCCCTATGGTTGTTTTGGGTAAAGTCTTTATGGGTGCCGGTCGCTCACCTAAAGGTACTACCACCACCCCGACGTCCTTCAGGAATGACTCCTACCAGGTCAAACTTCCTTTCAAGTTGGGAATGTCAGTCTCTCCGATCCGCTGGGCCTCCTTGCGCAATAGAGATGGCGTGTTCTGGTGTTACTGACGGCGGCGGAGGCAGCTCGATCCTCGAGCTTGCACTTTTCGATGGGGCCATCGTTCAGCGGCTTTGTACTACTGCGCCAATGCGAGTCAACGCGACTTTCGGAAGGCAACGAATCAAGTACATATATCATTGATCGCTTCTATGCTAGAGCTTTGTATTCAAAAGCGAAAGAGGGCGGGGACCCCCGCCTGTATGCAGAAAGCGCGCGCAGTTCAAGGGCACCAAAACCGGGTGGACGAATTGGCTGCTTACTTAACTCAACAGGTTCCCTTTCGTTCCGGTTTCTACTTTCTGTGATCAGTCTTTTGAGTCTTTTTAACCCCTTTTCCAGATTGCTCTGCTGTGCGTCCACACGGCGGCCAGCGTCCGGCCCAGCATGCGGCAGTGCGCGGACATGCTCTTGGGGCGGATGGAGGTGCCCCGGCTTCCGAGGCGCCCCCCGACCCTCTATACAATCTCCTCGTTGGCGTCGTCCGATCCTGATAGTTCAGCGGGGCTTTCCTTGGGGCAACAGAGCTCGAGCCTGAGCACTGGGGGCGCCGGAGGGTTCTCCACTTCAAGCGATCATGATGCGAAAAGCATCCCTTAGGTTTTGTTGATTCTCTCGATGTGGGGTCTGCTTCCGGCTTATCAAAATGTGTTTGTACCGCTTACAGTACGCTGATCCACTTCCAAGCTAGCTACTTAAACAGCATATTTCGTCTTTGGGACATGTAGTTATAAGTGACGTTTAACAGTAAGTGTATTATAGAAGATGGTCACAGGAAGATAACACTGATTCTTCCAGCCGACGGAACAGAAGTAACTTAGTACGTCGGGGTTTATGACAGTCAAATAGGTACAGTATAGAAAGTTTGAAGCGGCCCCGGATGTTAGAAGACCTGAAGTACCCGCGCCTTCCTCAGGAAAAGACGTGAGTACATTAGTCCAAAGAGAATCGATTATGTTGCAAGCAACCCGTCAGTAGCGAGTGATCGAGTACCCCGTTACCTGCAGTCTTTTTGCCCCCGTTACATTGCTTTACGGATCGCGACACTCTGTCTTCTCTCTAGAATCTAGAATGTTCTCCCCAGATCAAGACGTCTTCGCCAGTTGTCCTCTCATTCTTACTAGTTCTTTCGCGATTGGAAAGCCCTTTTTCTTATGGCTTCAATCGTTGCTTCTCTGATCACGATCTGAGCCCACCTTCGAATTTCTTTACTACCATCTTGTTTTTTGGCTGACTGAATTGGAGACGCCTTCGAGCAGGAAATGCGTTCGTAGGAGAACGGCCTACGAAGCCGGCGGCAGCCGACAGCCTTCACGTACCCTGCCATAGAACCGCCGACAAGATTCGCAGACACTCGTTTTCGTAGATAGCGCAATACCGCTTTACATCTTTTCAGAGGTCCCTGATCCGAATGCGGCAGTGCGCTAAACCGATTGAGCCTTCTGCACCAGGTCGAAGATTGCAGCTTCATTCCAAACTTAAGACTCATGTGTCTGAAAGAGGATGTCTCGTTCGCCGTGAATCAGGCCCGAATGAAGGCAATAATCCCGTCTGTTCAAATCTCGGCCGTTCTGTTGACAGACTGCCCGCGTCATCCACCCAAGAAAGCCCAGCAGCTGATAAAAGCGCTCGCGTCAAATTTCTCTTCAAGTGCGCTCGCCTATCAATTGTAAGGTAGCGTCTTCAAACGCGGATACATCATCTGAAAGCTTCTGGCCCAAAAGTTTTTGCATGTCTCTCCGGCTTAACGACGTTTCTTTCGGCTACGTTTTGTCAGGCTACAGGAGTGGTGCGAGGTCAGATGTCAAATATCATATGCTGTACTCGTTCCAAAGAAACACCATCGGTTGCCGCTCCGTATATTCTTCTTGCGCGCCGTGATTGCACAGACCGCTTAATTGAGGTGCCCACTATGCGGAGCGGTCTGAGTCAAATCTAAAAACCGATACAAGCTGATAGACGCGCGCTTCTGGCAGCTTCGAATTGGTGAGGTCCGGACTCATTCTCACAGACTCTTCAAATTGGTCACTGATGTATACAGATCATTAGACTTGCCTACAGTAAGTCAAAATACCGGAGACAGAGGAGAAGGTACGGATCGAACGAGGGAGAGAGCTTCGAGGTGCATGCTCACTACGTGCCGGCTTCCCAATCCTGAAAGGTAACCATTGTGAACTCGGTTGGCTAGCCATCAGCCTAGATGCACACATACAGCAACTTTGTGTTCCGCCGCATCGAAGCTCTTTGAGAACACGACTGTGGACCCAGCTTGCCATAATATGCAGCATAAGTCAGTAAAAGCCGATCATACTGCAGGAGGAGAAGACACTCAGGTACACGTGGATTTGGATCATGCTTCACGAAATGGAGAGCTTTAAGAGATTACTCGATTTTCTTGGACTGCTTCGAACAAGTCAACAGTTTCACTATGGAAGATTGTCTAGTTGTCTACTCACAGGGACTATGTTGAAGCAGAAGAGTGTTCATGACGGAACACAGAACAAACTGCTCTATGTTAGCTCTACTAACTAAGCAGCATTACAACAAGCCGTACTACCCTGTTGCTATATGTTGATCCTAACCGGGGCGACTGTTCCTTTGAGATAACCAATGGCCATGCATTCTTGGTTATAGAAACTATAAAGGCCTTGACTGCGTGTACTACAAGAGATAAAAGTACCAGTTATTTCCGCTCTCTACTTAAGTGCTACGCCTTTCTGAAAGTGGCGCCTTTAGATCCAGTTTTTGAGTTCTGGTGCTTCATGAAGAAGCTTTACGATGTCCTTCAGTGGCAGATACGTTGCGCCGGTGAAGAATCTACTTTCAGGAGATTCCGGAACTAAGGAGGACCTTTCGAAAGCCTCCCAGTTGATGAAGCCGACCTCCACAGCAATCTTATCAAACAAGTGCACGAGGTACTCGGAAGTCTCCCATTCAGGTAACAAGCTGCGCGTAGAAAAGGTTGAGAACCGTTCAACGTGGTCGTCGTAGCACCGCAGGCGCATCATGGCTCCAGCGCGATTGCGCGCCATAAAGTATGTTTCACCCTCGCCGTCTTCAAATGCCTTGAAGCGTTCAGGCTGCAGCGCCGTTGATGCTTGCAAGCGGTGGTAGCGACCCTCTGCTCCTTCTTCCGGAGCCACCAGAGACTCGTAGGTCGCGGGCTTGCAGTGATCCAGCAGGCTCTGCAGCTTTCCGTCGGCCTTGCGCATGAGCTTCCACGAAAACAGTACGACTGACCGCTGAGGCTCCACAGGAGAAGTGGTGCATTGCCGCCGAGCTGCTTTAGGCGTCAGACGCATCGTATTGACCACTGCCTTGCAACCAACATTCTTGGGATGCTTGAACTCCCACTCATCCTGGCAGCCCTGGAACTCGATTTCAAGCTCGCTGCACTCTGCTGAACAAAACAATTGACTTTTGTTCATGGAGACGTCCATCAGCATGACGTGAGCTGAAAGGTCCAAATCTGGGGGAGTCACCCTCTGAGAGTCGCAATTCTGATGAACTTCACCCGCCACTTTCCCGGTGAGTTTCATGAAAAGTTGTTTGTAGAGGCAGACCCCTCCGATCCCACCATAGTGTTTGACCACGAGTTCCATAGCTGGAGATGTTGTGATAGAAGGGCTGTGGCGCTCGCAAAAGGTCTTCCAGGCAAGGCTTCCGTCCAGCGCTTGCCTGAGCGACGTTGAGAGAAGGGCCAGGCTGCATGTCTCCTTGGTTGTCAGAAAGGAGAGCAGGTAGTCGAAAGGAGGAGTATCAAGCGCCTCCGTGTTTCAGCTTTGAGTGCAGAAGTGCAGTGCTATGCAGTTCGTTTCTGAGGACACAGTTTCACCTGAGGACGCGGCCCCGCAAGCGCCGCGGGCGCCTCTAGCCCATCAAACCCGGCGCGATCTAAACCCCTGCTCTTGCATTAAGGCGGCCGCGCAAACGCGCGCCGACGGCCGCGCGGCATCGCGCGCGGAAACGCGACGCACTAGAGTCAGTAGAGTGCTCGTCTCTTGAGGAATGCACATGCCAAAGCGCTCACCCCGTTTTGTTCAGTTCAGAAAGTTGTTTCAGAGCTGCGATTGGCTTTAATACTTCATTTGCTTGCCAAATTTCGCCTGGAAGCTAAGTCTTCATCATGGAGACGCTGGATGCGCCTACCTTTGACGAAGTGCTGAAGCACCTTTCCGCAGAAGAAGCGTGCAGGCTGGCCGTCCTCTCACGCACTCTGAAGTCGCTGGTGAAGGAAAGCTTTGTTTGGAAGGTGTGGTGCGAGCGCGACTGTCCTTCACTAATGACTTCGCCTGCAAAGGAGCTTATGAGCGCGCACTATGGCGCGCCTGGGCACGGAGGCCAAGATTCCAAGTACAGGGAGTTGTATCTCAAGCTGTCAATGAACTGTTGTCTTTCTTTAGAGTCAAGCGAAGCCAATACAGGGCTCTTAAGATTCTCAGACTTCATCCTGTTACTAGACGTCTATGAAAAAGGCAAAGGCGTGGTGTTCTGTTCAGCCGAGGGCTGTGAAGTGGAGCCTTCGGTGAAAGGATATCAAGAGGCGTGGGATTCTGAGAGATATCGGGGTGTTTGCCGAGCAGTGATCCGAGCAGCGCACGAGCCAGGAGCAGAGAAAACGTGGGGTTTCGATGATGTGACAGCAATATACTGTGGTGTCAAGCACCTTGAACCTTTGGGGCGCAATCCTTTTGGTGGCTTAAGGGTTCGCTGGCATGCAGAAGTTTCATTCTCTTGGAAGTTGATGCACAAGTTTGATGGGAGTGTCAAAATGCTGCTGGACCGGAAACTTATTGCCTGGAGTGACTATCAAGGCTACCACAGGGCATTAAGCCATGGCACACAGTGTTACATCAAACTGGAAGCCGTTGCAGATGTTCAAGTAACAAACATGATTCAGAGCCGGCGAAGAAAACTTCGGGCGTACATGTCTTTACGCAGTTATCGCCCGAACGCAAGCAGTCGTTGCAAACTGGATGCGGATTTGTCTGGTTGCGCCATAGAAGTAGAGCTCGTTGAACGAGGATCGTGGGAGATCCAAAAGCCGGAAGTGTTTCTACCGGTAGTGGGAAACGATAGTCAACATTGGCTTTGACGCAGATTTCGTAATCTTGGCTGGTCAAACGAGTAGAGTATCCTGAAGGCCCCTACATAATCTTATATGCAGTAGTCGCGCCGTTTCTTGTAGTTCATGTCTCCTGCCATTGCAGTTTGATGAAACTCTTTTGTTCCAAAATCATGATAACTTGTTCCGAAAGGCACCAGAGATTCTTATCGGCAAAACAGATGCACTTTCCATTTTCAATCCCAAGATCAGGTCGCAGGCTTTTTTCTGTCTTCAGCCCGGCCCCGTTCGTTGCTACGAACGAAATGGCTTCTCATGCCGAGCTGTAAACCACGACTAGCTTCAAGAAATCCTGCAAAACATGAGGCTTCTTTTCAGCAAATTTGGAAGTCCAGACCGTGCGTTAGTGATCTGTCCGCTTGAAGCGAACGTAAGGGAATCTCGTGAGACAGCCTAAGTTTTACTGCAGGGCTGTTCTGCAGTAAAAGTGCGATTTGCAGAGAGGATTCGTGACCTTTGACCCCCAGGATACCTTGTACCCCCGGCCGATTGAAGTGAAGCGACGGAAGACCGGTTTGATGCCATCATATATAGATCGCAGTTGGTTTTCGCAGAATCCTCCCCTGCTCATTTGGACTTCCACCTTACTGCTCACTGGCCCGTTTCATCCGCAGATGCGATTGCCAACGGTAGATTTAGCTTGGACGTAGTGAAGATTATCAGCTGTTTCGTCTCAATGGTCGTTCCGTAAGGAAACCTTTATTGGGCTCCCTAATTACTGGAGCCACTGGTCGAGCGCCCACCCAATATTGAATATGGTCGGACAGAATCTCCATGCCACGTATCCTAATCCGCAGTCTCGAGCTAATAGTACCTGAGACTATTCCATTTGCACAGAAGGTTTTGTTCGATTTGCGACGAAAGTGACTGTATACGTCTCTCTGCTTACCTTAGTGGCTTTCCCTCATTTATAGACTGTTGGATGAGAAACCGTTTACATGATGACGAGGGGGACTTTCTCGGCGAATCCTGTCTTGACCAAGGGGTCAGTAAAATGCGCTCCCTTGTGCGGGGAAGACCTCAAATGATGGTAATGATCGTATCGTACTCAGCAATTGCTCTCATCAAGCGGTGAAATTGCTTCTGGCACTTAAAAACGGCGGTTCTGGATCCAGTACTCGCATGGAACTTTTGAAATCTCAATAAGTCGTAATTGGACCTGCCATCATTCTACACAATCAATCTTCAAAGCTAGCCAGATTTGAATACGGTCGGGCGGCCGTCGCGTCGGCTTAGATACAAGGGCAAGTATATGTTCCGCCACATTGAAACTCCTTGAGAACAGGTTGAGGACCCGGCTCGCCACGTATATGCGGCAACATGACAGTCAATCTCCCAAAGAAGGAGGCTGACATAGAGCACTTCCACGTTACGTCACGAGCACTGCACTTTCGGGAACTATGATGAAGCAGAAGGCTGTAGTTCATGATGGATGTGAGCGCCTAACAATCAAACTCAGTCCACACAGAATCGAGTAGATTCTTCAAGCTCTCATCTCAGAATCTTGATTTAGACCCATGTTGTCAGACCGTTGTCTTTCATGACGAAGTGGACAACATGGCTTGATTATCAACTGCTCATCGTACTGGTGGCGGATTGCCGTTATCTTCAATATGACTCGTATTCTTGCTTACAAAAATCCTAGGATGGCCAAGCTTCCGTTTACTAAACTGTTCCAAAAATCCGGTGATCTGTTCTTCATGTGCTCTCTACGTGCTGCGCACCATGTCTTAGAGCAGGTGCCGTTAGATCCAGTTTTGGAGATCTGGTGCTTCATGAAGAACCTTCAAGATGTCTTCCAGTCGCATATAGGTTGCCCCAGTATAGAAGGTATTGTTTGGATCAGCAACAGGTCGCGGATATTGGAAGGATTCGTCAAGTGACTTCCAGCTAATGAAGCCGACCTCCACAGCAAGCTCCTCGAAAAGAAGGTACTCCCAACCATCCGACAAGCTGCCGGAGAAGCCTGAGAGCCATTTGCGGCGATTATAGCACCGAAGGCGCATCATCGCTGCAGCACAGTCCCACACTTCAGAAAAACCAGCCTCGCCGTTTAATACAAGCTTCCGAACGAGCAGTTGCTGTAGGTATGTCGCTGCTCGCAATCGGTGGTAACGCGCTGCTCCATTTTCGGGAACCACAAGAGACTCGTAGGTCGCGCACCTGTGATGCAGCAAAGTTTGCAGCTTTCCATCGGCCTTGCGAATGAGTTTCCAGGAGAACGATAAGACTGCATCTTTATCGTGCACAGGAATGGCAAATCGCCGCCTGATGGTCTGTTCAACATCACTTGGACGCGTCCCCTTGACCACTGCCTTGCATCCAACATTTTTGGGATGCTTGAACTCCCACTCTTCCTGGCAGCCCTGGAACTCCTCTTCAAGCTCGCTGCTTTCAGCTGAACAAAACACACAACCAACTCCGTCCAGATAAACGTCCATCAGCATGACGTAGGCTGAAAAGTGTGAAGGAAGAGGCCCTCTCTGAGGAATATCGCAATCCTGAGTTTTCCTTGGCCTTTTCGCTCTTAGTTTTAGGAAAAGCTCCTTGTAGAGGCGCCCCCCTGCACTCCCACCATAGTGTTTGATCACGACCTCCCGTGCTGGAGATGTTGTAATGGAGGGGCTGTGGCGTTCGCAAAAGGTCTTCCAGGCAAGGCTTTCGTCTAAGGCTTGCTTGAACGATCTTGAGAGAAGAGTTAGACTGCAAGCTTCCTCGGGCGTAAGAAAGGATAGGAGGTAGTCAAAAAGAGGAGCATCAAGCGCCTCCATTCTGAAAGCTCAGGTGCAGAAGTACACTCTTCTGATCAGTTGAACCTGACAGTGAAGGAGCCCTCTGGCCGCGCGCCGCGCAGCCCGCCCATCGGGTATTCGACGCGCACGCGGCCGCGCTTGAAACCCTGGATTTTGCTAAGACTAAGAAGGCGGCCGCGCAAGCGTGCGCCAGAATGAAGTCGCGCGGCGGCTCTCACACCAGCGTGCAGTAGTGACTACTACTGTAGTCAGAAGTCAGACAGACATTTACATACACGAGGCTCCTTTTACCTAAGCAAGCCGCAGGGCGGTCCCCCGGATCTCGCAGCGAAGCGCCTTTGTTCAAGGGTTTTGATTTGCCATATTGCGGCACCAGAGAGCGGACGTGCGGGGCGTTCATCGTCAGTTCGTTGAACAAACGGCGTCTTCGTTTCTCTTGTCGCCCTGGCCAAGCTGATCTAGACGGTGTCTGAGATTCGGCGCATCGCCTGGCGACGGCCTGACGAACTTTCGGGCCTTTCTTAAAGCTTTCCGTCAGGTTCAAAGAAAGGTCAATGGTCAATCCGGAGTCAATCGTCTGCAGTTGAATGGCGGTTCAACAGGCTGTTTCCAATTGGCTGAGCAGCATTTTCTTCACGCCAGAGTACCTAGAGCACAAACGCACCTCGCAGCGTCCGAGAGCGTCCGGTTGGCAGCAGCGCAGCGATGCGGCAGAGTGGACCGCAGCTCACAGGCGAGTGGTTATGTGAGAGAGCTTCACACCCGAGACCTCAATGCGCTCTGCCGCAGATGTATTAATGCGAGCGACGCTGAAGCAGTGACACTGCAGCAAGCAATTGACAAGGCTTGGGCCATTATGCGCGAGATCAACGACCATGGAGCGGCACTACTGGAGGCATACGACACGGGCCGTGACATCGACTTTGACTCCAATTTTTGGCGAGAGCACGAGGAGCTACTGCGGCGACTTCCTGAGGCTCTGCACCCGGCGAGCGTCGCCACCGGCCCGAGCTTTTGCAAGGAGAGCACCTAATGCAACAAGAGCACACTCGGCATAAGAAAACGAGAGAAAATTGCATTAGCAAACGCATGACCGGACTCAAGCCGCTTGATTGGCAGCTAGATTCGAGCTAATGTCTGTACACCAATTTTGTAGATACCCGGTAGATCATTGGTTTGGGCCTAGTGTCATATAGGAGGACGGTGGCTGCGGCGGCAGCTTCGTGGGGACCGTACTTTGGCTTTGGTTCAAGTGTACTGCAGTTGAGTTTGTGTTCTTCCACCGTCGCGGTTTGTTGTCTTGCAAGCACATGGATTGATTTCAACCAAGACGCCTGCGCCCGGTGTCGCGCCTCCCGGTTAACAAGAGTCCTTAATGCATCGTGACGTAGAACATCATGAGCTCCCTCTAATTGGAGCATCCATATAGCTCGCGAGCAGGCAGCGTTCAGGCGCATCGACTCATTGCCGCGCCAATTCCAAAACGCCATGCGCCGCAGGGCCGTGATTACAGAAAGAAAACGCTTGAGGGAGTAGCTACTTGCGACCAGACATGTTAGACGGACGCTTTCGCTCATCATCATGCAAGACAGTCATGCATGGGCCACGAATATTGTTTGAAGTCACACTAGGCCGAGTCAGTAAAATTTTTGTTGCATGCATGGTTTTGCGTTCAAGGGTTGAACATCATCGTACGGTATCCTCTAGGGGGCTGACTTCTACGCTGGGCCGCCAGCACGCGTAAGTCGTCGGTCCTACACGTACAGTCGCTCTATCTTTGAATGGGACTTGATACACCGATAAATCAGCACGGTGATCACACGGCTAATCCCTATCAGCTCTACAGAGATCTACGTCAAACGTCTGCAACAGCGATCTGTGGGCACGTAGTTCTACAAAGGGCGATTAGTGCAATCAGACTCTTGTCAAACTTGCGCAAGCCGTACATATGATACACCCGCAGAAAGCTACAGCTCCTATGACGATTCCGGGATAAGTTAGGCGGTCCTATTGCACCTACTCCTCACTTTATCCTGCAGTCGTTACGGTCCGCTTTATCACGAAGTGGTTCCGTTGGGGGCCGGGGTCAGCGCAGCATATTGCAGCTGCCAGTTGCTGGAACCAGAGGCTGCGCTGCCATTAACGGTTCTGTTGGTATACACCCACAAAAGCGTAGCGTACATGTTCCCTAGCTGCACAAAAAGCGGAAGCGAAGGTCAGACATCCGAAAAGAGATTCTGGGTTCGCAGAAGATGAGTGACCGTGAGACAGAAACTCTCTTTTGGGGAGAACAGAGACCGTGACAAAGCAGGGAACGACCACACTCGAAATAGAGACGTTTGATTTTCTGGCTGGGCGCCGATTCAGTTCCGGGGGCCGTAGTGCTCGACTATTGCAAAGGCGTCGAAAAACAGCCCACAAATTTAGGGGCACTCAAGAAGTCTCCCTAAGGAGCTCTGAATGGCGTCTGACAATGATACGAGAGCTCTCGGTTCGTTGAACCCGCCATGCGTATAGCATAGCTGACGTCAGCTGCCACGACAGCAGCCCCACAGACTACGCTATCGTCAAACCAGGAGCAACTCACCGCGTTTGCCGGGAACTCTTCGGTGACCAGTACGGACGTGGGGTCGACCTTGAAGAGGCTCTTCAGGACGGGGCTGGACACATTGCCCTTTACTGCGCTTAGGAAGGGCGCCAAAACGGTCACGTTGCCGTACCTGGGGAATCGGATGGGCAGCGGTGTGAATAACCGCGAGGCAAACGCCAAGAGCTCAAATACATTAAAAGAGCCACGGCGGATGAATCGACTCAGCTCGAGGGAAGATATTAGCGAAGTGCAAGCGAAGCTTCGACGAAGCGCAAGTTGTTGACCTGAGTTCAGCATCAGGCTGCAGCAAACCCGTGTAAAGACAGACGCCCGCGGCACGAAGGTAAACGAACCAGCAGGGCTGGCGGCTTGAGTGCGCCTCTGTAACAGCTTAAGAAGCACACCGTCGGAAACGCTCAAGAGCTCTCCTTGAGGCACCTTAACCAAGCGACTAATGCTCCAACAAATCGACGGAAGTACCACGCCAGACATTACCCAAAAAAGTCTCGTACTAAGCGCGTTCCGTACAGATGCCGAAACGCCGAAAAGTCGACCTCTCTGTGATTGCTGAGGAGTAGCAATCACAATCACAAAGGAAGATAGACGTAGCTTACCCCAAAGGTCCCGGCAAGTTCGGCGCGTACAGGATACTGGTGTTTGTCACCAGGGGGAGGACCGCTGTCAGGTTGCCTTGCTGGAGGGCGGCCACCAGGGTGGCCGTCCGGGCTAGAACGTCGCTGCTGTTTGCGGGGGCGGGGGAGGGGGCGAGCGCGGAGGTTATGACTGGGAGGGTTGGCGAAACCGTTGCTTGGACTGGAGAAGCGTTGATGGAGCGGAAGGGAGATAGGTTGCGAGGGCGGAAAAGGAAGAGTTTGAAGGAGTGGATTGAGGGGAGGGAAGAAGGGGAGGGGACAGGAGAGAAGAATGCGTCAGTCTAGATAAACGGAACAATCCGAAGGGCGAAAGAAGTTGCTAGCATATGAGGGGAAGCAATAATGTCCAAGTTCGGAGATAGAAAGAGAAGCGAAAGGGGTCAAAAAAGCGGTGAAGGTGCAACGAGAAGCGAGCCACCAAACCGTCCTATGGGGATTTGCACAGGGAAGCATGAAACAAAAGATAATGAAGGTGGGTGCGGTGTGTGTGAATGCGAGCATGTGATGAAATTGGGGAGCGTCTTGCTATACGCAACTGCAATCTATACAACAAATGTGTGTGGCAGAGAGCTGTGGCGCAATGGTAACGTGTCCCGTGTGCAAAGCAAGCGGCGACAGTGCGCAACGAGTGAGTGAAGAGTGCATTCAACGTGCGTGAGAAATCAAAAATAAGGAACCCGCATGCAATATTCGTGGAATCACGCAAAACAAGATTCAACTCTCTATCCATAATCTATGTACAGTTTCTATGGACACGTAGCCAATTAACACAAGCCCCGGCGCTAGCCTAGTCGTCGAAACTTAAATCATCGAACCCGCTGCTTTTTTACGCAAAAACTACAAGCGCAGAAACCGCTGCACCGAGCACAACCATAATCCCAGACACACTGCCAATCGTAGCCCCTCCAGCGGCTGCGGCGGGCGACCCCGCGCCGCTCACACCAGAACTGCTCGTCAAAAGCACGCTCGAGTTCTGCGCCCCGGTCAGGCTAGCGAAGCCCCCGGGCACGGGTGACGTCACGACCGACGTACTTGTTGACGTCCCGGTGACGTTCCCTGGGAAGCGGACCTGGTTCCCGCAGTCCACCTCTTGGCCGTTCACCAGAAAGACGGCGTTGCAGCCGCCGCAGAGGTCGGAGATGCAGAAGGCGGTCGGGAAGTTTTGGCACTTAAGGAACGCGCACGGGTCCGGGATGCACGGGCGACCGGTTGCTTTGGTGAAGGGCGCCGAGCCGTCGGGGCAGGGACAGCTGGCGGTGACCTCCCAACCCACGTAGTCGTTTGGTAGGCCCACCTGAGACAGGGACAAGATGGTGAGGTTTTTTGAACGCTCTTTCACGGTATCTAGTTACTGAAGGAGCGAGCAGCTTTTTGAACGCCCGTCTTCGGTACCTACTTCCTTTGGACAGGAGCAACGGCGTCTCGGGCGATTCCACCGAGTCGTTAGGCAGACCCAGTCGTCAAAGACAAAGCGTGTCAGGACGAAACATGAACGGCAGAACACGAAGTGCTTTCAGATTCTGAGGTACTGCCCCGGGCAAAGTTAGAAAGGATGGTAAGCTCGCCGTGCGAGTCAGCCCTCAGAGCAAGCTGGACAGGCCAGCCGAAATAGAGAGGCTCTCCAGATCGCGCCTCCTGTTCACGCTCCTCTTTCGATTGCAGTACAGAAGACGTTTTATGACTGGACAATCAAATAGTAACACCTTTTAATGATGATCGTAAGAGCTCGAGTCCCCGCTCACATTGAGGTTGTACTTGGCCTTGCAGCCATCGCACGCGTCCGCCACACACTGCGCCGTTGGGTAGCGTCCGCACAGCGGCTGTGAGCAGACGGAGGCGTTGCAGGGGCTTGCTGGGGGGGTTACGGGAGGGGCTTGGCCGTTGGGGCACGTCTGGCCCGCAGCGAACGGGTTCACGACGGCGGGCTTTGGAGGAGGGGCGTATGAGGCTGCAAAAAGGAAAAGGTGGTTAGCAAGACTGCCTTGCAAGCTGTTCTGACTAATCTACAACACACGAAGATTTTTGAAAGCCAAGAAAAAGGAAAGCGAAGGAAGTGAGGGTGGTCTCGGAGGGGCGGCTTACGAGGCTGAAAAAAGGAAGGGCGGTGAAAGTTGACTAGGTTATGATGAAATCCGAAGCACCAAATGACAAGGGGCAAGGTTTCACGGGGCTTTTCTATGGGCAGGCGATGTTGTGGAAGGGACTCGCTGTCGAGTCGCTGCCGAGCTAAAGGGCGTCTTGCGAGAAAGTCGTTACCAGCATGCGGGACAGAAGTGCAGTTCATAGCCAAAAGATGATCAACAGTCCACGTGCCGGAAAAACCCCACAGTTCACCTCATCTCGACAGACCACTATCCAACGGCGAAGTGCAACAGGATTGTATACAGAAACAACAATTGTCAGCTGCATTCTTTCCTCGGTTCAATCTTAGGCTTTGTAAGGGCGACTTCATTGTAAACCCTTGAGAGCTGTACGATGGCTAATAAGAAGTTTCCCTCCATGCCATGAGGGCGTGGTTGCCAGCAATCCATCAATTTCCACTGGGTCCGTGATTGAGACTCCAACCCAAGGCGCTTACTCGTCCCGCTCGTCTGCTTCCCGCTCTTCGGCAGGCTCGCTGCGCCCAACGAAGCCGGGATCACTTGCGCGGCAACGGTAGCGACCGGCACCGTTGCGTTTGCTCCCGGGAACTTTGTCTGCACGCCGCAGTCGACCTCCGTCCCGTTGACCATGAAGACGGCGTTGCAGCCGTAACACGTGTCAACCAGGCAATAGGCGTTGGGAAAGGCGGGGCACGTGAGGAGGGAGCAAGGGGAGGGGGAGCAAGTTTGCGGCAGGCTGCCGTCGGGGCAGGTGCAGTTAACGCCCCAGCCAAACAGGTCGCCGGGAACGCCGACCTGGGGGGTGGTGAATGCGCGGGTGTGAATAAACGGGGAACTCCGGAATTGGCGGACTGCTTTAAGAAAGCGTGACTCTCTATGTTGGAACCTTACCCCCAACGTCAGCTTCAGCTGCTGTGGGGCCGTTTATGTAATTTCGTTAGCCGCCGTGAAGGAGCGTTTTGATTGGCTTCACATCACCGAAGTGGGACGTGCCTTAGACGAATCCTCGACGAAGCAAACACATTACCTTATCCACAAAGTCGCTCGAGATGTTGTTATCGACCCAAGTACACACTGAGCATAGCTTTTTGAAAGTTGTGCCATGATGATCGCACAAATCAGAAATCCGATCTGTCTGTCAAACGTACAGCATTGACAAGACACCACATCAGAGGATTGAGTCGACCCGCATTGAGAATTCGTTTCAGGGGAACTAACCTGCTCGTTGTAGTTTGGCAGGCACTTGTCGCACTGGTCAGCCACACACTGAGACCCAGGGTACCGAGGACACGATGACCGGGCACAGTCGAGCTCCGTGCACGCCCGGGGGGCACTTCCGTCAGGGCAACTCTGGCCCCCACTGACAAAGTTGACGGCCGGCTCGCTAAAGACAGGGGAAGGGGGGATCTTTGCTCCTGCAATTGAGGGGAAAGACTTGATGAATAACCCGGATTGTGTTGACAAAATGGCAGGCCCCGAACTTTGTGATCAGGAGGTTTGCAGGATTCCGAATACTGCTTGAAAGGTCGGCTGACGGCCGGGCTCCATTGAGCAGCAACAGCGAGTCTTCTGATCTTTAGCTGTGACTACTTTCAGATAATGACGGTGAAAAACAACGTAGAGTCAAGTCAGCATAAGTTAGACAGTCCTTTAACGTTGGGCTCTATGCTCCCAATCTACTCGTAAACCTACTCGTAAAGCCCTCACAAAGAACGACATGTTTGTCATGTTTCGTCCTCATTCCAAATTCCAGTCGAAGCTGGTTGTGTGAAAATATACGCCAGAAGAAGCTCACCAGCCAGGGGAATAGGAGCAGGGGCTGAGAGAGGGTATGCAACGTTGCACTGGTTGAAGTAATTTTGGAAGCCCTGGCGCAGCGACGGGCTCGCAAAGATGTCCAAAACCTCCTTCAGCTGGTATGTGCATTGCACATCCAGGCTCCGGATCGCAGCACAGGTCGGGACGCCCTTCACTGCGTCGCTGAAGAGGTTCTTCTGCAAAGTGGAGTTGAAAGATAGTTCTTAGACATTCTTCGATGGACTGGTCCTGCTGCTTAAAAGGTCAATTGCACGTTGATTCAATGGCAGTGCCTCGAGCGCAGAAGTGAGGACTGAGGCATTACAGAACGACACTGACAAGGTGCACATCAGAACCGCTTCTTGAAGTTGGATCAGAGCGCACAACAGACGGAGTATTTGGACTTCTGAGACAACATTTCTAAGCCCCCAGAGAATCTTTGAGCAAATCTTGTACTCAAATTGAACCACTTGCAATGTTATGCAAACCGGTCCTGCTCGGATTTAGAGGTCAAAGTCCCATGAGCACCTTCTTACTACAAGCTTCTACCATATACGATTGATAGCCTAGGAGCTGGAAGCACAAACCTATGATGGCAGATCCCCCTCAAGTTGCGTGTAATCTTCCCCCCACACCTTGCATATCGCAAGGCAACCTGGCCTACAATAGAGCAGTCCTGTCGTATATTGTAATTTACTATGTTCAAAGGGCCTTCCAGGGAGGTCAGGAAATGTGCTGAACTTACGAAGCAGTAGCTGCCATCAGCGGCAGTGGTACACCAGTATGCCGCAATCACGTCGAGGTCCGTATCCACCGGAGCTGCACACCTCTTCCCAAAGTTTGTGGCATAGAAGGCCTTCTCTTGCCAGTCCACAACTCCTTGGTGCACAGAACTGTAGCACACAGAGAATTGATGGGCTTAATAACCAACCACTGTCATTTCAAACTTTCCAAGCATGGTTCAGACAGAATATATTGGTCCTTGGGGCGCTGCCTTGGAACACTACCTCAATGTGGTTGACTTCCACAGACTACTCATTTGTGTCTTCATTATTAGGTAGTCTTTCAACCAGTGCGGTGCCCTAGATCTACAATTGTCCAACACCTGTCCTCTATTGATCTTGACCAACAAATCTGAGCAAGCAGGCAAACCAGCAGTTCTAAGCAGTCAGACAAAGGCAAATTAGTCATTTGTGTAGCTATGTCTATACACCGAAACTCCAACTACATATAAGCAGGCAAGTGTGTAAAGTGCCAGACAACCTGTCGCAGACTTTTGCAATTGCTTGTTTCAAAGAAGCAATGCAAACACTCATTAACAGACTGTCTCTCAAAACCACTAAAGACATAAGCTTTCTTTGCAGTTCCACTTGTTCAGGCAAGTCAGCAATAAGGGGTCAACTTGAACAAGAGCTGAAACAGCGAAACAGCCCTCACCAGTACCAAGCACAGAAGTTGCCAAACTCCGCCTTAGTGCTCGTGAAATTCGCAAAGTCGAAGTCTGCAAAGCCACCACATGCGGGAAGCGAATGGAGTGCCGTGGCTTGGTTCTGCAACCGGATGGTTTCACAGTGCAAGGCCTGCTGCTGCTTGATGAGCTGCTGCTGTTGAAACTGCTGCTGAGGTGAGAGGTTTGCAGTTGCGCAGGCGAACAATGCTGCTAGCCAAAAGGCCTGCAGCAAAACTCCCCGCCCTGGAGCCATGTCGAGGAGACCGGATCTTTCAATGCAGCGTCTGGCGCTGAAACTTTCAAGGACTTTCCACAACGGAGTCACGCCACTTCGAAAGCTCCAAAAAGCTTATGCGGAGATGGGGACGGAAAAAGTTGGTTATCAGCTGATCAACAGATGCTCATTCACATTCAATCGGCCTCCTTTTCCACCAGAATTCCGGGCTGGGATTATGCAAAGGATGATGAAGACAAGGTGGAATTCATGATCCGCGACCTTCTCTCTTGTCTATGATCCGTTTGCACAATGCAGACCAGCCCGCAAAAGCCGGAGTTTACCGATTGGTGCGTACCGCAGAAACGTGCTCACCTAGTTGACCCCAGTCTCTTCCAAAGCTGGTATGATACCGTCGAGTACCGAGCACGCTCCGGGCCACAAGTGTCGCGCAACCAGGCCTCGTGACATCACGGAGTGACCCGACCCGAGTTGACTTGCGTCAGCATCGAATGGGGCACGTTCACTGGTCCGGTCGAGGGCCCCGCCGCGGGCGGGCCGCCCCGCCCTGTTTTGGCACATGGTAATGCTATAGACAACTATTATCGCTATTGTCCCCGGCCCTAGTTACTAGCTCACAGGGAGGGAATGCGCTGCGTGCAGAAGCTCATTTCTGCTCTGCAGGTTATTACTGCCACTTGCGCGAAAGACTTCAGCTGACGCAGCCTTGCCTCTCCTCCTGTGCTTAGAACACCTTCTCTAATACTGGAGAACCACATAGAATGCGCTGAGAGAAGACCGGCGGTGGTGATGGCAGACTTGGTGCAATGTCAAGGGTTCTTCGACATCAGAAAGGTCTCTGATTCGAAAGCTCTGAGAGCATCAAGGGCTGCAACAGCGACACCCCAACTGGTGTTGCGCAACGGTATCCTTAGTGGTACATTCAGAAGCGCTGGAAAAAGTTGGAGCTCAGCGAGAGCGCAGTCTGCGGCAGCTGGGTGGCAAGGTGGCAGTCAGTGGCCCCTTCGATGGCCGGTGGTTAGGAACCGCGCTTCATCTTTAGGCAACCACAGCTCACGGCAAGCGGAGCAAACTCGGTCAGGAAGGCCTCGAAGGTGCAGGTCTCTGAAGAGTGCCACTGCAATACAACTAGAGCGAGAGAAACTGCAGAGCGAGCTTGGTGCGCCCTTCTGGCCCCATGATCGGTTGGAAATGTCCCGAGCACCAAAATGTGGGGCCATGTCTTTATGTGAGGCAAGGTTTGTGGAAGAGCGGAGGGGGAGGCGAAAGTTGCGGAGAAAGAATGTTGTAGCAACCCTTGATGCCCTCAAGACCAGTGGCTCTTCGGCGCGGCTTGGAAGAACGCAGCGAGAAGCTTTAGTTAGTGCCACCAGTGTACCTGGTGTCGAAGTTGAAGGCCAGAGTGTGGCCCACTCACATGCTCAGTCCATTGACACCGCCCATGAGCCCTCCACATCACAGCCTGTACAGTTGGATACATTTGATGAGTCTTCCAGTAGCACCAGTTTGAATGCAGGACTTTCGAGCAGCGAAGCAGAACACTTGGCGGAAACCTTAGTGGAATCTTTAGCGGAGTCAAACGAGGCGGCGATTGGAGTACTTGGAGGTTCAGCCGAGACTGCCGACGAAAGTAGTGGTGTGAACAGGGGCGATTCCTGTTCCACCAGTCTGTCGAAGCACCGCGAGAAGTACTGGAAGGGGCTTATTGACACTGAGAACTGGGAGGCACTGCACTTGGATCGTGCAGGATCCGTCACGGATTCGCACGTCTTGCGGCGGAAGGGGCACTTGAAGGTGAGTCAGCAAAAGACAGACTGATGTTGACGGTATGAACCAGGACCCACGTCAGCTTATAGATTGCAAAAGATATTATGCTTGCAAATTGCGGCAGAAAGGTCACTGTGAAGAGTCCGCAAACTTGCGCTCAAGGGTATCAGCGGGCAATGTTGGAAGTGTGATGGAAAGGGTATGAGAAAATATGAAGTACGCGACTGCGTCGAATCACGTAAGCCGCTACGCAACGAGCCGCTCAGAAGATTTGAAAACAGGAGAGCTCTGCGCTTGTGACTCTATGTTATCGGACCGAGTGGTGAAGAGAAGAGAGGGAAAGGTGGCATATTTTTTGTGGGGATCTTCTTGGTCTTCAGACTGTGGGCTACTTCTAGTTAGACATGGTCTCCAACAAAAGGTTCTGCGAGCGGTTGGCTCTATTCCACCGTTTGGAAGGACTCCGTATGCATCTCGCTGATGCAATTATTCATCCCAATTGAGATGCGAATCTTCTTTGGGGAGCGAAGCGGGGTCTGTGCATCACAGCATGGCATTAACTAGAGGCGAGACAAATGCTGGCCACTTTTCTGGCCTTGTTTCAGGAACAAGATGGCCTGATCGACTTCATCATCAGTATGCACCAGATGCTGTCCCCATATGAGGTAAGAAAGGCGCTGATGCCATCACCCTCCTTCCGTACGATTCTGTTCCATTATTCCAACCCGTCCAAATGAGGACGCTTGCAATTGGAATTGATCAGAACGGCAGGAACAGGACGCAGGCCAATACCTGACTGCCAAGTCACTACTCCGCCCGAAAGGAATCACTTACGGACACTGTAATCGTGAAGCCTAATACAACACTCGTAGCAGGGTCCAACTCAATCCCCACGAAAAGGTAATTCTCGCCTTTCATTCGCAAGCCTGGAACCAGCAACGGCCACTGTCTTCTGCCGGCAGTCTGATTATTGCCTTGAACGTCGTCCCCTCTTTATATCCGCCGAGTTTGTTCATCTCCTACATTTTGAAACGAAGGAGGTGGGGGTTCGTTTTGCCGAACGCTGACAACATGCTTCCTACTTCCCATGCCTGACCATCACGCACTTGCAATTTCAGGTTGCACCATCAGGCAGGAGCTGGCTTTTGAAACGCAACAAGAAAGGGATAACGGCAATGGGAAGACGCGCATAAGAAGTCGGCGAGGCGGCGAGACTTGAGCCATCACTGAGACCCTATCAATATTGGGGACTGAATCTTGTCACGCACAAGGAGGCAAAGTGGCAAGATGTGATTATCAGCGAGAGCTTTGAATTCAGGGACTCGAATCTGACATCTCCGAAACTCTGCAGGTAATGGAGAAGGTGGAGTAGTGGGTGTTGGAGCATCGACAGGACCACAAGCGGAGCACGCTGAAGCGGCTGGTGCCCTCCGTCGGCAAGTTCTACACGCGCCTAAAACTGGTCGACGCACTCAAGGTGAGACTTTGGGGGTTGTGCGTTGAGATGGATACCAAGGAACGCCTTTTCAAGCTGACAAGGGATAGTATATCTGCAAGTGTGGTTGGTTGATCCGATGGTACTTTCAGACCACGGGGGTTGACATTAGCGTTATGTTGCAGAAACTCTTAGAGCGTCGTTACCACTGCCGCTGCTGACTTCCGTGGAGAAGCACATCTGCCTTACACGCAGGCCAAGAGCTTCTTGCGTTATTTTTCGTAGCGATTCTTTCGATTTCCGAGAGTCCCCGTCTGAATGCGCAGTTTCGCATTCAGTCCGTCCTGCTTACCTTTCAGACTGTCCAGTTGATTTCCGCGGCTACAAATGAACCGGCAATTATCTCAAGCCGTTACTTCCTCAAACTCCCAACTTTCTCAAGCATCGGAAGATCAGAAACTGTCAACGACATTACTCTCACCAAAATCAACATGAGTGCCCTCAGCACCACCGTTCAGCAGCGACATCTCCAACAAAAGCAGAGTTCGAAACAGAGGGGACGCCACTGTTCTTTGCAGGAGTTTGACGAAAATTTTCCGTTTCACGTCGCCGCTACGTTCCGGCGAACATTTTTGGTAGCTGAAGAGTTCAACTCCTAAGACGAGTGCCGTCACTATCATTCAGCGTCGAAGCTTTCGACCACGATCCAATCTTTCAAGTTTTTCATCGAATCGAATAGAATGAAGTCGAAAGACGATACGCCCTTCGTTTCTGCGCGAATACGACGAGTCTGCCTCCTTCTTGCGCCGCCGCTACGTCCCGCCCAACTTCTTTGATTACTGATGGACAATCCTCCATGAGTTTTCTCACCACCATTCAGTAGCGTCTGTTTTGTTTCCCAGCATTTCGATAAATAACGCTGACTCTCTTTGCAGGAGGACGACAAATTCGCCTCCTTCTTGCGCCGCCGCTATGTCCCGCCGACACTTATCAATATTCGAGACGGTCCTCATGTGGCTATGAGCACCCAACACCACCTCTACGATTGCATCTTTGGAAGCAATCGAGTGAGAATTAAATTCCAGTCATCGAACGCCCTTTTCTGTTGCAGGAGTACGACGAGTTCGCCTCCCTCTCGCGCCGCCGCTACGTCCCCCCCAACTTCGCGGAGATCCGGCACATCCTCAACATCGCGCAGCTGCACGCGTCCGCCGAAGAGCTCGCACTCATCACGTTCGATGCGGACGGGACGTTGTACGCGGACGGACACCACATGAAGGACGACAACAAGATGATTGGGCACATAGTCGCGCTCATGAAGCGGGGAATCAGCGTTGCAATCGTGACTGCGGCAGGTATGCGGCAAGAAGTGTGTGTCCTTATTGTGGGTTTCTGGTGAGCAGCTCGGTTTCGATGAACGGTGCGACTCCTTTTTCCCTAGCGTGAAGACGACAGTAAACGATTTGGGCATTTGGTTACGGACTCGTAATAAACTTGACCAGCTTTGCACTGTTGCTGCGGCAGATGGGCGACGGGGCCTTGCCTTTCTGGTCAATGATGACTTTCACAAACGTTTTGATTTTTGTTTTGGCTACTCAAGTAAGCTCTTCGATTCGTCTTCGAGAATTGTTTGCAAAGAGCTTAACACCATACGGTGCCTTTCCTTTGCTCGTGGCTTGCTCAGTCCTTTTCTTGTCCACACGTGGCCGTCCTTACGGAAGTAGCGCACCTTTCGAGGTCAGAACATGTACAGCTGTCCGTCTGCACGTGCTTGCAAAGCGGTGAAGACCAACCAGCGGACCCACTGCCTTGCAACACCAGGGAAGGCTCTTGAGTTTTCTCTTTGGTGGGTCTGATTCCGAGCTTCTTTCTGTCCCCCAACAGGTTACCCGGGTGAGGCCGCCCGCTTCGAGGGGCGCTTGGCGGGACTTCTGGCGGCGTTCGAAGCGCTCCAGCTCCCCCCCGCAACGACGAACCTGTTCCACGTGATGGGGGGCGAGTGCAACTACCTGCTGAAAGTGAACGACCGGTATCGGCTGGAGTTCGTGGACGATTCGCTGTGGAAGCTGGAGAGTATGCGGGAGTGGGGGGCGGACGACGTGGAGCGATTGCTGGACGACGCCGAGGTGAGGAGTGTACTTCTGGGTTCGAACACGGGTTTAGAGTTCGAGTTAGCTTTTACCAGGTCTTTTGGTTATGCACTCGTCGAGCATGTTGGACTAGGGGGACGGGGACGTGGAACGGTCGCTGGACGACGCCATTGGTAGGACAGTCTTAACAAGCCAACTCTCATCAAACGCCGACTCCTGACACCAAAGCCTAACCCGAGAACAATAAATCGAAAAACCGCTTGGATAACACCCTGGTTGTTCACCTTCTCAGGCAATTCTGCGGTGCCTCTGCGCGGTTGCGCGTGCCGTCGGCAAGGAGCGTACGGTGGGCATCAGTGGTACCACCGTACTGCCTGAAAGAAAGATTTCAAATTTGAGCCCTTGGATGTCGATATTCCAAGATTCTTGTTCTCCCAGGCGATTCTGCGGTCGGCCTCCGCGCGGCTGCGCGTGCCGGTTGCGGTGATCCGCAAAGAGCGCGCGGTGGGCATTTGCCCGGTACAGCCCACCATCTACGAGGTGCTCGAGGAGATTGCGCTGACAGTGCAAGCGCAGCTGGTGGATTCCAAACTGCCCTTCTGCGCTTTCAACGGGGGAAAGGACGTGTTTGTCGACGTAGGTAAGACCCCCAGAAACGCCTCCTGCAGGCAGACCATACCGTTCCACATGCAGGTTTGGTATCACGCCGAACGTAAGGCGCGCAGTCTCCTCATGCAGATTGCTTGCGCCGAAGTCTTCTGTTCTCCTACTCTGCTGTCCAGTGCTTGGTTTCAATTTGTTCGTTTCTGGTTCCTCGCTCTTTGGTTTTGCTGTTGACGAAAGTGATCTGGCGAATTCCTGCCTTTTGGTGCATGTAACGGGGTAGATAGGAATTGGACCTAATCACTTGTCCTCCAGGGTGTTTGTCAGAGTGCACTGAATGTTCCAACCCCCGTCCTCGTACTAAAAACAGCGTCTGTCAATCGTTCTCTCATCAACTGCGCTAATGACAACCAATGTAAGTCTTTTAATCACATGTGTTGTTGTTGGAAGCGGAATTAAATGAGTTCGTGACTGTGCACAGGTAACAAGAGCCTGGGCATGGCTGCACTACTACAGTATTTGCGGAAACGGCCCGAGGAGACCCTCCATGTGGGCGACCGGTTCACGGTGACCGGTAACGACGGGGCCACCCGCAGCCGGTGCTCCATCCTGTAAGCTTTACTGCGACACCTTGTCAGTCTGATCTCTTTCTTTTTTAGTCTTTCGGGATATTTCTCGGATGTCCTGGGACTTTTGGGCATGGCGGTCGCTTCAGAAAATATTACACCTTTTCAGCAATATTAAGCTGTCCTATGGCTGCTAAGATTCGCGCTCGCCTCATTTCCGTCTTCGTCGTTCTTCATATCTCTTTCTGAGGATCTAGGGCTGTTGAGATTCCTAGCAGATTCGACGCCGCCTTGCCGGGCTGAGCATAAATTGCTCTTCCTTCAGACGGAAAAGTGTTGGACGAGGAAGTACATTTTTGGGCGTTCATTCCGCAACTATTCCAGTCAGTATCGAATCTTGCAATCGCCCGCCCTGCATCGTTTGTACTTTCCCTTTGCATGCCCTCTTAGGTGACGTCAGCATCCCTTGAAGGATTTGCAGATGCAAAGAAAAAGACATGTGCTTGTGAATGCTACTCGGGATGGATCTACACTGATATTGTCCGGGTGTTCAAGCAGGATTCGAGTCACTTTCTGCTACTGAGTCGTTCTCCGTGTTTGCCAGGTGGGTAGCGAATCCAGAGGAGACGGCGTTCTTCGTGCGCATGCTCCTGCGAGATATCCACCTCTCCAAGCTCACACCGTACTTAGAATGAGTCCCTGTCTTTGCTATAAAGGTAGGACGAAGTTCCCGAGGGGGTGTCTGTCAATTAGCTAGGGGCTCTTCGTTAGAACGCGAGCAATAGGTTATAAGGGTGGGGGGTGAAGAACTATCAGGTTAAAGCCAGCAGCGTAGGGAAGCGCACAGGTTTAGGAGTAGGTGTCTTAGGATTTGGCTGCTTGACTTCTAAACGGGCACCTAAATCTGATCAAGCAGAGACTTCGTGAAATGCCCGTTAAGGTAGAATGAGTGATCCAAAACAAAACCTAGGCACGGGTGAGCTAACCCGATCACACTTTTGCGAGGATCCTTGTACAATGGTTTGCTTGACCAGGACCCGAGAGTCACCCTTTGCCAGGTTCTGGATACGTCCGACGCTCTAGCTGGTGGCTTCAAGCCCGTTTTGTGAGAGTGAACGGTACTCAGGCTTCTAGTTTGACCGCAATATCAATCAGATGTCAGTGATTATACCGCTTCCATGTTGCATGCAAAGCGGCGGCAGGCTCAACGTACATACGTGCTCTTACTTACTGCTGCTCCTTCAGGGACGTTGGAGGGTATTCAACCAGGCTTGGCAAACCTGCTGCCCAATCATAAGGGTTTTTGCCGCGTACCACGGCTTTTCTGCGCGTGAGAAACGTATGCACACTGATCATTGACGGTCGCAGTCATGAACGTAACCCTGTCACTCCTGCGCACATGTGCCTCAGAGGCGGCGCGACAGGGCGGCTAGATGCACCGGCATGCATATGGTGGACTGGCAGCACAATAAGGCACCGGCCTGCATGAGAAGGCAAGCTTACATGACAAATACGGCCGGCCAGAAAAGCCCATGCAATGGCTGCCAAAGCGGAACATAATATTAAAGAAGCTACTGTAGGTGCACGCACTGACTTGGTCCTGGAGTATACTAGCCAAGCGGCTGGAGGCGACACCCGGGGCTGCTCTTGTGTCAAGCAAAGTGGTTGCAACAAATTGACCCACAAAGCTCACTCAGCCCGCAGCTACTCTGTCCTGAATCGAGTCAGGCCTTGCTGCAGCAGGTGGGCGACTCGAATGGGATCGGTGACGAGTGCACGGGGAAATTATTTTGCCGCGGAGCAGACCAATGAACCAGGCGGCTGCCAGTAATTGCGAGGCAGACTTTCGTCACTTGCGTGCGCGCATGCACGCAAGCTCGACAAAAAAGATCGGTCATCATTGATTTCGACAAAAGTCTCGTGGGCCTGGCAGCGTTGTGATGACAGCGACTCTCACGAACTCGGCGCTGAACCTTGCTTTCATCCGTTCACAAGCACAGACAATTCTCCTGCAAAACGCGCACAATCAGTGTTGAGAAGTAAAAAGGACAAGCAGCCTGCAAGGAGGATAAGCGCGGTCAGTTCGTATTCGAAAAGATCTTTTCTGCGGACTCTGCCAAACAAAGGTGGTCAACATGGGTAGCCCTCACGGTCCAGCTTCGACCCTTGAGCCAAGTTTCGATTGCGTGATCGTTTATGTAAAGGACGTAGACAAGTCGGTGGAGTTTTACGAGAGGGCGTTCGGTCTGACTGAAAGAAGGGAAGAAGGTCGCCGGAAAACCATGTGGGCGGAGATGGAGACGGGGGAAACGACGCTGGCGTTCACAGCGATCACGAACGCGCTGGGATACGAGCAGGTGGGTGAAACGCGTACGATGAAGCTGCATGCACTTCGAACTATAAGCTTTTTCCTGAGCTGAGAGTCGGAGATGGGCACGTTGCTAAAATGAGCATGAGATATTGCTGTTGATTGCCTGAAGGATGTGAGTAATCCTTTCGAGTTGAGTTATTTGTTTCTGTCTCGGTTTTGATTTGTTTTGACGAGTTTGAAGCCCGGTCTTAGAGTTGACATCAGAAACGGGTTCGTCTTACTTGCATGCACGTGCGCTTGATTCCAATATGCATGATTGAGAGGTCACGACAGCCTTTTCATCAGGTTAGCAGCGCTCTTATTATGCCCTGATTGCTCCGAAAGAGTGGTTTTGTGAGGATTGCAGGGTCCATATCTGGCCCGTAAGAAGTTCTAGCCGGATTGGCAATGAGAGCGAGCGTTGCTGGGTTCTTTCCAGCGGTTCACCCTCTGTTCTGAGCCATTGTGAGGCGCAGCGGGGTCACCACGTCGATTCGCTGGAAAGCGAGCTTTTTTGAGGGTGTTCTCGGTCTTTCATAGGTATCAGACCCTTAAAGTCTCAGACTAGCGAGGTGATCTTCAACAACAAGGAACTGTGTGTGGCTATGATGAGGCACCAATTGGATGAGTTTCCAATATGTAACCTGAAGCCACCACCGAAAATAATGCGTCTCCTTTTCTCCAGGAGAACACAGGGGGGTTTTACATCATTGTCTCCAAAACAAATCCTCCAGGCCAAATTTCGATCTGCTAGACTTAGCTGCCATCCGGATCAAGATCAAAGTTCGATAGTGCAAGCTCATCCTATAGTTCCTGCCTTTCTCAAGGCGACCAGAATCAGTCTCAGCTATGTCCCATTTCAGCTCACCAAATATTCAGCACAAAGGCAACTCGAGCTTCGTTTCTTTCCGTTCCGCAGCGCGACGTCCGGCTGGCGGGCGGCATCGAGCCGCCACACGATCAGAGCGACACGCCCCCGAATGTCGTCATCAGTCTGATGTATTCTGACGTGCACGCGGCGTACCGTCACGCGGTGGCCAACGGAGCGCTCGGGATGGCGCCCCCGGAGAACAAGCCGTGGGGGATGACGGCAGGGTGCGTCATGCTTATGTCTGCAAGATGCTTGCCATTTGATTCTGTAAGAGCTTTCCCGTTCGCTGTGCCGAAGTTTGTTGATCGACGTTGGATTTCTGCTTAAGCTAGTAGCGTCTGTTCTGTCTCTTTACGTCGAAGTAACAGCGCCTGTGGTATGGGTCTGCCTCTGGCGATTGATGAAAGTCGTGAAGAAAGTTTGCGTTGAGTCTCTGCTTTGAATCGCCGTCTCTTTTAGGCACAGCTCTGGCTGAACAGCTTGTACTCCGTTTCTGAAGCATCTCGTGCATCACTCGCTGATGGTCCGAACGAGATACGTCCGCAGACATCAGCCCATCAATTTCATTGGATCAAAAAATATCTGCCCTCGTCTTTCCTTTGACTAGCTCGTCTGTTGACTATTGCAAAGCCAGTTCAAACTAGAATTTGAAGTCAGGTTTGGTTTCCAAAGTGTTATTCGACCTCTGAGCGCTTCCGGCCACTGCTATCGGGGTTGCCTCGACGAGACTGGGCATCCAGAGCTCCAACTGTTACTGAACAAGAAATCTGGTTTTCGCGGCGCAGGTACGTGAAGGATATTGACGGCATCCTTGTGCAGCTCGCAAGCCCTGTCCGGGGTCGCACATGAGTAATTTCTGATCTGGCTATTGCTGCTTTCAAAGTAATTGAGTAATCTCTAATCCCTAAAAACGGTCCGAACCTTCTACCGAGATGGGGGGTAGTTTTGTGTAAGCAGTTAAATGCTCAAGGCAACTTGTGCGGCAGTTCGCGACGAGCTGGCGTCTCGAACTTCCAAGATCAGTAGAGACGCCATCCGCGCCAATCGAGTCGAAAAGCTAGGAGGTTGAGATCTTAACACTAGGTATTTGAAGGGTGTCAGTGGGACGCTACTGAGGATTGATGGATCAAGCGGCAGATTCAACATTCAAGGAGTACGTGATTCGCGAGAAGTGAGAATGATCTTGTTGCGTCACAAAGCTGGCATGTGCACGCAAGCAATGCCATGCCAATATCCGAGAAGAGAAGGTACGTCGACCTTGGCAATCTGGCGCGTCCGGTCATGCAGGAATTTTCGGAGGCCGTTGGCCTGACGGTTGTTTAGTAAAGGAGTTCAATCAGATCTTTCCGGCCACTCTGTATTCAGTGACCGGCCAAGGTTCGCTGCCGCCTATAATGATAGCCTTAATAAATGAGGATGACAATCACCTAAGTAGATTTATAACCTGGCCATGCAAGACCTGGAGCAACATGATGCAATCATGTAGGTTGCCACCAATCTGCGATACGCATGTCTGATGATGCAACGCGCGAAAGTCTAACGTGCACAGCAGATGATTCTGGCTTAGATGATGTTCGACAATGCTTGTATTTGGACTCAGTGTCTGTCATGCAGCCTCCTACAGTCTCGAGCAAGAAATGTAGGAGGCACATATTGGCCGTGCTGCCTTGAGCATTTGAGTACATTTACGGCCTTGCCTGACCCAGACTAGGATTGCAGCCATCGGGGTTGGCTGGAGGAACTGGTCAGGAAGAGAGGTCTTTAGGAGCTTAAATGAAGAGTACCAAAACGCCCAGTTCTACAACATGCAGCGGCGTGTGTGATGTCGCGTTAGTGGGTGCCCCTTTTATCATATACACCTATGTTGATCTACGTGATCCCCCAGATCAGTCAAAACTAGGATAAGCTTCTCGTCCATTCAATCAGTAAAAGTCCGCGTCCCAATAGTAGTCCGAGTTGTCGTCATCTCTCGACTTGCTCGCACCGCGCCCCTTGCGGCCGAAAAAGTCTTCCGGCCACTCGGAATCGAACGGCCTCCGCACGTTTGACCAAGAGCTCGCCCCCGAGCCCCGGCCCCCGTGAGAGCGCGAAAAGCCATGCGATCGAGACGAGCGTCCGAAGTTGCGCACGGACGACCGGAAAGTGCGGTCCTCTTCGTCCGCATCGTACGCCATGCGCTGCAAGAGAGATCGTAAAAATTTGTCAGCCAGCTAACGTGCTGACGATAGGTTTGGATAATGAGCACACCGAGCGATATTACCCATCGCTCTGGAAGGGCATTCGGCGATTGCCTACACATGCGCACGCAAGAGGTAGAATGTCAATAAACTGGGTTCGCGTCTACCAGACCGACTCTGGCCAAAAGACTGCGACAGCCATATTCGAGAGATGGGGAATAGATCTTGGGAAAGGGCAGAGAAGACTTGTTCCTCCAGGTTTCGAACTTCGGAGATCGCCTACCCGTTCCACGGATCCAGAGCACCGCTCACCTTGCTAGGATTTGACAGCACGTTGTACGCCTCGCCGATGATCTTGAACAGGCGCTCGGCTTCACTGTGGATCTCCTCAGTCACGGCCGCCTTCTCTTCTTCCTTAAGCATGCTCAGGAACTGCACAGCCTGCAAAACACGAAGAGTGCGGAGAACTCAGAAATGCATCAGGGTTTGAAAAGCAGGGCTGAAGAAGAAAATCCGAGCTACCAGGACACGGAAGATGAGCGAGACCTTTCAGTACGCCAGCTTGGATGTCAAGGGTCGGCCAGAGAGACAAAACATATTGTTTCTGCTGACAATCGTTCTGCAATACGCCGAGAAGGCTGACGGATTCATTGCCTGTGTCCTTGGAGAGAGGAAAGGCAAGGCGATTGGTAAAACAGATTCTCAGAAGTACCAAAAACATGCTTGGTACTTGCAGCCGCTAGCTGTGAAGCACCGCAGCTCTGAGAAATAAACAGATCCAGCTGGCAAACTGCAACACTGCAAAACACTTCCATTGCCGCCTGCTTCCAGAAGATCCTCAATCCATAAGCACAGCAACATCTCATACCCTATACTTCAGCGCCGTACCTTATCCGGGTGATGCCGCAGCGCCGCCTTGCGGTACGCCTTTTTGATCTCCGCTTCGCCTCCCTCTTTCTCCACTCCGAGCACCTTATAGTGATCCACCGGGACGTCCTTTTGCACCGCTTCCTGAGCCTTCTTCTTGCGCTCTGCGACCCCCCGGATCTCCTGCGTGAGCTGCGGGTCCCGATGGGAGGCCTTCTGGCGTGACGTCAGGATTCCGGACAGGCGCTCCAGGTCGCGGACGGACTCCGAGTGGTCGCGGATGAGCTCGTGGAGCGTGGCGCGGCGGGACAGGGCCTGCAGAGCGAGGAGTAAATGGCGTGAGACGGAAGGGCTTTATCGTCTCCTTCGGCGGGAGAGCGCCTGCGAAAAGTCAAATTGCCTTCTCAGACTCCAGAGTAAGTGGAGTGCTTTCACTCCGCTCACTTTGGAGTAAGTACACTGCTGCAGTACTGCTGGGACAAGCGCGCCTAGATCCAGGAATTAAAAATGTGTCTTTGATGTCAGATGATCACCGCGAACCGAGAGCGTGAGATTGCAAAAGAAGTCACACATGCGAGTCTGCCGAAAGTAGCGACTGCAGATTAAACGAAAGCTGAGTAAGCTGAGTGACACCACAACGTTTCATCTCAAGACTTCTCTTCTTGTCCAAAGGGTTGTAAGCGCGCCCCTTCTCCCCTCAGTCAGGAACTCACAACGTTTGCAAGGGCAATACCGATCTTTTATCAAACCGCTTGTTTGGCCCAAGCCACTCAAATGGCTCCTACGAGATTCAGCTTCTTATCTCGCTCAGGCCTTTCACAATTGGCCCTTTTCCAATCAATGCAAACAGTCTCCAAAACCCCCCGCCGACCCTTACCTTTGCATACCCGGGGTCGAGCACGACCGCCCGGCTGCAGTCTGCGATCGCCTCGGCGAAGCTCCCCAGGGCCTGGTACGCTGCCGCGCGGTTGGCGAGGCACACCGCGTTGAAGGGGCGGCTCGAGCTGTTGCACGCGAGCGCCGCCGAGTAGTGCTCGATTGCGACCTCGCGCTTGCCGGCCTGGAACGCAGCGTTGCCAGCGGCCTGGGAAAGGGAATGAACATGAGAAGAGCTCTGCATAGAGACTGCGGCAATTTGTTAATCAAGAGGTGGGCCGAAAGAAACAAGTTGCTTGTCCCCGAGTGGTCGGAAGCGATGGGGCTCTGCCGCTGCGGGGTCTTGCGGCACATGTAACTTTGAGACGACGAAAGCTGAACGGCGGAATTGTCAACGGAAAAGGGAAACCTCTCAAAATGAACACTTCCAGACACTCGTAGAATGAGGTCGGCTATGAGATCGCTTTACATGTCAACCTGTAAGGAAGGACTCAAGAAACATCTTAAAAGATGCTTCCACAATAAATGAAAAACCCGATGGCGACTTTACTTACGAGCCGTGATACAATGAAACGCCGAGAGTCCGTAGATATTAGGCCCCATTACAGTTGGTGCTCCTAAGTGCACGAATCAGATCTGACCTTACGAAGTAGATGAAAGAGAATCAAGAAATCAAGAGTTAATGCATCGCACCTTGTGTTTCTGCAGCTCCTTGATGAACGCTCGCAACCCCTCGAGAGTTTCTTCCGATGCAGCCGCCCTTCCCGCGCCCTTCTCGTTGACCGTTACCGCTTCCACCTTCCCGGCCAACTCGTCCGCCTCCTCTAGTTTCCCCAGGTGGTACTGCGCCAGAGCGCTCACACGCCACCGCCACGTTCGGACACTTTCTACCCCCGTTAGGACCCCGTCCGAATCCTCCTCTTCGCCGTCCGCGCCCTCGCCGCGCGCCCGATTGAGCTCCGACGCGGCCAGACTCGACTCGCAGAACTCAATGACGTCATCGAACTTGCGGAGCCAGAGGAGCGCGAGCGCGCGCAGCTCGTGGAGCGCCTCCGAGTGCCCTGCGACAACTAGGGTGGCGGACACGAGCTTCAGGGCTTCGGACGCGCGGCTTGCTGACACCTGGCGGAACGGCCGGGCTAGGAGGCGGGTCGTCTCGGGTGCAGAAACGTTTTCGGTGTCGGGCTGGGAAACGGAGGTCAGGAGATCCTGGCACTCAAGTAGCTCTGCCGCTTTGGTGACCGCTGCCAGCACCTCTTCCGTCCTCTTGAGGCTTTCGCACGCCTGCAGGGAACGAAGGCGAAAAAAATGTACACCACCGCTATGGGTCTACTTGAAGCTAAGCCTTTTGGGTCCTGACCGAAAGCAACAGCGCGACAGTACAGAACCAAGTTTGGTTACAAGACCAAATGTCCAAGCACAACAACGGAACAACAGTCACAGACCAGCACATCCTTTCCAGCCTAGGCGACTCAATTCTCAGAGAAAGGTAAGGAGAGGTTCACCAATCTCTCACCTCAGCCCAGACCTTGATGCTCACGCCCCCTCCACCGGGGTTTCCCGCCTTGGCGCATTCTGCGTACCACGCCCGCGCCGCATCGAACTCGCCCAGCATGAGGTGGCAGTTCGCGGCCCGGAGCCGCACCTTCTCGAACTCGGGGTCGATTGCGCACGCCGTCAGACAGTCCGAGAGCGCCTCGCGGACGCGCCCGAGGGCCATTCGGACGGCGGCGCGGTTGCTCAGGCACAGCGCGGCCGATTTTGCACACCTGCATGGAAAAAACCCTTTTGAAATTTCCAGTCATTCGTCCGCATCTGTCCGAAAGTAGATGGAAGAAAACTAGAGCGACAGAATGGCCGCCTAAAGCGCCTATTGGACGCGCCCGCGGGCCATTCGGACTGCGGCAAGGTTGTTCAGGCACAGCGCGGCCGATTTTGCACACCTGCACGTGAGATGGAATGCACGGACTATTTGCGCATCTAAAGATCGCAGAGGGAGATGGAAGAAACATAAAGCGGCATGAAGGCGGCGATCCGAGAGCGTCATTCAGGCACAGCACGGCCTCCTTTAGTATACCTGGCGATGGTGCAAACTCCCACTCGCTTCCAGAAGACACCCTCAGGAACGATCCACAATATCTCCAGACGGCCTCGACCTTACGTACGCCAGTGAATGACTTCAACTGAACATCGTTTGTAAAGCAAATTAGATTTCACTCGAATCTATCTACTTTGGTAGACGCTCGCTTCAAACACCCAACGAAAGTGAGCACTCTGTACCCGCTATAAACTCGACCTTCGAGTTGACTGCGCAACTATTGAAAGGACTGCGTCCGATGTCGGCAAATATTCTCACCTGTCGTACACGAGCCCGTCTCCGGTCGTCACAGCGTCGACGCCCTTGGTGTAGAGAGCCTCCGCGCCCTTGTAGTCCTTACTGGCATACGCCTGGTTCCCCTTGAGCCGCCACCGCTCACAGGTAGATGCGGCTTCCGTTGCCTGAGCGGTGCTAAACGAGACCTGCAGGTTGGACGGGAATGTCAAATGGGGAGCATCTGAAACTTACTCAAGAGCGTACGCGTGGAGCCTGCTCCATTACCTGAGCTGTGCTGAGCGAGACCTGCACGTTAGTCGGAAATGTCAGATGGGGATCTTTTGCAATAAATCCGGAGTGCTGGCTGAAAGTCAGGGCGAAGACGAGGACCGCCTGCTTTGGCTTGCAGGCATTGCGGTGGACAGTTCGCTCAAAACGCAAAGTAATCAATCAAGCCTCTGCACAGATGCACAGCAGCGGAGATAGTCTTATGGAGTTTCCAATATCAGCACCGCGCATAACAACAGGCGGCAGTCCCTTTTCTCAACATCGTCGCGACTTTGCAGCAAAAAAGACCAAGGAAAGCCGCTTGTGTAAGTGACCAAGTAGTCCGAGATGCAGGATTGCAGCAAGCAGACGTCTTGTCGGCCAGCAAAAAGCGCATGCGCAGCAAACGGTGTGGTAAGCCCCAGTCATCAACACCGGTCTCAGCAAGAGATAAAAAAGGCGGTCTGACATTTTTTGTGATGCGCCCAGAAACCCTCAACCCGCAGCCGAAACTTATGAAGCGTCTTGTCCTCAGCCTGTGCACTCACCACATCCGGAGGTAGATCGTCGAGACCACCTTCAACCTTCGGCGCACCCTCTTCGACTGGCGCGCCGCTGGTCGGATCAAAGTACTGAAAGTAGCTTTCCGAGCTTTCTGGATAGTACACTTGGTTTCGGGACGGTTTGCGGCCCCCTGGCCCCTGAACCTCCTGCCTCTTTCCGTTTCCGTTCTCCTCGTCCATGGCTTCCGGGCTTGCCACGTCATCGGCTGTCAGATCGATGTACGAAGAGGCCCCTCCGGAAAGAGAACTAGAGTGGAGCTTGTCCCAGCTCGCGCGGGCTCTGCTGGGGCCCACCCTGCGCGCTTTCCGGACCGGTTTTGGCGACTGCACCTGAGCAGCGCTTGTCGCTGCGGGATGGGGCATGGTGGACCCGGGAAAGATCGGGTTAGACGAGTCTGGGAACGTTGGCTTGCTAGGATCAGCGTACTCAGTACCTCCAAAGAACGGATTGCCGAAGATTGGGTTAGGGGAGGTGGGGAAGGTCGGGTTAGGAGAGGCGGGAAAAGTCGGGTTAGGAGAAGGGGGAAAAGTAGGATTAGGGGAGGGAGAGAAAGTCGGGTTAGGAGAGTTGGGGAAGGTCGGGTTAGGTGAATCCGGAAACTGGCTGCCTGCAAAGGTCCACTCTGGAAGCGCGCTGCTCTTTGCTGCATCGGAAGCGCCATAACCCGGTGGTTCCGGAAACCTGCCCGCCCCTTTTGGCGCCCCTGGGGCAAAGCCCGGGCCACTAACCCCAAGCACCGTCTTCTCTGCTGACTGCCTCGGAGCCTTGCCTCGCTCCAGAGACCGCCTCCGGCCGCCTTCGGTCGAACGCCGCAGCGAGTCGCTTCGCTCCATGGACCGTCTCGAAAGGGACGAGCGCCGGGGCGACTTGGGCGACGTCGGGCCTGACGCAAAAACGAACGGCCCGGCCACCGGTGGCGGTCTGGGGGGGCTGCCCGGGGACTGGGCCTGGAAGGCAAACGGCCCCTCAGCAGCCTTTCCCGCACCGAAAATGAACGAACCTGCTGAAGTCTTTGGTGCAGCATCCGTTTTTATGTTCGCTGGAGGAACCTCTTCGGCTTTACTTGGTTCGTTGAACTTCGGTTCCGCTGGTCCGCCCCTTTCGCCCTCTTTGAAGCCCCCGAGCCTGCTAACCGGCTCGTCAATCCCCTCACTGACGCCCTCGGCCGGCTGTGCACTGCTGCTCTCACCACCGTTTGGGGCCTTGGCTACGCTCTCCGCCTCGTCCTCAGCATCGCTTTCGGAACTCTCCGTCAACTCTTTTTGATCCACCGAGCCCAAGTCCATCTCCTCGACATCAGCCCCCAGCGCCTCTACTCCTTCGGCTGCTCCTGTAGCAGATTCGCTCTCGTTCTCAACCGCGCCAGCGCCATCTTCCCCCCCTTTGCCCACCTCTCGCGCCGTCTTTTTCAGCCGCTCTAGTTTCTCCTTCTCCCCACGGACCCAGTCCTTGTCCTGCGCCTCCGGGTTCACGTCATCATCGCTCTGGCTATCGCTCTCGCTCGAGTCGTACTCGTACGGCTCCTTAGGCGGCGTCCACCGACCAGTCCAAGCCTCGCCCCCTTTCGCCGTCCGCTTATCGCCCTCGCTCTCCTCAAAGCTGCTGCTGCCCTCTTCCAAGTCCCCATCGTACGACGCACTAACCCGGACCCCATTCACGCCCGCCTTCCGGGGCCCCTTCACACCCGCCCTGGGCTTCCCTACCCCCGTCGCTGCGTAGCGGTTGTTGACAGTCGCTCCGAAGCCCTTGGCTTCTGCCGTCCCCGCACTCTGCTCTTCACCAAGGCCCTTATCCCCCCTTTTGGCAGCGGCCGGACTGGCGTCCTCTTTTCCGACCCGCTTCTCCGGCCCCGCACCATGCACATCTCCATTTTCGAAACTCTCCCGCCCGGGGGAGATGTCCATCGGCTGGGGCGACTCAACCCTCGCCTCCTGCTCTTCTTCCATCGGTCCCAGAGGTACCCCGCCGGCCCCTGGGTTCGCGCTCCCGCTCTCAACAACCCCAGAAGCAGCAGAGGCTGGTTTGGGACTTGCGGGTATCGGTGGCTTCCCTACGGGAGTCCGCTGCAAGCTCCTGGTCGCCGTGAACGCGGTCTTGCCGGAGGGAGACGCCTTCTTGGCCATCTTCTGCTCTGACCGCCGCTTCGCCGGAGTCCCTGGGGACACCCCTCCACCGCCAAACGCCACAAACGGGGGCACTTGGGGGCTTCCACCAACCTCAGGACTCGAGTCCCGAGCTGCAAAGACCGGCTGACTCTTGCCGAACACCCCAGCGCCGAAGCTCTCTGAAGTCGTGTCCTCGTCTGGAATGGAGCCCTTGAAATGGAAACCCCTGAGACCCTCGAGGCTTGAAGCGGTGCCGGCAGCGGCTCCCTCAAATGTGACTCCCTCTTTCGACTTCGCCCCAGCTAAGTGGAGCCTCTCTGCGAAGCTCTGGCTGAATTGCGAGCTGTCAGCCTCGCCAATTTTCTTCCCCAGCGACTCGGGCTGATCGCGTGCGCCGCTCGCGCTGCCTCCGCTGCTCCCAGCACTGAAGACAAACGCATTGATGCCTTGCGGAGGGGCCGGTTTCGCCTTTTCAGGATCCGGCAGCGGCGACTGGACAAACGAAGGGGAGGGGAGATGCGAGCCAAAGCCTGGCGCAGCCGTTTGATTGGAGGGGGCCTGCGGAGGGGTCTGGAAGACGAAGGGGTTTTGGGCTGCGAGCGCCTTTGCTGATTGAGCACCGAAAACGACGAAGGCATCCCGTTCTGCTGCCTTGCTGGGCTGCTGGTTCTTTGCGCCTACCGCTCTCTCTGGAGGGAAAATCGAACTGAAAGCAAATGGTGCTTTGCCTCCAAAGAGCACCTCCGGGGCTACATGGAATAAGGAAGCGCTCTCTTCGTTTGGCTGAGGCTTTGGAGCGGGCTTCTCCGCAGCCCGTGTGCTGCTTTGTGGCTTGGAGGGACTGACGGGGGGGGCTCTTGGCTTGGAGAGGTTTAGCTTGTCGAAGCCCTGAGCGAGGCCTTCCGCTTGCTGCTTTCGGTACATGGTGGCAAAGGGCCGCCGCCTGTCAACCACTGGCTCTTGCGCCTCTCCCAAACCCTGTGCGCTTGTGGGCCCCTTCACGGGGGCTGGAAAAGCAAAGGGCTCGTCCGCGAACAGGGAAAACCCCTGGGTTTGCCCTGGCCCAATGCTCCCCTTGCTCTCATTGGACCTGCTCTGACGCTCTTCCACGGTCGGAGATGCTGCCCACGTTGTGTCCCCCAAGCCAGATGCAGCGTCGGCAAACGCATCGAAGAACGTTGCGTCGGCAGGGGGCGGGCTATTGAGGTCCAGGAAGGAGCTGATCCCAGCCGCCTCCGTGCGCTTCCCCGCGCCTTTGAACCCCGGCCTGTCTCCGTAATTGGCCCTTATCGAATCAAGCCCATCATACTGTGCACTGCTTCGGTTTCTGCTTGGAGCCACCCGCCCCTGGGGAGCACTGCTTGGGTTTCTGCTTTGACCAGGCGCTGCAAGCCCCCCGCCAGAGGCCAGCCCAACCCCTGACGGGCCTTTGCTCTGACTCTTGCCGCGTGTAGGTACTGCCTGGTCCCCGAAGCTCTCCCGCGACGTTGTTGAGCCCGACGTTGTTGGGCCCCCTAATCCTGCTGCCCCCCCAGCTTTCTCCCCAAGCACGCCAACATCGAAGCCCCCCGGCTGTGAAACTGCAGGTGCATTGCTGCTACGACCAGGCGCCGGTGCCGCATACCTCGGCCCGGCTGCGTCTGGACCTCCGGTTTTAGGATTTGCAGCAGCCTTCACCGCCCCTGGGTTGCCCCTCCACGGAACATTGAAAGCAGCCGCTGCAGCGGCCGCCCTCTTCGACTGCAGGTTACTGTCCGGCACGTCAGCCTTTTGAACCCCTGACCCTCTGACCCCTCCATCTCTCCATGCAGCAGGCGCCGGTTTCCCCTGGTGCGCCCCCCCAGTCTTTGCGCCGCTCTCCCCAGACCTGCGCTCCTCACGCTGGAACGAGTCCCTATTCTGGTGCTCGTCCACCATGCCGCTGGAGCTCCCAGTTGCATCCCGACCGAGACCATCACTGTGTGACTTTTCAAAAGCCCCCAGCCCTTCTCTAGCTCCTGACCCCTTGACGGCGAACCTTGAGTTCAAGCGCCCGTGCCGAAACCCTCCGGCTGCTGGCTGTGTCGCCCTAGTTGCGAAGCTAGCACCCCCAGATCCTGCGTCCTTGTTCTGACCAGCTGATGCACCAGCTCCAGTTGATGACAAGTTGGTGTCATTCTTCGACGACACTGACGGGCGAGAGCCTGTGGTCGACGAGAACCCTGCAGGAAATCGGGAGCCAGATCAAAGATTTTCAAAGCCCGCTTTTCAAAGCTTGCGATTTGGGAACCAGCAGTTCGATGTTGTGAGAGACCTTAAAGGATTGCTGAATAGATCTGACTGTGGAATGTGGTTGATCAATGCCACCACCTCCTATTTGAAGAGGCTTGACTGACTTCAACAGGACTTTCATGACTATCGCCGATCGTCTCTGCTCGCGATAGAAAAAGGGCAGTGATCCAACAAAGTGTACACACTTCTGATGTGACAGATTCTGCTGACAGGCAACTGAGGCTTGCATGGAAGTTGTCCAACTTGAGCGTATCCACGATGTTTCAAAGCAAACAGTAAGAAGCGTCATGTTGTCATGCCTTACAAAAGAACAGACTGCAGGATACCGCGCGACTCGTACAAACAAAAATCATAAGCATGTCCAAATGCAGAGGGAGCATGATCAGGATGTACACAAACCTGCGAACTCTCGGAAGCTGTCATCACCACCGAAGCCCAAACCGGAGCTGAAGTAAGACTGTGAGCCGCCTCCCTTTGCCATATCAGTACAGCGTTCCCGACAGTCTTTGGTGCTGAATGACCACCTTTAGCCTCTGACCTGCAAGAAGCTTCTCCTGAGTAAGCACACAAGTGCTCCAACATTCCGATGCAAGATGACAACGACAAACTTCTGCACAGCATCAAACGGCAATCGAAGCATCCCAACACAACAACTTTTGACCTGGACACTCTCTACATACGCCTAGGTTATCTGTGATCAGAATCGGAAATTGTTTTGCAATTCAAGAAAAGCATAGGCTGAACAGACGGTGCACCACCAAGCAACTTACTCAAACCTTTCTCCAGACCATCTCATCTGATTATCCCTGTTAAGAGAGCGTGCTGTATTGTTCAGTCCAAGTAGCAATCCTGCAGATACACACCGGGACACACCCTGACATTCATGCATCCTGAAAGAGCAGGCTGCTATTCATTACGCATTCATTACGGGCCGGGGTCGCAGAAGGAGACAAACCTTAAGTCCTTGATGTTTCTGCGAAACTCCGGGCCATAACCTCCTTCCTACAGGTCCTCTACAGCACTTGAATGTTTCCCTGATTGCCATCTCCGTCACCCTCCTCGTTCCCAAGGTCCAGTAAAGGAATCTGGGCTTCGTCTCCTCCGTTTTGACTTTTGAGAGTTGAGCTGCAGAACTGCGTGTTTGAAGCCTAGGTACTTGGCGCCAAAATGAGGTGCAAAATTCATAGATCGAGACGAGACGCCTTGACAACATAACCACACACTTCCTCAGTGTATTTTGATTGTTTTTGCACATATACGTACCCTGAAAGCAAGCTGCTGCGGACGTATGTATCTGTCTAATATTTATTATATTGCGTGTTCAGTTTTTGCCACATGCAAACGACAGGATCGCGTATACCAAAAGAATATGTCAATATGGTTTGCTTCTAAGATACTAAACTCAACCAGGGGGACCTGTGAAAGTTGAACTTAAAACACTCTTGAAAGTCCAGGACCACAGGCAGCTGCTCTGAAGCAGAGCTGATCTGAGCGCCGGGCCATGGCGAGCTCCAGGGTGCATCCCCGTTGCAGGAATGCATCGAACCCGTATCACGAGTGCGTTGAATTCTGCTTTAAGGTTATTGCTCAACAGGACGAGCAAGGGGAGGCGCCTGGTGCACCTCAACATGGAGGTATACTTATGCCTTTACCACAAGGTCTTTGTGAATGGAAATCTTCCATTGTTGTTCCTTGGTTCTGGACGTGGTTCTCTGAATCTGCTTGCATTCACTGGCGCCAAAACGTGGATGATTAGTCTTTGTAATAAGGGGTTGATTCGCATGGTGATTGTCACCTCAGTGCACGGTGTTTAGCGCACCTGTTCTCTGTATGCAGAATTGTGTGGAATTTTATAGTGAAACTGCTAAGCTTTTGGAGGATTCTCAAGCCTCTCCTTGTCTTTACAAGTGCCAGCAGCCGAGAGCAATTATTGAATGTAAGTTCATGAGGACCAGCCACATGGCCGGAATCTACACCTTCGTTGCGTAGCCAGTCTGCCTCACTGGCAAAATGAAAGTCGTTCCAGCGCAGTAAAACAACCCACAGTAGAACCCTAATCCTGTCGCATTGTTGTCTGTGCAGGCCCCGAACCCTCAGCCAACGAGCTGCCGACTGCTTTCGGAAGGGCAGCCAAGCGGCCAAGGCCGTACATGCAAAGAGAAACTGCGCCAGAACCTGCTTCAGAGGAACCGAAGCAGAATGACAGTCAAGCAGGCCCTGGTTCGGAAGCGCCTGGCCCGGGCAGGGGAGAAGACACTGGTCCGGGGGGCAATGGGGCGAGTGGACAGGATGCCGACTTTGGGGCAAATCCTACGGAGGGCATGAACGAGCGGCAGAAGAAGCTATTTGTGTTGAAGCAGAAGATGGTGAGCCGGACGCATTTTTTGTCTGGTCTGAAAGTAGATAGAGATGCATCTTCTTACATGCTTGAATCAGAGACTCTTTGTTTCTGCGAGCTTCTTGTCGTTCTCAAGAGAGGCATTGATCTGCTAGCAGATTGACCAGGAATCTGCCTGAGGTTTATGGCAGCCTGGAATCATTCGCTTGGGCATTGCAAGTTCAAACGGGGTTTCTATCCAAAACTTTTCGACAACAAGAGTATTATCGTGGACTCGCAAACCTCTCAAGCTTTTTACATCCTCATTTGGAGACGCTACTTCTGCATTTGTTTCCAGACATCTATACCCAAGGACTGCATTATAACAGCCCCCATCGGAAGTTATATTCAATAACTCTTCCCTCCCACGAAGAAGCAGAACTGGGTCAATCTTTTATAGCTCCAACTCTGCAGTAAACATTGTAGACTTTCCACCAGACAACCATGTTTCTGGACCATATTTGTGGAAAAATTCCCAGAACCTGAATCGGTAGCTCCGTTTACCTGGCCAAACCGTGCCCCACGTCTGATGCAGAGGCTAGAGCTCTCCTTTATCAGCTGTCAAGGACCACGCTTAACCCTCCTTTTGACCAACTCTGCAGAACAACGCCCGCAAGCTGAACCAAACGGCGGTTGTGGCGGAGAAAAAGCGCGCGGAGGCGCCTGGGGAGAGCCGGGGTGTGTCGAAGCAAAAGTGGTACGACGAGAAGAAGAAACGGTTAGGGAAGGAACTAGAGGCGAGCGGGCTGGACATGAAGCAGGCGTATATGCTGGACACTGTGGAGGACGCAGAGGAGAAGTACAAGAAGTGGGACAAGAAAGAGACGCCGTTTGGGTGGGATGGTGCGTGTCAATCGATGCTTTTCCTTCAGTTTGTGTCGTGTATGTGTCCGTTGTGTAGTCAGTCCTTAGCTGACCGAGTTAGCTTCTGAGCAGATGGTTTGAAGGTCGCATGACTTTGTGGGACGAGCTTTGTACATTCTGCCTGCAAAACAAGCAGACCGTAGAAGATTGTGTTTCAACCTGTCTGGTGTAAGGGGTGGTGACTCCGCTTGTAAAAGTCCTATAATTCCTTCACGGCGTAGCTCGATTTCTCCAGCATTCTGAGTCGATGGGAGGTGCCTTAGAACCAGTAGCGGCCACTTTGCTCTCTGACGTGCAAAATCAGCAGATCGCTCGTCAACTTTGCTGAAGATGGATTACAAGTAGCTCTATGATCAGTCCAAGAGCATGATTTGTAACGAAGTAGCTGATATCGCTCAAAGGTCGATCTTCTGGACAGAGCGGCTCAAGGTAGGTGTCCTACAGTGTTCTCGTCAGAGCCTGAACGCTGGCTGTTTCGTGCAGTTTTCAACCAGAAGTCGCTGTACAACGCTTACAAGAAGCGGACAAACGACGTGCCGTACACCCAAGAGGAGTACGAGCAGGCCAAGGCGAACGACCCAAACTTCTATGCGGACGACTCCAACTTGCAGTACGGCCAGGTGGGACCGTCTTTCCGTCTTGTTTTCCTGTCTTGTTTTCGCTCTCCCACTCTGCAACAACCTGGTGCGGCAGAATTAGAAATAGGTCGTGAAGGTTCTCTTTGTCGCAATATGTTAGGTGGATGGTGGAGCGAAATTCGAATCCACAAGGTCTTACCGATTACGGACTGCCTGGTTGGCACTCGTGGTATCCTGCATCTCTTTCTGCTATTATTTCCCCCTATATTAACGGATGGTGCCCCTCTAGCCTGTCCTCTCCTTTGCTTTCGAACGCAAAAAAGACCGTTCTCTGCTTGAGAATCCTGTCTGGATCGACAAATGGAGACTCCCGTGGGGACCGGCTCTTGTTCCACTCTTGGCTGACTCTGGGGTGTCCCTCTTCATCCCAGTGCGTTTCAAGAGACTTTTTTGGGAAGTCGGCGGTTTGTACTTGTCAATCCGTTTTGGCTTCCTGCTTATCCCGTCGCTTTAAGAACCTCCAGACTTACCGTCGACTGTGACGAGCTTCTTATCTCACCTCAATTCGTCCTCGCCCCGTGCAGTCCAAGGCGGTTCCGCAGGAAAACGTCGACCGCATGGTGGGCGAGCTTAAGGCCCGGGAGGAGAAGCGGAAGCAGTTCAGCCGGCGTAGGAAGTTCCATGAGGACAAGGATATCGACTCCATCAACGAGCGAAACGCGCACTTCAACAGGAAAATCGAGCGCGCATTTGGGAAGTACACGGTCGAGATCAAGAACAACCTCGAGCGCGGAACAGCGCTGCCTGACTAGCCAGATGAGAGAACGGGTGTCGAGTTCCGTTGTACATACCCGAAGGTGGCAGGTAGCTGTCGCGGTCCCGTACTCCTCATTACTGATTTGTCAAGCTTCTTTAGCTACATGAAGCGCGCCTGCTGCTCAGTCGCAGTGTTTTGCCGATTTTGAGATTCGGCGTCCCTTGTCGTTCATTGTCGAGCACACTGTTTCCTCCTTATCAGAACGCAAGTATGCTGGCTTGTTGGACTCGAACTTTATTGAGAAGCGCGCTTGTTTCCTTTTGAGTACGAGGACCGCGATTTTTGCATGCGATGGTGGTGGTCATAAGTGATAATTTGCCTGCTGGATGTACGTTTTGCACGTGAAATCCTTACCATTTGGGGTACACTTTTATTGAGTTGTGTTCTCTTCACTATGCTAATCACCATTGGCCGAGCGTCCTCCCCTTGAGCAATGGGGTGGCGTGGTATTCCGCGAGGGAGGTATTTCGCGGCACACTTCGGTGTGACTGGTGAAGATGGACGGGCAGACTTGGCCGCTATTAGCCAGAAGTATGGCTGCTAGTGAGGTTCAGCCCCACATGGCTAACTGGCTAACTTGATTTTTAAAAGTTAACCCAATCATTAGCGGCCACTTGCAAGTGCAAGGCAAGAGGACGCAGGCTTGCCAGTTCAGACACTGCGAGCTTTGGTTTTGACTCCCTTACCCTGACCTTCTCGTCTTACTGTGCCTCATGCAGACCTGCGGTCCATTGACGAGGGACTTTGGATTCCCATGCCAGCGTTTGGGAGGGCTTGTCCATGCAACTTTCTATGAGTTGCACGTATGGGTGCACCTATCGACGATTTTGGAGTGGATTCAGAAGTGCAATGATGATTTGTTCCTGTTCACACTCGATTAGTACCAATCTCAGGGGTTCTTTGTGTCTTAATTGGTCCTGGCAGGGATTAAAGGCTAAATGATGATCACAATATAGTTTCCGTAAGAACTAGAATGATCTACATGCAAACAGCCAATTGGCATGTTGAATTGCCTGATGACTGTTGTATCTCGGGTGGCATTCCGATTTAGGAAAAGTGCTATTGCAAAGGTTCGATCACGAGCAGCTCAGGCTACGGCCGCCATCAATGTGCGGCGTCATGGCGTCGTAGGCCGTGCATTGTACTAAGAGAGGCTATATGATAGAGCGGGTTTCTATTGCGTATATCGCCTTTGTATAATCCGCCATTGATTGTTTAGCTTCGTATCGTGGCATCTATGTATCGTAATAGACGATTAGATATGCATGTGAAGTCTTAAAGATAATCATGCATCCTGGGTCCAGACTTTTAGCAAGTACAGTATAAGCTCATGACGGCCGCGGCCGGCGGCCGCTATTTAAATCGTGTATGGTCGACGTATCATTTAGTATAGGCGGTCGTACGGTACTCGACGATCGCCGTCCGCGCGTCCCACGGTCCACCGATCGCGGCCGCCATGCCATGGTATGGCAGGGTTCTGACTTTTCAACATACCGTACGGTTCCGTACCCTCAACTGATGACGTATGAACGTACGATGTGCCGGTAGTAGGTAGTAGGTACTGAATTCATGCCTCTTAACCCACGCGGTCCAAGATGGCCGGAAGCGTGGAACGACCCACTTTAGCTACCGGGGAACTAAAAGCTCGGGTTTACACCGTAGTCTGAATCAGAGTGATCATTGATGGGTCGGATTCAAATCACACCGGGAGAAATTACCGGGTCGATGTAGAACTGGTTGAGGGTTTAACCCGTGTTTCTAAGTCAGTAATTTGTACGGTCAATCCAGAATTCTAATTCTTCTTCCGCCATACGCCTCGGTTCAATATTTCCCGGCGATTTATTAGGTACATTTTAACCAAAATATTCGCCCTAGGCATGCGTCCCGAGTAAGCATCTTCGACGGCTTATTGGAAAGGGCGTACAGTGTAGATTCCGATTGACGTCACAAGGTTCCGTCGCGAATTCAACAAATGCCAGAGCGCATGCACGGCACCGAGCCGGGCTGTTTCGACGGTATTTAAACGGGTTTTTATGAAGAACAGGGCGCAAAATTCGAGGTACAATGTGTGCCATGTGGCATGTGCACTGGAAGTTCAGGAATCAGTAGATATTCTTCGTCTGTTTGTATGTTTGCTGCCAGCTGTCAACACCTGACATCAACACCCATGTTAAAATGCTCGTTGCTGCCACGCATATATGCGCCAGAGGCCACGCCTCCTGCGCACTGCCATGCAGTGTGCCCAAGTACCTCTCCACGCATAATGCAGAACTGAAAGGGGGATGCCGCACTGCGCACGAGGACGCCTTAAATAGGTAGGTGCACATAAATTCTGTTGAGAGTTCATCAAGATTTCAAGTATCCTGCATGATGGTCCGATCAAGAAAGCCGGAGAAAGTCTGTGGGAACTTATAAGTCTGAATCAGCTAAGATATTTTCGACATTTGCAGCTGGTTGTACTTGCTTGAAGCTTCCCAAAATTAAACTGATGCGAGACCGCCCTCCGTCGCCCAATCTCTGACATACTTGCATACCACAGCAGGGCGCTAGCCGAGACGCCGCAGCGTGCTGCTTACGGAATTGCTGTTGTTGAGCCTTGAAGAAACGAGGAGTTGAGAGACCGCTGCTGAATTGCTGCAGTTGTAGTCGGTATCACGTTTGTAACACCTCCTCGAGTCGTAAAGAGCACGGCAATCTGTGCCCTCCAAATAGGAAACAATGTGTTCATCTGATCAGCAAGCACCTTTTCTACCGCCTTGATGGCTTATTCGATATTGCTGCGGAGTCTCTAGCTACCATCATCAGCCAGCATGTTGCAGAGGATGAATAGAGCCTTTCACCACAAGAGGACCTCTGCCGGTTTCGCTCTTAGCCTTGTCCTGCTAGTATTCGTTCAGCACAGCAGAGCAGACTATGTAGAGACTGCGCCTAGACCTGGGGCTCCGCTTCCTCCATCCATCATTCCTGGAGAATGTCCCCTGGTCTTTCTGAAGGCAGACATCCAATATGCAAAGCAGACTGCATGCTCCTCAGGACCAGGTGACTCAGGTGAGACTCACGTTGTAATGAAGTCAAACAAACCTCTTCTACTCGTGCCACCGTCTAGGCTTACAGGCTTGCTGCAAGAGCCGTCCGTGGTATTGGGTCGGATCTTATGTGTGACATTTGAAGGAGTGACAACTCTGTAACAAGGTGGGGCCCTTCATAGTAGACACTACAACCAGCATGCCAGCAATCAAGCTCCTGTAGGCAGCAATTGTCCTAAGCAGACTTCTTCGAGAACGCACAATATCCGTTGCTGGATAAAGCTTTGTAAATATAGCAACTCTAAGACCCGGATGTTGGCTTAGTTCCATGCTGTTATCTGCTTGCGAAGCTTAGACTTCTTTGAGAGAGCTGCATTCCTGCTCTCTGATGACGCACACAGGCAGGCGTCTCTGCAATGGTACTAATGATATGTATTGTCCATCCTCGTACTGATGCCACATGGAAGATTTGCCACAGCAAGCAGCCCTTCCCCAACGAAGTTCCTGGATTCCCGGATCCAAGCTCAGATGCTGTGTTGCTTCTCCTGAAACGAGCAATCGAAGAGCACGGTTTCATGACTTTCAAGCTGACAATCTGCTCCCTCCTTGCCTTACCTAGGCACGTCTAACGCGATCGCTGTAAGCGCAGCTGGTGCATTCAGCAACAGCTCAATTACTTCTTGCTGCATCCATATGAAGGCAGTTCTATGGCAGGCCCGAGTGCGATATGCCAATGAGACTGGTCGCCTGCTCCTGCCCCAGGCATCCGCTGACGCTTGTATCCAGGTATATATCTTACCCTGTTTTTGATCACCTGTTGGGGTGATCACCTGCTATGTTTGTTGGTTGCCCTGTCCTGGGGTAACATTGGTTGGCGCTCTCTACACCCAGCTCCCCGGTTGAGAATAACTAATAAGTTGGGGGTCCTTAAGCCAGAATTGTATCAGTGGGGAGTGCATTGCGGGTCAAGTTCATACGGCCGCCAGAAGTGCTAACCAGCATAATCCATGGTAGACGCGAACATTCTAAAGTCAAAATGGACCCCTTGCATCTGAGATTCAAGGCAAGGTACTTGGCTCTGAAATGTCTGTGCCCCATCCTGGCTCTGGTTTGCAGAGTTTGAACACTTCAGCAATAGCTGCTGGACTACCTGCTCTCGGTTGGTGCGACATCAAAAGTCAAATGCTCTCAGAGGATGCCGGCAAAGCCTGTGGAGATGATCTCACAACCGTGTACGATTTCTGGTCGGCATCAAGTCGGACCTTTCCAGGTATGTTAGCGATGCCAGGACCATCAATTGTGAGCCTGCCATTCTTGACAAGCTTCGTCTTTCTGCTTGTACTCAAAGAGAACAGTATAGTACTGGCATTGAAAGCGCGCTTGTTTGGCAGCCAAGGCAGATTCATATCACATTCTATGAGACGATGCCACGATACAGGGCTGGCCCCACTTGTTTCGTTGCGAGCAAATTTCTGAATGTGAGTTTAGACCAACTCAACTCGTTATGCAGGAGTTAAGCTTCTTGAGCACCATCTGAAGTTCGAGGTTATTAAGTTGTCAGCTGAGTGCAAGAAGATGCATCCAAAAACTTGCTCCGGTGTGTCTCTTTGTAACACTTCGCTGGTACTTGCAGGAACGGTGGGTACCAGTTGCTATGGGGAAAATGCAGATTGCGGTCTCTGCACCACCCTCATCACAAACAAGATTATGTCACTAGGCAGCAGCACGCCGGCTTTGCTGGCAACGACGTCATGCCAAGGTGAAAGCATCACTCTCTCCCGCACCTGATGCCTTTGCTTGCAAGATCTGCTGTGAAGAAGGATCTGCTGTTAACAATCTTGTTTCAAACCGCTTGATTGAAACAAGATTGCTAAAAGTGCGGCAAGTTTCTTGGGGCCTTTGATGCAACTTTTATCCAGTCGACAGATTGACCACTCTGTCTTTCAGGGCGTCCAGGTCTCCAGGAATATTGTTGCCGATCGTCGCACACAGCACAAGCTGTCATGGAAGACCTCACTTCGAATCTTGTGCTGGCTATCCACTCACGTAACCTACTTTTGGTGAGCAACATTTACGTACGCTACAAGAAGGGTTGCTCAGCAAAGATTACAGAACATGCGCTCAAAGCTTCTGACATTTTCTTTTTTTCCTGCAGATCTGGCCCAGGTCGCAATGGCTGCGGCAGCGTACCCTGTCGCCATCGCTAACGGCATTGCTCGGTGCCTGTATAACGTGGACATTGAACCCATCCCTCAAGCAAGCAAGTGCACAGCGTATGACTGGTCGAGGCAGAACTGGACGTCCATCGTCCGCAGCTGCGGAGCAGAGAGTTATCGAGCGGATCGCTGCTGTCAACTCGTACACGGACAGTACCACTTTATGCTGGTAACCGCCCTGAACAAGACGCGTTATGGGATGGACCAGGTGAGACCAGCTTCGAAGAGATGTTTGCAGCGAGCCGGGGATTTGAGGCCGGAGCACATCGATTTTGTAAATGGGCTTTGTTGACGATCAAGAGGGTCCGATCATTTTCGCTTCCATCTACTTTTCGTTGCTTAATGGCTGCAGGTACGGTCTGATAAGATAAGGGCAACTTGTTGCTTTTCCTATCTCAGACAGGCGATATGTCCTGCTGCTACCTACCAATACAATGCCTACGAGGTCTCTCGTTCCAAAAGGATTTTCTCAAAGACGATCGGGCTTCTCGTTTCTTGAAGCCTCTCTTGACGGCTTCCTCGAGGGCTTCTTGCCTGCGCAAAGACGTTAATCGTCTGGACCTTTCTCAGCGTAGGGATTTGGCAGCTTTCGTTTCGGTGGGTTTTGTGTCAAAAGTGCTTGGCTTCCATCTGGTAACAATTCTGCGCAACCAGGAAATATGGTTGATCCGGTCAGGAAAGTACCGACTTTCGAAGAGAGGCCTGCCTCCACTCCATACATCCTTTTCTAGGTTAGTCAATTCTAAGGTTAAGTTGTGGTGAGGTTGAAGGTAACATCGAAAAAAGCGGATCGGAAAAAGTTCACGTGCTCCGCACCCGTGCACACCCTAAACCGCCTTCCTAACTCACCCCATCCCAGTAGTAGAGCTTGAACTCAATAAACCTAATCCTGGGACCAATTTCCAATATTTTAGGGGCAGGCCGAGGTGTGCTTCTCGGAGTACAAGGCCGGGCTCGCCGCGCATGGCGTCTCCCCAGCCACGCCGGAAAGTTGCCGCGTGACCGCCGCGACCGCCCTTCTGAACATCGGCTGCTACAACTACTCCACGCTCCAGCAGCAGGTCTCCACGCGCTACTTCCACTACTTCGACGGCAACTGCACACACAGCGGAGGCGGCGATTGCAGCCACTGCTCGCAAACGCTGCTCGACGTGGGGAACGAGCTTGCGAACACCACAAGCGTCGCGTACCTGAACGCGTGCCAGCAACTGGTCGTGCACCAATATTACCTGTGGCTCGCCAATGTTGAGTCAGTCCCCGAGCGCGGAAACTGTTACTACCAGTTCCCCCCGGGGCTGGAGCTCACGATGGTCCCCTTACTCCCGAGCAAAAGCGCCTCTAACATCGCACTCATAGCCGGGGTTAGTTGTGCGAGCGCGGTCGTGCTCCTTGGGGTATTGGCGATTGTTGCATTCGTCCTATGGCGACGTTATCCGCTGTACAAGGCCGAGTGGGACGCCGAGAAGAAGACGCTCGGCCGCTTGTCGTCGATACAACAGCGGGTCGTGGGGAACCGGTTGCAGGTCTTCACGAAAAGGCAGCTGAGCAAAGCGACTCAGGACTTCAGCGAGAGCCGTGTGGTTGGCGTCGGGGGATCCGGGAAAGTTTACGTTGGAGAGCTGAACGGGGACATCGTTGCAGTAAAGGACTCCACGTTTGGGTCCAACAATGATGGAGCCAAGGTAAGAAAGAACTTATTTTCTCGGGATTGAGTTACGGCTCTACATTGAAGACACGGACAGCCACTCGCATTCTCGACTTCCCCTTGAAGCAGGTTCTTGATTGTTTTGAAGCGCTCTTGCAAGACTGCCGAAGTCAGACAACTGCTCTTTTTGAAGAAGGCGTTCTCGTAGAGAAGTAGCTTCGTAGCAAGAAACCTGGACACCAGCTTATCGGGATTGCGTAACAGCTGTACCGACATGAGGACCTTTAGAGTACCTGCTTGGGCGATTGCTATATGATGGTTTGATTCATAACTTGTTCATAATTCGCTCAACTCCGATGATTCTCGAGCAGTCCTATCGTAATTTGCGTCTTGTCGGAACGCCACATTTTATCGTCAATCCGGAAACATATGACGCTCTTTCGTTCTCACAACCTGACAGGTATTTCTTGCCATACCACAGACCTCTCTTGCAATGATCAGAAAGCGCACGGAGTACCGGTAACAGACCTTGTGAAGGGCATCAAAGCGGACGTGAAGCTTTCCCGACTTCGTCGAAGGGCACTTGATAAGCTACTAAACCGGGTTCTTAACCCATTGATCTACCTGTCTTTGTTGCAGGAAGCATGGAACGAGGTTGCGACTCTGGCCCAGTATCGGCACCGTCATCTAGTGGTCCTCAAGGGCTGCTGCCTCACTGGTTCAAACTCCTTGTGAGGCTTCCTTTTCAATCCCATCAACTGATCTGCAAGCGGCCAGGCTGTCGGGGCTTTTGAGTTTCCGTAGCTCTCAGCTCTTCAACATGAATTGGACTTTCAGTCGCTCTTTCGTAGGTTGCTCTACTCTGTTCTGTTGAGATTGGCAGCTCGTAGGCCACACCTCTTTTGAATGCAGTCTGGTACGTTATCCCTAAACCTTTGTACGCTTCAGACCTAATCCCTTGTCGTTGCCAGATTTGCCAGGGCACAACAACAACCTGCACTGGTTGCCGTGCCAATTTTCTGCTTGCCCCTGGGGTTACGGAGCGAAGAGAGCAGTCTAGTATAGTTTTCTTGGTTGTCAGTCAGGGATTTCCCAACAGATTGGAGAGAACGACCGCTGAACTAAAAAGTCGCTTCCCCGGGTTTAATCAAACCCAACCCCTGAGCCCGAAGCTAACATGCTCCGCACCCATACCCACCTTTAACCCCCACCTAACCCCACCTGTCCCCGGCCGTGACCTACAACATAGCCGGTAATTCAGAACAAAATCAAAACTAAACCGCTAAACCGATCCTGTCCTCCCTTCCGCAGCCTGGTCTACGAGTTCATGGAGCAAGGCAGCGTCGAAGACCATCTGTGCCCTACGGCGGCCGTCTCGGCTGGCCGCGCCACTGAGAGCAGTGTGCGCGCGCAGTTTTTGAATTGGCCCACCCGAGACAAGATCGCCCTGGGGACGGCCAAGGGGCTTGCCTACCTGCACGAGGTGAGCCCCGTCTTACAGGGCGGTCACAATTGAGTTCTCAGGGAAGTGGGAAACGTTCTCTGAGGGGTTCCATGCTCCCCGAGAATCTGTTTGGTCGTATTTCCGTCAGGATGCGTGGCGCAGAAGCTCAAAAGCCTCGCGTGATTCGTAGTCAGACAGATTGTCCGGGGAGGAAGCGCCAACCGTTCCTTCGTGTTGATACCGGCGCTCGTAAGGCATAGTCGTGTCGAATTCCTGGGGGAGATTCCCCTTTTTCGTCCCTGAAGGACGGAGAGTCGGTGCGCCCCGGAAAACCTATTTGTGAACGCCCAATCAGACATAAGGAGAGGCTGCAGACCAGAACTTGCGATACACACAGTGAAGCTGGACTACGATGTTGGATCGAGTGATATATTTTGCTGTTGCTGTACGGGGCTGATCTTTAGATCCGGGTTACCGAGGCCTGTTTTTTGCGATCTGAATCGTCAGCAGATCAAGTGTCCGCTGCATGGGCGAGCTTCACGAAAGGGGCTTCGAATTGGCGCACGCTTTTTTCAATCTGTTCATAGAATCGGATAAATTCTGCAGAACGCTGCAATGACAGAATTGTCGCACGTTACAACATCGTGGAACAAATCATGGCTTTGTTTCTGGGCGAGGAGCGGAACAAGGAAGCCGGGGTCGTCCCACCGAAGCCTTCCTCCTATGATCGCCTGAACTCTCTTAGCTTGCGAGTCCTGCAGCCGAGACGAAAGCTGTTAATCGAATAAAGAGCGGTCAAAGCGTAGACAATTGAAAATCTGGTCGGTATGGTTCCCTAAGGAAACTTTGAGTAGGGGTGTGCCCACCTTTCTCTTTGCGAGGAAAGAAAAAAGAAAAACAAGAGAACAAGTGCCACCTTGTCCTCCTCAGGAGTGCAAACCACGGTGCATTCATCGAGACGTGAAGCTGAGCAACATCCTGCTGGCCAACGATTTCGAACCCAAGCTGGCCGACTTCGGACTGGCAAGGCGGACGGACCCACAGGACACACACGTCACCACAGGTCAGTGTCTCTGTCTTGAAGGTAGCACGCACAGTAGTCGGTGGTTCAGCTCGTCCAGCGCAAGCGCATCCGGCGCATTCCTTTCCGAGAGGTATGATGATGTAGGCATGATGTGAACCCGAATGTTTGCTTTCTACTCAATCATTCTCCGGCTTGTGCTAAAGAAAGAACTCCTGTGGGTGCAATCCAGATCTTTACCTTTCTAACCATGCTCTGCGAAGCTTCCCAAAAGGTTGAGTATTGCCCTTACCAATTTGTCTTAGTCTCAGCATGTTTGATGCTGAGAAGCGCCGAGCGAATCACGCTTGATCTCTTTCCCCCATCTTTTTATTGGTCGTCACCCCCTGTCGCGCGCTTCTATCATCAGCGACCACTTTCCAGTGTATCTTGCTTCGTTGCCTGCAGCGATCGCCGGCACGTGGGGCTACTTGAGCCCCGAGTACATGGCCACCGGGAAGCTCACCGAGAAGAGTGACGTGTACAGCTTCGGGGTGGTGCTGCTCTGCCTCGTGGCCGGGCGACGGCCCACTCAATCCAACGCACCAGAAGAGCAAGTACATATTTTGAAGGCACGTTCTTCGTCGTTTGCTCGAAAAGTATCTGAGTGAGGTTTATAAAGACGTCTTCTTTTGAGGATTCCACGCAATGCCCCTTCATTTGATTTGTACAAAAAGACCTAGGGTTGAAACGATGTACCTCCCGCTCATTCGAAGGTGATTGCCCTTTCACCCGAGTAGAAGATGCTGACTAAGATTCATTTCAAAGTCCGCAACACTGGCGGAACTTGTTCAAAGTTACTCACTTAGACCAAGTTCATGTAGTGCGCTGCAATTTAGCCCGGTGGAACCATCTTTCAACAGGGTCTCGTTTTCGTTTCGTTTCCATGACGCAAGCATTCTCGGCAAGGGGATCCGGCTACCCCACATCTCCCCGCAGGGAAAAAGTTGTCGTCGGTCAACTTTAAGCCCCTTCCCGACTTCCATTTACCTCCAACAAATACGGTTTGCGAAACCAACAGAAGGTGACCCGGTTCTAAAAGCGCTACTTACAATCCGCCAGATTCACCTGGCGGAATGGGCGTGGGCCCTGGCGGAACGGAGCGAGCTCGAGCAGCTGATCGACCCGCGGCTCGAGGGGGAGCGACACGAGTTCGCGGCGAACATGGAGCGCATGACTAAGGTGAGGAGTCGCTTCACCTTTTGCATTTTCCGTTCTGCACCACGTGAGAGCCAGCCGTGTGTCTGCTCTTGGAAGATGCGCAGGGAACAATTAAGAGTAACCCCGATTGCAAGGCAGTACTTGCCACATCGCCGCGGACGTAATCACGTGGCATCGGAGAAGCGCAATGCGCTGTTCTCTCTGTAGTCGCCGGAACAGAATCGGTCCCCCGACGCCGAAGTCGTCTTTGTTGTGACTTGAAGGTCACAGGTCGCTTTCAGTCTTGATCTGGGGTTGGCGCAGCTTTTGCTGTCGCCGAATTGGAGTTGCGTTGTAGGACGTTACGGAGCTCGCAAGTGAAGCTGGCTAAGAACTCATCGTCTCTGGAGCCCTTTAAACGGAGCCTTTTTGCCTAGTCAGGCCCTTTCTGACGTCTTTTCTCGCGTCCATTAAGCTGGTCGGGTGCTTTTGGTTCGCCAAGAGCTCGAGAGGCGTTGACATGGAATTTCCGCCGACATGTATAGAGGCAGCACTGCGTGCATTGCATTCGCCCTAAGATGTCTGTGTCAGCTTTTTCCGGGCGCTAGAAGTATGGCTGGCGATTCCTGTTCCATTACTCTCACGTCCTGAGAATCGGCTAATCTAGTTTTTCAACTAAGAAGTCTCCTTTCAACTTTAAAGATTTCGGTGGAGTCTTCGATCCGCTGCGCAACGGACATGCCACGTCCTTCAAGCGAAGTCGGCGCCCATCCTCAATTTTGAATCAGATGAGGCCACAGTTCTGCAGCTCCGTTCCACTCGCCAATCATGCGCAAGCTGTAAGAATCTCCTTTTTTACTGTTCTTCTCCTTCCCGTCCTCGATACTTTCCAAGTCTGAACCTCCCGTGGTTTGCCGTCATCTGCAGGTTGCCCTGCTGTGCGTCCACACGGCGGCCAGCGTCCGGCCCAGCATGCGGCAGTGCGCGGACATGCTCATGGGACGAATGGAGGTCCCCCGACTCCCGAGGCGGCTTCCCTCCCTCTATACAGTCTCCTCGTTGGCATCGTCTGATCCCGAAAGTTCAGCGGGGCTCTCCTCGGGGCAACTGAGCTCGATCCTAAGCAGGGGCGCCGGGATTTTGTCCATGTCAAGTGACTACGACCCGAAAAGCGTCCCGTAAGGATTGGTTGCTTTTTCAATGGCCCGTCATCTGCGACTTCAAAACACCAAGAGGTGTTCACGGCTTCTGGCTTTCTGAGCGACGAGGCCACATAATTTCAAAGCTACACAAGTATAGGATTTGTCAAAAAGGTGTGTAATAGTGAGGATGGTAAAAGCACCACTCGGGTTGATATCAGGCGAGATAATATTACGATACCGTATTATAGTGTCTGTTTAGTTGCAATGGAGGAAACTCTCGAGGCGTCTTGATTTCCCGGGGCCAGGTAAAAAAAATGGTATTTATTTTCAGAAGTTCAATGCCGTCGATGGATCTTAAGCTGGTACGTGGTTTGGCCCAATTACAGACAGGTTTCAGTCTGCGACTGGGTACGATGGCGGTAAGCTAGCTGAGCAGATCAGTCTGGGGTTTCCCGGGTTACAATCAATGATGTATACTAACACTGATCGGTGCTTGAAGTCAGACTTGCGGTATACGCACACAAACATGCATATGTGAAGTTGATAAGATTGACGCATAATTCGGATGCTTATGATGTAGTACAAATGACATGGCACAGCGTAACATGCACACAGAGTTCAAGCTTGGATCAAGATGCACCTTCCAACCGATTCGATCTCACGTTAGTGCATGCTGGTTGTGATACATGCGGGCCTGACCCATGTCCCCTTAGACAATTAGGGTCAAGTTTTGAACTGACAACCTGCTTCATTGGAGTTTACACTATAGTGGACAACATTCCTGGCGCATGTCGGTATAGTGATTCGATGGATAACACCAAATTCTTGACCTGCAATTCACGTAGCAAAGCAACGTGGCTGGTGTAGCAACACCGCCAAATGTGACTGCAGTCAACAGTGTTGTAGCTAGTGAGAATCGGTCACCTTGCCGATCTATGCATGGCCGGCTATAATCGATTAGAGAATCCGAAGAAGCAATATGCGAGCACTTCTTGACCAGAGACAAGTTCCGAAGTGACGCTATTGACTGCTCTAAGCTATGTTTTGGACAAGCTTTGGACGGAAATTGCTGTCTTATGTACATGCAAACAAAACTTGGGCGGAACTAGCGAAATAGGGACTCCGGGTAGGATATTGGCGGAACTCGGACTACACTCAACCGGTTGCGCCACGATCTCTGGCAGCCTCTCAACTCAATCTTGGTGACGCAGGCTTATGGTACAGATAAGCTTCACTTCAACACACCAGGCAAGGGCGTCAGGTCCAGGGTGGACGGTCCTTCAATGTTTTCACCCTTTTTGTCGAAGCAAGACCCGTGGCAGGGACAGTTCCACTCCTTGTCCGAGGGGTTCCATTGAAGCAAGCAACCGAGATGCGGGCAGACCGCGCTGTATGCATGAGTCTGGCCCTGCAAGTAGCAGTCAATGCGTGTTATGGTCGGAAAGGACGTTGATGATATATCCCATTTGCTATTAAATCTGCGGCCAAGATGATTGCGGAATGGTCGTCTCAAACCCCAAGATCATCGCAAAAACGGCAGGATTGCAGTTGTTCCAGCTTGAACAACAGGGCATGTATGGTCGCGGGGACCTCCGCCGTTATGGCTTTTGGCACAGCCCCCAGATTGCCATGCATCATATGGCAGCACTGCCTTGCTTATTAATGTCCAAAGCACACTCATCGCCCCTGGGAATCCATCTCCTTTGACTTGATCACGGGCATTCGCGGGATCAGGTGGGGTCAATCCTGGCACTCTTTACAACAATTGCAAAATACTTTTAAAAAACAAAAAGTTTGACACGTGACTTGGCTGGCCAGCCCACCTGTGGGTCCTTGTAGACAGCGACCTTGCGCAGGCCCTTCTGGATGGTGCAGCCCGAGTCTGGGGCCAAGTCCTCAATGTCCTGGTTGCGCAGCTGGGGCGTCACCTGGTTCACAACGCTCTGCATGCAAGCGAAGTGTTGTCACGCTTTGAACCCGAACCACCGCAAGTGCTTGCCGCAGGTGATGACTGATATGCAAATAGATGGCCGCATGCGAAATACCCACCAGCACAAAGCTGCCACCGCAGCACAATCAATGCCTCTCCAAGGTGTTTTGAGTGTCAAACAGAATTCTTGTAAGCCACATAACTGCACAGCTTTTGGCTACACAATCTCAGCTATACAATGTAACAAGTACCAAGGTGCTCACCTGTATTGTGTTCCACAGATACATGGGGTGCAGGGTCGGGATGAACGGCAGGCCCCTCAGCTTGCGCCCGGGGCTGTAAATGTCAGCGTACGGGTTGGAGCGGCCCAGCACAGCATCTGCAGGCCACAAGAGCACATCTTACCAACAGGACCTCGCCTCGCAGATATGCACCATCAAGCCAGAAGCCACAGACCGCATGCTTTGTCATCGAACTTGTGTTGCACGCAGTAGGGCGCAGGCAGGAGAGATGCCGCACAAAAGGTAAAACTGCTGCAACTTTGTGACTTTGAAAATCAGCATCAAGACAACCTTGTTTGAAGCTGAGTTTGGGTGGGGAGTGACGGAGGTTGTTCTCATTCGGGTGTCACTCAAGCTGCTTACATCTGTGACTCATAAACACCAATCGCGCCAAACTATCGCTTGCGAACCACCGTTACACCAGAAAGGCCCTTTGAACAGTAACACAGAGATTAGAGGGTAAGGGGGCGGACATAGATACGAGACTGGGCAGAAAGAGCTCATTCCAGCCGCACCTGCGATGATGGTGCCACCCAATGTGCCGCCAGTCAGGACCAGGCCACAGTCACCCGTCCCCACGTAGACGCCGCTGAAGGGAACCGGGTCTTGGCCGTACATGCCCAGCTTCTCGATTGGCACAGTGATCTGCATAGCAGCCACAGGAGCCTTTCAAATCATGCAACAGCGGTTCTGTTCACTATCGAATCAGTTTTGAGTGCTGTGAGGCGTCAGTATGGTTTGTTCCGCATGAACAAGGTTCATGCAAGATGCACAGTTAGCCTTTCCCAGAAGCCTGGCCCGTCAGCGCAGATGGTTCGGAATCAGAGGTTACCGACATGCCCACCAGCCCACCACCACCGCATAGTCTTAGTTGCAAGGTTTCTGTTGTAAGTCTAGCTCCGAAGGGCACTGTGGGCAATATACTGGATATGTCCTTCTGTGAACATGGTAAAGCAGCCAGTCACTGTCAGAGACACAGTGCCTCACCAAGTAGCGCCACTGCTGCGGGCTGTCTCGCATCTAGAGCCAACGCTTGCATATGCTCGACCTATTCTGCTGCTGACAGGAACATCGGGCCTCACCGTGTAGCTCCACTGGTGCAGGCGCTCCTGCACCTGGGGCCAGCGTGCGCGCGCATACCGCTCCAGCAGGCCAAATGGGTCACCATACTCGCCCGGCTTCTTGCCCTGGTCCGTGTCCTGCCCGGCAAAGACGAACTCAATGTTCGAGACAGCGCTTTGATCTAGTAGCGCTTCAATCTACTAACAGCCAGTTTCATCCCGTTAGCCCGGCAAAGACAAGCTCAATTTTGGAGACAGCGCTTTGATCTAGTGGCGCTTTGATCTAGTGGCGCTTCGATCTAGTAACAGCCAACTTCATCCCATTATCCCAAATAGGTCGCCGTGATCGCTCGGCTTTTCACCCTTGTCTACGTTCTGCCAAGCAGTGAATCAACTCGTAACAGACAGGCGCATACGTCTGATATGACCGCTGAAACCGCAAGTTGCCATACAATCATCCGCAATGACCCTACGTCCCCGATCAGTTCTGTGTCTGGACGGGACAACAGAACGCACCGCATAGAGCAAGCAATAAATCTGGAAAAACGGCCTGGTGTACCAGTCTGCACAAGACACCAGATGCCATCGTTGGACAATTCTTGATGCCCGCAACCGCACTTCGGGCGCTGTAAGGTACCAGCACCTGGCCCAGATCACAATGCCATATCTGCCTTGGCTATGTAATTCCCCACATACCTGCCCTCCGACGATCATCACGTCATGGGTGCGTCCGCCGTCTGCCAAGTGGACTGTGTGGGGTGGGGACGCGGTGTCGTAGAATATGGCGTCCTTCACAGAACCCTTGGGCACCTTCAGCCCGATTGCGAACCTGCAGCCGCATTACGCAGGTGTCATCGCCTAGCCGCAACATGCATCTCGAAAAGTCTTGCAACACGCTTGAAAGGAACGGGGATGTCTGCAACAAGCAAGGTACCAGAGGATAAAGGATGAGGCCATCAAGCTGCGCCCAGTTGCTAGCAGCGCAGTGATCCAGCATCTGAACGGATCAGGTTGATCATGGTACTCCAGCGTTGAACCCCATGCTTGAAACATTCCTGTGGGGCTGCATGGCGCTCAGTCGTAGGCTTCATGCACTTCACTGACTGCAATGCGCGCTTACCTCCGTTGAATCCCATGCTTAAAACATTCCTGTGGGGCTGCATGGCGCTCAATCGTAGGCTTCATGCACTTCACTAAAAGGAATTACGCGCTTACCTCCGGCGGACCACCTGCTTCCCATGCAGTGCAATGGCATGCACTGCAGAGTCCACAAGATTGCTGGTGATGGGGACGCCGGTTGCCACGACCACTGCCTGCCTGGCTGCCACGCGCTGTCCGCCCATGGTCGTCAGGTTGTTGCTGCTGTACTTGCGCACACGCGTCTTCTCAAAGACCTGTGCATGTGCACAATGACAAGTCCGTTTTGCGGGGTCGGAGCAGAGGGCCTGCTGGTCAGGATCACATGGTGCATTCCGAATTGGAAAGCAAGAGAGGAGAGAGAGGAAGCTGTAAATAGAGCGAACTTCTTAGGCGACAGATGCAGCCTGCTGTTGAGGGAGTCTTCAGGCCTACCTCCTCACGAGTTTGGCAACCACCGCAGCCAGGCATTGGGGCACTGCGAAGGGCCTGCCGCCCCATCAACCGTTATGATGCAAACAAAGCACCGCAGTTGCCTACCTGCCCCCCAGCCTTGACCACTGCTCCGGCAAGGCCGTTCAGGTACTCCACTGGGTTGAGGACTGCCTGGTTGGGCATCAGCAGACCGGACTTAACGCCACCAACAGCCTGGTTGCCCTCCAGGTCAACCTGCGGTGCACAGCAACTTGTTCACTGGGGGGGTGTTGACAGCAACCTTGCATGCATGCAGGCAGTTGTGCATCATGTCAGCTTGACCGAGAATGAGCTTAAGAAGGCAAGGCTTTCTGAATGCACATATGCAAGTGCTTTGGAGGCCACAATTACTAGCCTCCGCCATCTGGCGCAACATGTCCGCACCTGGGCGCAATCTCGCAGGCCTGCATTGTGCATCGCTTGCAGCTCGCGCCCAAAGTTGGCGCTGGGGCTGCTCTTTGAGATGATGTACCCATCCACCTCACGGTAGCTGCAGTCAATGCGCTCCTCCTTGATAATCTGTGGCAGAACATCAAATGGAGCGTATTTGATCTTTAGCTACGATGATGCTGATTGCTGGTAACAAGTTGGCATACATATATAGGACACCACATGTTTGAGGTGCAATGAGGCAGGTACCAGGCACTGAATCACAGCCAAGCCATGCTAAGTGCATGCTAGAGAAGACACCAGCTACCCCAAGGCATAATGCCATGCAGTCTTGGCCTGTCCCGTGCCATACAGCCACTTTTGAGCCGCAATTGCCCCAGAGGCGTATGCTACAAGGGGGGGAAGAGCAACTTTTTAGCTGCAATCTCACCTGCTTGACGTGCGCCAGCGCAGCGACCTGGCTCTGGGCCACCAAGCGGGCCTTGTCTGCCCCATACATGCTCTCCAGCTTCCCATAGGTGGTGGGGTTGCCATATGTCACGTCACCAGAAGCACGTCCAGTCTGGCCGGCAGCCACAACGCGGCTCTCAAGCACCCCCACCTTCTTGCCTGCCAGCATGAAAAGCGCAAGGTCAAAGACAAGGTGCTGACACAGAGGTTTAACCGACGCCCTTGCACACACCAGCTATACACGCCACCGCAGCTGAGCACGCTGGCGCCTATTTGCAAGGCTATGACGGCTATCAGTAATAAGAGCAGCAATGACACGGAATAGCCACCTCGTGCTGAACAAGGGGCACCGTGGCCAATGTAATGCAGGTCCCGCATGTGCCTCTTCAGCGACACCCACCTGCTTTTGCCAAAGCCAAGGCCGCCGTCAAGCCCACCACACCAGCGCCCACAACGACGACATCGAAAGATGCATCACGGTCCAGGGAGTCGAACCGCATCTGCTGCTGCTGCTGCTTCCAAGGGTTGTCCACCAGACCCGGCAGGCTGCCTGATCTCTGCTGAGGAGGTGCAACACCCGCCATCACAACAAACCTTCGACCACCCTGTGGCAATCTAATAGCTGCTGACTGCAAGAGCCTAGGCGTCCCTGTCGTGAGGAAGGTACTAACCAGCATCAGCTTGCTGGGCTTGGATGAAATGGTGATTCTGTTCAGGTTGCAGGCAGGCAACGGAACCGAAGCCTTTGTGGCGTGCCGTGGTTCGTGGCCTACTTTGGCCCAACCCAAACGCCTGCAAACGCCTGCCTGCATTTTGATCACAGCAGGACAAGATTCTACATGCAGCTTTCGGAGCTTCAAATTTCAAAACCTCAAAACTTCCAAAGGCTCTTCAAAGTTTCTTCCTGGCATGCAGAGCCTCATTCATTCGCCACATCACCCTTCAGCTCGGGGGGGCTGCCGCCCCCCAGAGTCCACCCACTTCTTCCTCTTCTGGCCAACCCACCTAGCTTCTGCACGTAGCGATGGGTTCGATCCATTTGGCAAACATCCGAAACGTGGCTAGCTTTGGCTTCCCACTGCAAAATCTCCTCCGTTTTGCAGTTGAGACGTGGTTTGGAGTTCCTCTTCAAGTTCGTAGCGTTTGGCGTCCTTCAGTCATTAATCGACGGCTTCCGGCCCATCCTTCTAAAAGAACACCGACATTGCCGTCCTTTTTGCTTGGGTCCTTGCATGCACCGTCAATTGTAACTCGCGAGAATGGACGGTGTAGATTTCATCTTCTGCGCTGTCCCCCGGGCCCCTCAGCCTTATCCCGACTGCTACCTACAATGCGCTCAATCATGTAGAATAGGTAGTTGCCTTCATATATTCGTCCGAATCTACGATGCTTTCTGTCCTTTGACGTCGCCAGACTCCAGAGGATTCCAAAAGTTGGAAGTATCAGTTTATGGTTACTGATTCTCGATGTTCTCGATCTTTTTCAAACGCCGTAGCCACATCATCATTGGGCCATACCGTACTAGGCTTCCATGGCGTACATGGGAATTGTTTTGGGTTTTGTTGAACGTCTAGCTACCTAGTCAAAGTCAAAGTGCCGCACATGGTCTCATTTCGCGACCGACCGTTTTACCGGTACGGCATTTACAAGGTTTTCGAGCACGAAGTATTTCGATTACCTACCGAAATGAGAGGCAATCCTGACTTATGTGTTCGTAGCGTTAAATGGCTGCACAACCTAAGCTGACGAGATACACCTATCATGCAGAATCTTCATGATAAGTTCTCACTTAGGCTAGTCTTCTGCCCAAAGTCCTACATCTTGGCTAAATGTCTAGATACGGATATCTATACACAGCTTCGCGAGCACCATTAAAAACCCCTCGAGGGTCCCTTGGCTTTTTAGAATGGGCCCGCCTTTTTCCGAGGGGGAAAAAAGGTATACTCGCGGCAGCTTCGATGTAGGACAATGGAGAAGACCCGAGGTGCGCCTTGATCTGCAGGGAGAGAAAGATAACACCACAGTACCATAACAATAGTAGCACATTGGATCAGTCGAAAACTTCCTGCGACCCTGGTCAAGGAATTCAGGATTACATTTTGACGGGTACTAGACATCCCCTGCGACGGGTTACACTGTCGCTAGCAAGCCCCATGCCTTTTATGGGTACGGGCTTTAATAAGAGATTGAAGGCCCGAGATTAGTACACGAGTTGGAATGAAGCACGTCATCAACATTACCCCTATATCAAATAGACATCCTATGCATCATTTCTGACCTCCTTCAGCAACCCTAATGAAGTTTCACAAGAGTGAAGTTCTGGCCACTAGAGGTTGCCATGTCATTGACAGCCCCCCTCGGCGGTCCCGCCATACCCGCCGATAGGGGTAGGAGGCCATCATTTCGGCACCGACGAGCTTGGTTCAACCCCTGAGGTACGACCACCGGCTGCCCCACCCATCGGAGTCTACATGGTATATAGCTGCCCTGCGGCCGACCACAGTGTTAGAGCGAGGCTGCAGCATTGCCCACATGCAGCATGACGCCGGGTCCTGAAATTGCGCTACCTTCCGTCTACCTTGACACCTTGACAGCCGGCGATGCGTGCACTTGATTGATTCAAGCCCGCCATGTCTGATGGGATACCCGCGGCATACAGTCGCTAATTCGATGCTGACCAGCCCGCATCTGATAAGACATGTAAGCCGGTGGTACTGGCGTCCAACTGCTTCAGCCGCTTAGCGCCACCATAACTAGCTTGCCAGGCTGGCCGGCCAGCCAGGTGCATCCAAGCTTGCTGGCAGCTCCGGCCGGGCAAGCTTTACAGCATTCACTGACCATCCAACATGTGCAACTAGGTACATGCTTGAAGAGACGACATTTCCACTGCCAATAGGACGAGGTGACCATCACCTCACAGAACCGCATTCGTGACGTCAGTCTGGAAAGGATGTCCATCAAGCTGTCGTCTGCAGAGAACCTTGTCTGAAACAACGCACCCTACTTCTTGGACGGCCAAAAGCCGCTCCACGTGTGACCCCAGGCCCCTGCGGCGGGCGCGCTCGGCCGTGCTTGCTGAGACGCTTGCCACTGATTCTGCACCCCCGGTACAAAGTGCTGCTGAGGCGTATAGAAGGTTTCTTGAGGGGACCCGTAGCTCGGGTATGGGGGCGGAGTCACGTCCCGAGGGGCTTCATAGCCCGGTGGAAGAGGGGGGGGACTGTATTTCGGGGGTGGGGGTGGGGATGGAGTGTACGAAGGAGGGGGGGGAGGCGAAGGACTGTAGGAGGGGGGAGGCAGGGGCTGGTCATAGCGGGCTGCCGATCCACTTTGGGGCGCTGCCAAGAGGGAAAGGTCAGGTCAGACCACAGTTCTTCAAGTATACCGTGTACGGTACCGCTGATTGATTTTGTCGGTCTGGGTGCCAAAAGATTGTTTTCTATTAAGCAGCCAATTTCGGCGAAATTTTCCTTTTTTCTGACATGTCATTTATGTAGCAAATCAGCTTCAAGCACTACTGGCCTTTACCGGGCAAATATACATACCACCTTTTCGTCGCCAAAGGAAAAACATCTTCCAAAACTTTCGGCAGCCAGAACAACGATTCAGTTTGAAACCAAAATAAAAGGCTGGTACGGTTATTGAACGAATGTCTGTTGCGCAGCGCTGCACAGTCAGACTGCTCCAGAGCACAAGCAGACAGCAGGGAATGAAAGGAAGGACTGTTCCTGGACGGCAGGGGGAGGGGACCCCAGTCGCTGGTTGCCGTCCAATCGGGCAGCCGGCGGTTGGCCTGCTTTTTGAGGATTGGTGCCCCCATTCCTGTCCATTCTGAGCGGTGAAATCTTACTGCCAATTATTGCCTCGGAGTGAGATCGGGAACACGCGGCAAGGCGCATTCAAGAGCAGAAATGACAAGCGTTCCTTCCCGCAGTCCATCAGGACCTACAACCCAACTTCCTCACACCGGAACATGTGGTGCGAAGATCCGGATGCAATCTCAAGCTTTGGCAAAGGAATTCTGAGAAACTTCGTTTGACCAAACGAACGGGCGACTCGGAACTCGAAGCTTCTGACTCGCTGACAGCATTGAGCCCATGGATCCCCACGTAAAACAGATTCCGAGTTCCCAGCGACCCTCTCGCACTCAATCCTTCTCACCTGATCCATGCTGGTACGCAAACGCAGGGCCGCCCCGCCACTGTTGTTCATTCGCATACCCCGGCGGAAAGTCGTCTGCCCCGAGGTCCATGTCCGCCTCTTCCGCACTTCCCCCCACCTCGCGTACCCCCCCATTTTCCAACCCATTCGTTCCCCCTGCCATGTAACCAGCCGATTCAACTACCCCCCTTCTTTCCTCCCGTCTCTGCTGCTCGATGATCCCTTCCAACCCTGACGTCCCTGGCCAGCTTCTGCTGACGTCAGCCGGCTGCGCCTCGTGCGCATCCCACCGGCTGGCCCGCCTCCGCCCACCTGGAATCTCCACCGGCCGTCCGTTCGCCTCCGAGAAACGCGTCGCCAGCGGCGCACCCGGAGCTGCCACCTGTCGCCCTGGTGGGCTTGCCACGTAACCCTCCCGGTAGTCCCAACCGTAATTCGCCATCGCCGCTCCCTCCCCGCCGAACACTGTGACGCTCGTTGACTGCGTGACGTGCTCCGAGACCACAACCCCGGAACCCCCGCGATCCATCTCCGACCAACTTCTGAAGACTTGCCAGTCCGGAGGTTGGACTGCTCTCCGCCGGTCTTCCCACTTCCGCGGATCCGCCCCCTCGGGGATTGGTGCGTTGACCCCCGGGAAAGCCACGAGCTCCCGGGGCAGCTTCTCGCTGACGTCAGCAGCCCGGTTTGTGCTGACGTCAGCGGAAGGGGCCGGCTCAGCTGCGGTGGTTCCTGGAGCCCCCAGATCTTCGCCCTCGTCTAGGCCGACGACCTCGATGCCTGAGGCCGACTCAGAGCCGTCCTCGGTCGCTGTGGGCAAAAGAAAGTCCGTCGTCTTCTACAGGTCGTGAAATGGGAGTGCGCGAAGCGTTCACAAACAACAAAAACTTCTTTTTAAGAAATGAAAAAACAACGGCAGCCCTACGACTTCACGAAATAAAAGACCAGACGCTTCACTCTCCTTTGGGGAAGGCAAAAAGCCTTTCGAAAGGTGTGCTACCGTTATACAGGGGGCGATAGCCCCTTCACAGATTGCTTTGATGAGGCTGTCGTCCTCGTGACAACGGAGAGCGGAGAAGCTTGTCATTCCTACCAAAAGCAGGTAAGAGAGTCTTTTACTTCTCAATCCATGCAGAACAAACGCTTTGAATCTATGAAGCAGGCGCTGAGGACGGACATTGAACTTCTTACATCGTCGAAGTCGGTCCTTCACTAGGAGGCAGAGCTTTTCTCATTCCAGTCTGGTCGCTTGCGAAATGCTCTTACGTGATCAGAGGCTTTCCAAGCCGAACTCAAGCATACAACATAGTGACGCACGGACTCACCCAGGTAAGCGGGCGGATACCCGAGCTCTCTCATCCTGTGCAGCCAGGGAGGCGGGTCGTCCGGCTGCCAGAGAGGGAGGCAAAAAAAAACGTGTCAGCTTTGGCGCCGAACTGACCAGAGAGGCCCGTTGCAAAACGTGTCAAGCCTAGATTGTGCTGAAATCATTGAGCTCTCACGGGTTGCTTCGTTCCAGAACTCTGAGGTGGCTCGTCAGCAGTCGACCTGTCTCCCATCTTCTTTCAACCGTGATCGCCTCAATGTGCAGGTTTCGAGATTGGCAAATATACGCAGGCTTGGACATGGCGACTTGAAGTGGTTGACTACGAAGTCTCAAATGCAATCAAATTGACGATGCAGCACGTTCAGGTCACGAGAATAGTCCTGACCTGAATTCCCAAGGCCTCACGGAGGGGGCCTGTCAACTGGCCTGGCTTGAGGTCATCGTACCGCCCCCCTTCAAAGTAGCGCCGCTGAGAAGACTCGCCCGGCCGGATCCCCCTCATGGCCTGAAACTCGTCTCTGGCAGCATTAAAAGCTGCAATGAAGGACCAGCAAGGTGATGCAAGCACGTGAGAATGTTTATGACCAAGTAGGAGGCACGTCCCTTCCTCTGGGGCCCCAACTGAGCATTTGCGCACTATGCTCGACATGAGGTCGTGGCCGAGGGACGTTCCCAGACTCAAAATCTTTAGGTTCTGTCGGTTTTACGGCTTGTAATTGAAGCACGGGAGCCACTTATAAATGATGCTGCCATTGTTTTCACGAATTGCATAGGCCACGCTATTTTTCACCTCTGTACAGGAACTCATGATTCCTGCAGCAAAGAGACGCGCCCTAATTAACCTGGGGGATCCACCAGCAAACCCGTGTCTCCCCCAACACAACAAAAACAATAATGGCAGCTCACACACTCTAGCCTAAGTGTCACGGATGAATTACTGTCACCACCCATCGATCCGTATGCCTCCCTTCTCAATGTCTCTCCAACCTTTTACGACAAGTAAAGCCAGTACATACTCACTTGACCCATACTGCTAGGACCACTCCTCACCTTGCTGATCCCTTGGTTTCGGACAGTCCCTCGCAGCGTGCGTATACGACCCACAGTTCCAGCACCTGGGGGCGTCTTTCTCGATCCAAAGATAAACGCCATCCCCAGCCCCGTTTTCCCGCTCGCTCTCTGAGTCAAGGGGGGCGTTTGTTCCACGGTCGTATTGGGGCACTTCACTCTCTTGCTCATACTGGATGTTGAACTCCTTTCTGAAGGCTTCTGGCTCAGCTGAAAGGGACTCCTGGGGGAGACGAGGCTTGTCGACCCAGAAAAAGGAGTTGCTGCTGTCGTCAGGAGGAAAGTAAACGACGGTGCCGCTCTCGGTTGCGGTGTTGGAGGGGGGCTGGCAAGCACAAAAAATGACAAGCATTTTATAGTTGCCCAAGCATAGGTTCTGTACCCCAAGTTATTTGGACACAGCTTTGAGTTCATCCCTGGAGGCAGCTACTATGCAAACCTTATGAGGATTGCCTGAAACAGTTGACTAGTTTCCTTTCCTCTGGTTCAGTCAAGCCATTGACTTGGAAGGTTGAAATTTTGCAGCTTCGCAAGACGAGTCTGCGGGTGCAGATTCCATCAAGCTGTCAAGTGAATGGACCTCAGAGCCCCAAAGGTTCTCCAAGAGGATGCCTCGATCGACTTAGCTTCTAACCAACATGAAAACCCACTGGTAAAAGGTTCAAGCCTGTTTCAACGTATGTTTATGAGTTGACGAATGCCTGAAAGAGACAGGGGCGCCAAACTGATTGCTTTGAAAGTTACCTGATTTTGAGCATGCCACTGCGCCCAATACTTCAGCAGCTCCGTCAACTTCGCCTTGCTCTCCCTGCGGCAAACATCCCCACGTATCACTTGTTGGGGGGCCTTTTCGTGACCTGTCCCCACCATGTATTTAGCATTCCGCTCCAGAGTTCGGTAAGAGTCGAATAAAGTATCTGCAAAGATTAGAAAGGTAACTAAGCTATCTGCAAAGATTGATCAAGTTACCTGCTCAACCGCTCATATGTGACCTGAACCAATGGACCTGACCCTGTTATCTCAACTGGAGCGCTTCGCCTTCTCTTCGCCGGCCTGATTGCACCCAACCGCACTGCTGTAATCTCAGTCAAGGATTGCGCTTATGCACTTACCACATGATTTTGGCACGGAAAGAGAGAATAAACATCTTTCAGCAATCAAGTATCTTTCCTGAAAGCAAGAACTCAGATGAGCACAGCAAGATAGCGTAGATTGCACGGATACTGGTGGCATCGTCAGTAGACTCCAGCTCCCCTTCCTCCCGCCCTCGTTTCTGACCAGAAGAAAGGCCGTTAGCTTCTGCATGATCACCAATTGGAGATGCGGCGCATATCGCTTCTTTCAAAGCTGCGGCCGTCATTTGCATCCGTGAGATGGCATCAGCAACGAAGCGCTCTTTGCTGCTGTTTACCAATTTGAAGCTACCTACTTTAGTGCCAGAAGGATCCGTAGGTGGGGAATGCAGCAGCCATCCCAGCGTCAGTAGGAGGGGTTGCTGCTCAGAAAGTTTCAGCTCTCCAGCTGTCTGTTCTTGGTTGAATTTACGAACTGTCGATCAATGCCATGCAACCTCACTTGCCATGCTTATCACGTGGGCCGGTTTTGTCTCCTCACCAAGTTAAGTTATGGGGTATTATATGCCGTGCGGTTCCAAACTTGCAATGTTGCCAATGCTGAATTATGCATCTCTGTTCTCTGCTTTCAATGGCTATCTGATAGGCTGATCAGTGTTTGACTTCAGAGCGGCCAGGAGAGGCTAGGGCCTTGGAGCGTCTCACGATCATGGCGCAGTGCCGAGTCAGCACCATCAGACCTCACATTGCTGCACCACCACCCCCCCATCAAGCCGCTTTTGCAGACACGCAGCGCCAGAGACTTTCGCTGCAAGCGCATACTTCTTGGCTTCAGTGGGCAGCAATTAGACATGTCCTGGGTGGACGGAGACGGTGCATAAAACTTGGGGGACGCAGGTGGCTAGATTGCAGGCAGTTGGATGGTGGAAGTAAAGAAGCGCAGAGGCAATTTTCCACTTTGCAGGGGCCTAGGAATGTGCGAGCATGCGCGGTCAGAGTTGACGCTCTCTGTGAGAGCAGTCTGCCGTCAGAAGTGCCCGATGGTGGTGGTGTCAAAGTTGCAAACCTGGAGGAACAGGTGCTCAACAAAGCGGCTGACAGTGAGCCTTCTTTGCACAAGAGAAGGAGTGTGCAAGCTGAGAGATCAATTGATATTGTATCAAGTAGCCTTCCAGCAGATGTGCTTGATGCAATCAGGCGGCATGATCCAGCGGTGGTTATTGAGGATGCAGACAACGTCCTAGTCATGGAATGTTGGAGGATGCGCAAGCAACAAAGTAGCAAGGAGGCCAATGACCTGGGGGACTCGACAGTGGCCCTGGTTGGTGTCAGGACCCTCCAGTAAGCCCCAAACAAGGAATACTGCTCATGATGTTTCAATCATTCTCTTTGGATAAAAATGTGCGGCGCGGGCTGCTTAGTCTGAGTCAGCTCAAAGGCCGTCCTGATCCTAAAGCCGCAAATCAAAACTGCGCACCCACCTGCTATGATCCTGTATTTGCATGTTTTCTTCACTTGGTTCTGGATGTATTGATAATACACTGCACGTAGTGTCACTCTTCAGAAGTCCCTTTGCAAAACGAACGATGCTGTCTTCCCAAATATAGAATCCCTGTACCAAGGACTGGGGCCTAACTTAATCATGGGGATGAGTTTGATTGAAGGGATTGAAGTCATGTCCTCCCTCTCGCAATAACACTTTGATTTTGATTGGAGCATCCGCCACCTTCTACGTGCGCTCCCCTTACTGCCACATTAGCAAACTATCTGCAATTGAGAAACTCTCGAAAGGAAATTTTGCAAATACTTTCATGTCTCGAGATTGTTCTTCCACTGCAGGCACCACTGCAAAGCTACTGCAGGGCAACCTTCAGAACCTCCGATTGAGCTCTTGTTCGTCACCAAAGGCACCATCGTGCCTGAGGACGTCAGAGCGAAGCACGTTTTCGTGACGAGCCCTACAGCCATGCGCAAGCTGGCTGGCCTGCAGGTGGTTTCCGGTGCGCAGTTTGTGAATGTCATTGAAGTGCAAAAACAACGAGAGCTTTTTTTTTTTTTTTTTTGCCGCTTGAGTTCAAGGGAGCGCAACTTTGTTGCTTTCGAGGTTGCACGTTTAATGAGATAAGCACAATAATAGTGCTGCCCTGACTCTTGGATTTATTTTAATCACAGAAAGGTCTTTCCAGAATGCGAGTTTAAATTGTTGTAACAATAGATGTCTGAGGGCATCTTGGAAGAAGATGCTCAAAGCATTCTTCGCTGCAACCTTTGTCATTATTGGCAAGAGCTGAGTTTTCATCGACATTTGTGCTTTGAGCCAGACGTTCCCGGTATCTTTGCACAATTGCAGACATCGAAGAAGAGCATCAGACGTCCGAAAAGAATCTATGTCGTCTATCAAGTGTTTGAACTTCAAATCTTGCTCATTTCGTATTAAAGCGTAATGACCGATGGCTTCATCAGCTCTTGTCGAGGAAGAAATCTTTTCTCAGCAATTGTGGATAGTCCGTACCTTGACATCCGCAGATCAACGTTCTTTATTTTTGACGATCCTGAGCTGCTGTTCGGCTAATCGAAGGATTCTGACAAAAGAATAATATGCCGTCAAAGAAGGGCATTCCGATAGATGGTGAAGACTGGACATTTTCGTTCTTCGTCACCAGGAGACGAGATGGTAGGGTTTGTAGCACGGGAGAACGTCATCAGGTCCCTGAGCAGCGGTGACGACAAGGAGTCTGACGTCTGGCTTCCAGACGCAGAGCGGGTTTTAGTCCTGGACGCGATTGAGGTACGCACTTCCTTAAAAGAGCGGGGGTTTCTGTTATCTGGCAGCTCTTTCGGAGGCACGCCGAGCAGAAGTGCAGGAACTTGGCAGCTTGAGAAGTGCTGTGCAGGTCTGTTCATATATCATGAGCCGTTCTCGGTTCTAGAGCATACGAACTTCAGCCGGAATTGAAATCTAGACATGCTCACCCAACAAAGAGATAACCCGACGCTTGAGGGCCATGAAACCTGTTGCGATCCGAGAGCACCTTATTGAAGAGCCAACGCATCTGGCCATGCACTCCGCTGCTTTGTTCGGGGAGATTGGCCGGCGCAGGATTCTGTACTTGCACCTTCTCATCCCCCCTTATCCTCCTTATCGTTAGAGTTCTCAACGAAGCTAATCTTCTACAAAAGTCGATGCCTACCACTCTCTTTTCTACACCGTCCGCACTTGAAATGAAGCGTGGTTTGTGACATCAAAACAGACGACCTCGTCCGTTGTCAGAAAGAAACGCTGACTGACACCAGCAGACGCGACGGATTTCACAGAAGCACGAAGTTCTCACGCTCCAGACGTGTCCTCTGCAGGATCCTGGCAACATGGGCGCTCTGCTTCGGAGTGCGTCCGCCTTTGGCTGGGTAAGTCCGAGACCCCTCATTCCCCCCAACGTCTGCGACGTGGCTCCGATGCAATCTCTTTCCTGTTGTGGGCCGTTTCTCATCGTGTCCCTGTGCTGTGAGAAGCCGTCTCTGTCCTCGGGGCCCCGGCCGTTTGTCGGAAGGTCTCTCACTCTCAAGGGATAGATGACCAAGTCTCCTAGGCTCTCGCACCCCAAAACGGTTGTCCAGGTGTCACAATGATGCTGAAGTTTCCGACCGGTTTAAATCCTGGATCGTTTCTGAACTTCAATCCCGGTTTTAACGACTCGAGCTCTTTTGGAGTTGTTCAGCTGCCACAGCACCTCTCCCGTACGGCTTATGGTCGTCTATTGTAACTTGGTTTACCCTTTGCCTCTCGACTGGAAAGTAGCCTTTACGTCGCCAAGTCCTGTGAGACGTCAGCACATCCTCGAAAGCAAACGGTAAAACTCACCCCCCGCTTATTCAAAACTGATTTCGACAGCGTACCATCCTGCACGCAGCAACAGATGTTTCATTTCTCGGATCCAGAAAGGCCACGAGCATCAGTGAGCACTTTCATTCTGCATACAGGACTCGGTCGTTCTGCTGCCGGGCTGCTGCAATCCGCTGATGAAAAGGGCCTCCATTGCCAGCCGCGGGGCGCATTTACACCTGCCGATGGCGCAGGCTTCCGTCAACCAGCTTCGAGCTTCTGCTCGGGCACATGACATGCAGCTCATATGTGCATGCGCTGCTGACTTTACTTCCCAAAGTTGTGAGGGTACAGTTTCTTGGGATGCACAACAACAAGCGTTGTGGAAAGAGGTAGCGGTTATACGAGAAAGGAAGCAAAGAATCTGCTTGGTACTAGGGAATGAAAGGTCAGGGATAAGCGACGAAGTCAAACGGATATGTGACAAGCGGATATGCATACCGATGGTCGGCAATATGGAATCATTGAACGTGAGCGTTGCTGGCGGGATACTGCTTTATCTTCTGGCAAACGGTTGACAATAATTTTGGCTCGATCGATTTGATATTATCAGACACACAGAGCAAAGTTGGCACGCATCATGACATGTGAATTGCGTAACGTGCAGTAGCTCGAACATGTCGATCCTTAACACACAATTCAGATCGTCACTTGTGATCGAACCTCATGCATGATAATTTGCCAGGTCGACGTCGATCCTTATTTAATTTCTTCTGACCCCTATTACTACTTACCCGTCCAGTCACCGTTCACTGGGCTAAAACAATTCCCCCTGAACCGATTTGGGATAAACATGATGCAATGATTGCGTTGTGATCGAATCCTAAAGATTCGCGATCACGTGCAACTCGACCGGATGCTGTACGCCGATCGTCACGTTTGATATAGGACTACTGCTTAGTCTTGCCAGTCGATGCTGATCGGATTGTTCACGTACACATGGATTACCCCGTGAATCTAATGTCGGACGCGATTAGAAGCATCATGATGTGCGCTTACACACAGTTAAGATTGGGTTGATATAAGCGGGTTGATACCCAAGCTCAACTTTGTTCAGGCCTAACACTCGGGTCAATCACCAATCAATCTACCAGCTCTGTACAGTAACGCAATCCTTATGGCATCCTAGGCTAGACCAGCTATTTGACCATGTCATAAGCCCTGACGTGCTACGTACTCTTTTGACCCCGTCGGTTGCGACAGTCGCTGTATTGCAGTACGGTATCATCCTACCAGCTCTTTATCCACTTCTATTGATACACTTACTAAACGTCGCTCTGCACGACCCAAAGACTGATCATGCTGTTTTAAGTGGCTTGGAGTGGATCAGCATACTTTAAGCGGTATAACACCTTCTGATAACCTAGACTCAGCAAACCCCTAACCGAGAGACACATGCAACCAAACCTAAGGGATACTTTTCGCATCCTGGTCGCTCGAAATGGAGAACGCTCCGGCGCCCCCAGTGCTCAGGCTCGAGCTCTGTTGCCCCGAGGAGAGCCCCGCTGAAGTATCGGGATCGGAGGACGCCAACGAGGAGATTGTATAGAGGGTCGGGGGGCGCCTCGGAAGGCGGGGCACCTCCATCCGTCCCATGAGCATGTCCGCGCACTGCCGCATGCTGGGCCGGACGCTGGCCGCCGTGTGGACGCACAGCAGAGCAATCTGGAGAGCAAAGAAGGGGTCAGGAAGATTGATTGCACTAGAAAGCGGAGTCGAACGGCAAGAAACAGGGACGGAAGCGAACCTTTTAGGTTGGTGAGCAACCAATCCGCCATATGGTTCTGGTGCCCTCGATCTGCGCGCACTTCCTGATCGGGGCGGGCCCCGCCTCTCTTTCTCGATTGGGAATGTGAAAGCTATTGCATAGAAGTGATCAATAAACCGGCACGTGATTCACAGCCTTGTGAAAGTTGCGTTGAATCGAGTCGGCGGAGTGATACGAAGGTGCAGAACGCTGGCCCAATCGAAAACGAACCGAGGATGCGACGGGCCCGCCTTCGCTGTTCTCAGTAACACCAGAACAAGGCAGTCTTCGTCAAAGCAAGGAGGCCGAGCCGATCGGAAAGACAGAGATACTTACAACAAGAGGACACTTGAATTGGTAGGAATCAATCTTGAATGACGTCGGATGCTGGTGGTATACGAACCGTCAATTATACTACAGGCGCCCGTGAACACTTTGCCTAGAACAACCATAGGGCGACTGCAAAGGTCGCAGTATTGCTTCCAGATTGCCGAGTACTCAAGTTGCTGTTGGTGATCTGAAAGCACCGGGGCCTGCTTCAAGATGGACGCCGGCCGAAAGTTCGTAATACAACGCCGTTCTGAGGACTCGGAACATTCCGAGACCCCTGACGAACCCCGACACCAAAATACTCTTCCTCGCAGCTCATATTGGAAGCGGCGAAGAACTCTACCACCTGACCTCGTTTGCAGCGACAGAGGTCATAAATCTGTTTTCATGGCGCTGTGAAGCCGCTATAGCTTGGTAATTGTGCGTCAGGGGACTTATCATTTTCAGTGACAGAAACGGGGGTATGCGTAGGTACGTGGGCGCCATTCTTCAGTGCGACATGATCAAATCTCCTCGCGACCGTGACCGCGAAACCCCTTCTTGACGTCGCCGGCCCATCCCTTTCCCGCCGCCCTATGGAGAGCTGAAGTACGCCCTGACGTACTCTGAGAATCAAGAAAAAGGCGACTTCTCACCTTGGTCATGCGCTCCATGTTCGCCGCGTACTCGTGCCGCTCCCCTTCGAGCCGCGGGTCGATCAGCTGCTCTAGCTCGTTCCGTTCCGCTAAGGACCACGCCCATTCTGGTAGGTGGATCTGACGGAATGATGACAAGGACGATATAAGGTTTTCAGATTTAGATCAACCTCTGTTGGGCTTGCAGAATTGTGCTTCTTTTTGAGACGAAAGGCAACCAACGAGGAAGCGATGGCGGGTTCTTGCTTGAAAGACTCTCTGAAAAACCGTGCACCTTATTAACGTTGTGGCAGCCTGCGACTTCGAAGCGGTGGAATTTTTAAGGTACGAGACGAACTAATGCTGTTGAACGACCAGGCTTTTAGCAGGGCAACACGATTCCGATCTGGTTGACAAGGTTGACGGCGAAGGTCCACCAGTGCCGTGGTATCCGCCTGAATGGACCGCGGATTGCGGAAGCATTTCCGCAACCGTCCCCCTTCGCAGCTGTTGTCAAACAGAGTGGAGGTAATCAAATGAACATCTGGTCAAAGAGGATTGTGAATACCAGGCGCCCAGCTATGCCTTGCCAGCGTCAGTCCTTGGCTCAAGAACTAGAGCGGAGAGAGTGCCGTTTTGAGCGCTTACTTGCTCTTCTGGTGCGTTCGGTTGGGTGGGCCGTCTCCCAGCCACGAGGCAGAGCAGCACCACTCCGAAGCTGTACACGTCACTCTTCTCGGTGGCCATGTACTCGGGGCTCAGGTAGCCCCACGTGCCGGCGATCGCTGCGGGCAACGGAGCAAGGATTGAGATTCATAAGAGCTTTTCATTAATGAGAAAGAAGTCTATCGGGCTGACGAACGAGTGATCAGGCGGATGAGATGGAATCCAGGTGAGCTGAAGCAGGACTCGCTTAACCCGTTCCAGCATCGACACGAGGAAACTCGAGGCAACTTAGTGAGAGGAGTGCTCGACGGATTGTGAAGCTCAGGAAGATGTCGAAAGTGCCAGAATCTGCCGGTATGTGTCTTGAAGAACCAAGCACAAAGGAGAAAGACAAGATTTACTGAGTATCTACTTTCGTGGAACTTCTTGTAGTGAATCCGCCGAGAAGCGAGTCCTAAACCCTTGCCAAGGACAAGCCACCCACCTGTGGTGACGTGTGTGTCCTGTGGGTCCGTCCGCCTTGCAAGGCCAAAGTCGGCTAGCTTCGCTTCGAAGTCGTTTGTTAGCAGGATATTGCTTAACTTCACGTCGCGGTGAATACACCGCGGCTTGCACTCCTGAGGAGACAATTTGTAGCTTTTACCGTCGGACCGTTGTTGGATCAAAGGAAAAGCATTTGCTGTAGGACCCGCAAACAAATGCTCAGGTGAAACTTAGAAATGACTGAGAGCAGAGAATCTGACATGGTATCATGTTCTGCTTGCAAACATTTGTATAGCTTCAAACCACTTCTCGAAAAAGGATGCAATGAAAGAACGAAGCCAATACACCCTCATTAAGGAGTGTGATCGGTAAGAGTCAATGTCAGCGGACAGTGAGGCGGGCCACCCGGCCTCGAAACTCCAAAACATAAGCTCAACCTCACGACGTATCAGCAGATTGTTCACTTCTCCTGAAACGTCTTTTACCTTCCTCAATACGTTCAAAAGTTCGAAAGGTACCAGCCTCTCCCGACAATGAAAATCGACTCACCTCGTGCAGGTAGGCAAGCCCCTTGGCCGTCCCTAGGGCGATCTTCTCGCGGGTGGGCCAATCCAAGAAGTGAGCGCGCACACTGTGCTCAGCGGTGCGGCCAACCGGGGCTGCCGGGCACAGGTGGTCGTCGACGCTGCCTTGCTCCAGAAACTCGTAGACCAGGCTGCAATAAGAAGAAAATTTGATGGTCCAGGAACTGCCTCCGGGTTGTTCTCTCGTCTATAGACATGCCGAATACCGCTGAAAGACTGCAAAGGCGAGCATTGCAAGGTGTTGTTGGACTATGACGGATACGAGGGGATGCGGCTGACGTTGTGAGGATGAGAAGTAAGAACGACACGAGGAGATTCGAAAGAGATCTGACGTCGGTATTTCTACGAGCCACCAAACGTGACCACCAAAAAGCGGGTAGGAATTACGACTTTGTTAACGAGCTGAAAAAGCGGGAATGTGGGGGCGCGAAGCCAGACAGTTTTGCTGGTTGCAACTATACAGATCAATTGATACAGTGGCAGAAGGAGTGCCAATCTTACAAGGAGTGCGATCCGGAGATGCAGCAGCCCTTGAGAACCACCAGATGACGGTGCCGATACTGGGCCAGGGTCGCAATTTCGTTCCATGCTTCCTGCAGTAAGCACAGGTAGGAATCAAGCACTATCGAACCAGCTAGTGGCCAACGAGTGCCCTTCGACCAGATTGGAAATGGTTCATCTGGTTCAATGCGTTCTACATGGACGGGACATAGACTGTTCTCGACCCCGTGCAGGGACGAGTTGTGCTACTGCAAGGAGACGACCTGTCAAGAAGAAGTTGAACAGCCACGAAGCGTCAACGTTCACGGAAGGACTGAAGAAGGGGAGGAAGCCAGCCGATTGATAAGGATGCGATAGCAAAGACATTGGTTTGAGCAGACGATGAAATGATCGAACTTACACCTTAAAGCTGCACCTGCTCAAGCAGGACAAGTTGCAACTTTCTTCCGTTTCTGGCTATCCTGCAACCACCCCCATGAGCTAGTGGCTTCGCATCCTCAGCTGCCAAGCCGGCTTCACCAAAAAACGCCTCTTAAACGAATAATTGCCATCCACAGCCCTGCAGGACGCTTCTAAGCATTGAAACCAAGCCAGTCGAGAAATAAAACGAGCTTTGAAGACGACGTTTGCGTCCTCTCGTTTCAGAAGCTTTTAACTCAACCTTTTGTAGAGCTGGCCTCGCACGCGTCTTACCTTGGCTCCGTTCTTGTTGGACCCAAACGTGGCGTCCTTCACCGCAACCACTTCCCCGTTCAGTTCTCCGACGTACACTTTCCCGGAGCCCCCGACGCCCACCAAACGGCTCTCGCTGAAGTCCTGGGTCGCTTTGCTCAACTGCTTTTTGGTGAAGACTTGCAGGCGCGATCCAACAAATTTTTGGCGCAGCGACGACAGGCGGCCGAGCGTCTTCGTCCGAGCATCCCACTTGCCCTTGTACAGCGGATAACGCCTCCAGAGGAAGAAGGCAGCACCCGCTAGTACCACAAGAAGCACAACCGCAGTACTAAGCCCGGCTATGAGCATAATGTTGGACGGACTTTCGCCCAGGGGCAAAATTGTGACCTCTATCCCCGGGGGCAACTGGTATCGACAATTTGCTAGCTCGGGGGCTAACTCAAGTCTGGCCACCCACTGGTAATACTGGTGCACGGCCAGCTGTTGACACGCTTTGAGGTACTCAGAATCGGTGTTAATTGCGAGCTCGGTTCCAACGTCGAGGAGCGTTTGCGCGCAATGGCGGCAGTTGTCTGGTGACGCTTGTGTGCAATTGCCAGCAAAGTAGTCAAAGTAGCGGACGGGAATTTGCTGTTGGAGCGTGGTGTAATTGTAGCAACCGATGTTCAGGAGACCGCTCGCCGCTGTCACGTCGCAAATCCCTGACCCTGACCACGGTATGTAGATCACTTTAGCTTCGAGGGCGGCCATATACTCCAAGAAGCAGATTTCCGCCTGGCCCTGCAAAAAAGAACAAATTGACTATAATCAGAACCCCTTGTAAGGGTGGCTGTACCAACGATGTCTGGATAGAACTAGACGTTGGCCTGCCCCTGAGCTGGAGGAAAAACAATTCAACCAAACAGATGATCGCAGACTCTTCGCAGACCGGTTTCGATCGGCTACAACAAGGGGTGCATGTTGCAGAGAGCCGTACCAAAAAGATTTGGTAGCCAACAAGAAGACCGTGCGGAAAACTTATATTGAGAAAATGTCCGGTACATCTGACATCTTTCGGCAGAGAAGCCTCTCCAAAAAAGATGATAAAAAATGAGACCTTCACGTTTTAGACCACTGTCTGGTGGTATAAAACCTCGTAGTCATGTTATGGTACGTAGCAGTACTCAAAGTAAATGGTGTCTTATTGACATGTGGAAAGGATGGAAGCCCCATCAATCTGACAAGCCCACCTGCAATCTTAAGCAATCTCGTGCATAGGTGAGTTGGGAGCCAATAAGTCAGATCCTAATGTCAGACAATGCCCACAACGCTTGTGCATGTAGCCGCTTGACAAGGGCCAGTCGCAAACCCTCCGATTGCTCTTGACATCCGTGCAAAGGTCGTCTCACCTGGTCCAAAACATGATTCGTCTTATTTATGCTGGCTGCCAGCATCATTTGGTACTGTCCGGCTATCAGATTACAACAATCAGTTCCAGACTCCCCCGGCCCAGTGCAGCTGTAAAGCATCGACGTCCAGTTTTGCCTCGACCAATCGTAGGCCGTGCACTTGGGTGCTTGAGGGATGGGTGCAATGTCCACGGTGTATAGGCACCGAGCGATGCCGTTTGCGATGTCGAGGGGGTAAGCGGCCGCGGTCATTGCGACTCGGGCGAGATCTGCAGGAAATGAGAATGTACAAAACTTTTCACGCATGCTTCCGGTGGTTCTAACAAGCCAGTCTCCTCTCGGCGCAGGTGTGTGCTGCTGGACAGAAGCATGTTTCTCAAGTGGATAGCCAGCACAATGATGAGGATCCGCCGCATAGATCATCATTTCGGATTCAAATACCAGGAAAATTGCACACAGATCTGAATCATTTTCATCAGGCGCAAGGAATCTAGTGGTCATTTTAAGAATACAAGCCCAGTGCAAATGAGCTGCAGATCTATCAGATGGGAGGACTGTGCATCAACTTTGGAGGCAAGGCCCTTCGCCTGTCACACGCATTGGTGGTATACAGCCATCTATTTGCTTTCAGTTTCCAATCGCTATTGCCAGCATGGAGGGGCACGTACCGGCTCAATGCATCCCTCGTTGTGAATGCGTTCTGCGAACTCAAAATCGCCTTGTTCCATTTCCGCGCATAGGATAAAAAGAATTCTCTGTTTCGAATCTTAGCAACCGACATCTTCTGCAAGAAGCAATCTACGCACTCATGGAGCTTACCTTGACATGACGCCGTCGCTAACAAACTAGTGGTGCTGCTGCTTAGTGACATAGTCTTGTCTGCGATGAGGGCAGTGCAAAGACCGCAGTCTACATTCGCCCCAAAGCAACTGCTCCCCACCGTTCCTGCAAGTATGAGCACTTGGAGGTGCTTCAGGATACACAGCGACACAATAAAGCAATGTTTTTGACGCTTCGTCTTGCCCGCAGCTGCCAGTAGGACTACAAAATTCTTGAAGTTTGATGAAGCCCTTTCTAGCCTGACTCCCACAGATATCTTTTGAGTAGATGCAAACTTCGAAACACTTGAGATGGGTAAACTATTTCCAGCGTATTCAGCCTGTCCTCACTGGCATCCTCTCTTAGTGTCTGAGACAAGAATAACACCGCCTTGGCAAGATGAATTGCAAACTCTGTCCTTCACTAGGCACAAAATTGGCAAGCAGAAGACACACCTCCGAGCTTGGCAGGCTTCACAAATATCAGTCATGGCAGCGCTGACATACCTGGGAAGGTCCGATTCGATGCTGACCAGAAACCGTACACAGTTGTGAGATCATCTCCACATGCTTTCCCCGTGTCCTCTGAGAGTATATCGCTCGTACTTTCGCACTTGCCAACGGCAGGCAGCTCAGCAGCTGCTGCCGAACTGTTCAAATTCTGCAAAGAGAGCCGCTTAGGAATCAGTGCACAGAAAGTTTTGCGCCGAGTGAGATGCCGGTTTTGTCTTTCGGGACTGCTCATCTTTATCATGGGCTTTGTGATTCGAATCATGGGCTACCAATTTGAACCCTGACCTGGAATGCACTCCCACAGATACTGGAATGACTCAAAGAACCCCTGCTCTCCCCGTCAACCTAGACCCTGAGCCTAAGGAGCGCAACTATGTGGCATCAGAACCGTGCAACTAAAACGTAAACGAGCCAGTATGCAACCAGTAGTCGAGTGAGATCAATACCTGGATACAAGCATCGGCAGATGCCTGAGGCAGCAAAAGGCGCCCAGTCTCATTGGCATACCGCACTCGGGCCTTCCAAAGGACTGCCTTCATTTGATCGCAGCAGGTGGTACTTGAGGGACTGGCAGTTGTGACAGCTGTGCCTAGAAGGCCCACGACAGCATTGCCTGACAGCCGAGGAGCGAGCCAATGTCAGCTTCAGGAGTATTAGTTGGCACAGAAGCCTGTCACTGCAATTCTTTCAGAATTGAACGAATCCACCTCTCTATACAGTAAAATTAAGTTTTTTGAGGAGGTGTGCGGGTGAGACCAAGGCAACCCTCAAACTTGAAATGCTCAATGTGGAAATCTCCATTGAGCAATCAGCATTTCCTATTCTCAGACTCTAAACAAAAAAGCTCAAAAACGCTTGCTTGCCATCCAGACTGTAGTCACATGGACGTGCATGACCTCATGTCACATGTTAGAGCATGACTTAGTCAATTACCGCGGAGGATTTGAATTTCAAAGTTTGAAAGAGGAACTATTCGAAACCACTAATAGCAGAGTTAGGCAATCTGAACACGACTTCCAGCTCACTTGTGGAGCATGCAGTCAGCTTTGCGTACTGGATGTCTGCCTGCAAAAAGACCAGGGGACATTCTCCAGGGGAGATGGGTGGAGGAAGAGGAGCCCCAGGTCTAGGCGCAGTTTCCACATAGTCTGCTCCGCTGTGCTCAATAGATACCAGCAGCAGTAAGCTAATAGCGAAGCCAACAAAGGTCCACCTGTGGCAAAAGGCTTCATTTAGCCTCTGCAACATGCTGCCTAAATGATGGGAGCTAGAGGCTCCACAGGATTGTTCAAGCCATCGGGGCGGTACTGCCCTGTACTGGCGTGCACGTGGACACTCTAAACTTCATGAAGAAGGCATCAAAGCCGTGCTCCTTACGACCGTATAGGTGTTGCTTCATGATGAAAAATATGTCCAAGATCCGTCCAATTCAGCTTTTCTCTTCAGTAATCTTGAAGGCTCAAGCAGCATCCATCTGTGGCCCGCTGCGGCGTCGGTAACATGCTCTGGTGGACTACGGTTATCTTTGGAACTGTGGCGTCATGAACTCAACAAGGCTCTTCTTCCTAATTGTTAGGACTTTTGGAGGGCGCACCAGCAAGAGGTCCAGCTAATGAGCAATTCTTGGTTGCACAATGCGTACTTTCTGCGTCCATCACAAAGCTGATGCCCCATGGGCCATATGGCGGCTGCTGGAGCTGCCTTCAACTTTCCGAATCTGCATTATGGCGGCCGCGGCTCCTTCCAATGCGGCATGAGATGCATTATGCACGAACTAGGATAGGTAGCTCAGGCCCTGCCGGGGCCTGCAGGCCCGCAGGGCCTGGCCGGGCCCTGTAGGCTTAGGTGCCCGGCGCCGCCGGGCCCACCGCCCGCGGCGGGCCGCGCCCGGGCGTCGCGTGTCAAATATGCCAGTGGCGCGGGGCCGCAGCACCGCGGCCGCCAGCTGCTGTAAGCACGCTTATTCGAAAAAGCTGATTACTCAAGCTGATCCAACCCGCTCACGATTGGTTCACCCAACCGGCCGTCTGCTACCAGTAACTCGCAACGCAACTCACTTCTAGGTAACAGCCCAACTAGTCTACTTGTTGTCTCTCAATCACGTTCTTCGGTCACTCCGCCCGTTGACGGCCAATCCTCTCATGCCATGTCAGGTGCGGTGCCGTTGACATACGTCATGAACTTGTCATACACCAGCTGCCCGATCGGGGCGCACAGGTTCCGGCTCTCCGTGATCGCCGCCTGGAAATGCACCCCCCCCTGCAGCCGGCTTTGGCCACATGCCGCCGCCCAGTCGCTCCACGTGGCCCAGCTCAGCGTGAGGTTCTGCCCGGGGGTGATCCCCGGCTCGACGGCGGAAGAACCGGCGGGTTTTGCGTACGGCGTCCCCAGCGCGTCGGAGCCGTAGAACGCGCGCGCGCTCGCGGCGACGGCCGCGCAGAAGCACGCGGAGCCGGAGGTGTAGTCGGAGTGGGCCTGCGTGCGCAGGTACGACTGCCACTCGGACCCGTTCACCTGCAAAGGTCAAGTCGTATTTTTGATTTGGAGCGTGTCTTGGTAAGAAAAGACAGCATGAACCGTGAGCGTTGGCGCCAGAACGCAGAGGCCACTCGGACCCGTTCAACTAGTGCAAAAGGTCAAGTCTTACTCTCGATTTGGACCAGCGAGTCTTCGGAAAAAAGACAGCATGAACCGTGAGGTTTGGCGCCAGAGCGCAGAGGCAACTGCCACTCGTACCCGTTCACCTGCGAACAGCAAGCAAACTGGTTTTGGTTGAAGCTTGGATAGACCAGTGAAACGCGGGCGCGCGCCAGATTGTCTCCTTGAATGGGCACAAAATATCAGAGATCGGACACGTTTGACTCATATGGAAAGCAAAAGGTTTCGAAGTTGCGGCCAGAGTGAGATAAGTACGTGGGCGGCTTCGCTCCGAAGCACGGACAGCACGACTGGAATTTGGACCCGTCCGTTTTGACTAGCAACCCGGAGCGTGTGCGAGATTGCGGCCATCTGAATGTATGTAGTGAGACGTGGATTGAAGTTTCACCCGGATCCGATCAACTCGCTAATGGCAAGAAAACGACGTGTAAGAGTCGTCGAGGGGTAACAGAAGGCGGGTGCGCCTTCTCTCTAAAGCGCGAACACGAAAATAATTCGGGCCGATATGATCAGAGTTAGCAAACTCATGGTCGACCTCTGAGTTGCAGCAAAACAAGACTACGACGTTGACGGAAGAGATTCGAACAGGGGCTTGTTGCTTTGTGAAAGTCGGTGCCAGAAGATTCGATGCCAGGCCGATCTATGGAGCCGTTCCACAAAAGGGCTGTAGACCAATAACTTGCTTAGATAAAGGTTGTCTTTCTAACTGGCCAATGTATTTCTAGCTTGCATCGAAGAAGACACGAGCTCAGGTGATGACGGAACTTACCTGAGTAGGTCCAAGGCCCGGACCCCCCCAGGCAGTGACAAACTCGTTCTGGTACAGATACCTTATGGCGGTGGTCGGCCGTACGCTATCGTACTTGGTCTGCGAGAAGAAAGCAGCGCAAGTCTGAGACTTTATAGTTTGCTGAAGCTTTCAGGAGCTTTAAAAGAAGATCGTAGATGCAGAAAGAACTTTCAGCGTGCATTTGGAATCATGCAAGGAAGAAGTAAGGCTGGCAATGGCCGCTTGAACAGTCGACGTCATGGCAAGTGTGACGTGAGCACACAGCATAAGAATCCTGAGCGAGCTCTGATGGAAAAGAACAGAAACGTTTTCCCCTTTGCAATGCGGATGTCGAGGACCTCTTTCTCGAATCATTCCATTAAAAAACCGAAGGACCTGATTATTATCTCAGTCTGCTGTCGACTTCACCAAACGAATGCATCGGGATTCGCCCTCACCTTCTGGTACCAGACCGCGATTAAAGCATCCGTCAGCGTGAGGCCCGTTAGGGCTGTGATTTTGATGAAGTCGTCGAGGTTGTCCTTGCCATACTTGGGCCCCAGGTAGAGTACCGAGTCGAAGCCCAGGGAGAGCAGCTTGTTGTCGAAGTGCTCCACCGTCATCTTCTGGGCATCTGCATTCGACGTCGGCTGAAACTCATCAGAGTAAAGTCGAGCATTGGTGAAGAAAGGCGTCGAACAGGACCGTTCTTCAAATGGTGGCCCCACGTCAACGGGGCAGAATGCCTTAAGTCGGCTTCGCGTCGCAGCCAAAGCGCCTTGTTGTCAAAACAAACGACTTCAAGCATTCACAGGAAGGCTTGGCTGCAAACCAGGTTCGATAACCGGAATTCAGTCTGGTTCTTTGACCAATAACCGCGTCATAGCCATGTTGAAAACCTGGTTACTGCTCGGGTCTGGTCATTGGACAGTTAACCAGCTTCGAACCAGCCCGTAACCGAATGTGGTTAACCGCCAAAAAACCCTGTGATTAAAGTAAGCGAGATTGATAGACGGAGTTCCTTCAATGCACGTCAGTATACAGCAAGTCAGTTTCGAAGAACCATCTCCTTTCGTACTTCGGCACGGAGCGTCTTGGTTCCGAACCGGAGCCAAAACAGGAGTCTCCACCGGAGCCTTCATTCTCTCAAGTTTGCACGAGGAGAACCGGATTTCTTGCCGCAACGCCTTTTACAAAGTGGAAAGCTCCGGTTTGTCCGCCACTGTATACAAACGAGGGGTCCAGTCCGGTCAGCTTTGGGTCCAAGACGCCCAATGACTCATTTCCAACGGACCGCTGAGCGTAAATCTCACCAGTGAGGTTCCGGGAAGCCGCAAGGACTTCGTCAGCCTGATCCTTGTAAGCGGGGGCGCTCGCGTTTTGGCTGGCAACGGGCGGGGGGACCGAAAAATTGGACGCTCTGCTGTACGAAAAGGGCGTGACGTGGCCCCCCTGCGGAGTCAGGTGCTGCTGTTCGACGAAGAACCCGAGGCCGAAACGCGCGTCGACCAGAGGCTGCCACCTTAAGATGCAAAAGGAAGGGGGAGGAAACCTTGCAGTTTTTGCGCACGTACGAGTAAAGCCCGGTTCTTGATGCTGCCTACGGCCCGAATTAGCCGAGTGTCCGGACAGAGCGGTTTTGGCTTCTGATTCTGGTCCTTGATAAAGAGAGCCAGGAAGCAATCTTCAAAACGGCGAAGTACATTCAGAAATTCTCCGTCTGCTGTTCAACTCAGAACTTTTCGCGATCACGACCTCCTTGCAACCTCCCTCTGCACGATCCGGGTGGCCGTAACAGCTGTCTCAGGAATGTCACTGATGCGGACTGCTTATTTAGAACATCGATAGCAGGGTGACTTAATCTAATATCCGACCATGACCTGATGGACTTTAGTTGCAAACTAGGTACCTGGACTGTATAAAATCAGTTGATTGAAATGATTCCAACTCTTAGTTGAAAAGCGCTCCAATCAGGACGGCATCGGTTAATGTCTACGTCTGATGCGAACAAATTTTCTTGGTTGCTCTGACACGTACAAATGGCTCACCTCGTTGGGTCTTTTAGTTCGTGAGCCGTGTTCACGGGAACGTTTCCCGTGTAGTCTGAGTAGTTGCTGCGGAAACTGCCCACTTGGCCAGGAAGGGACCCCGCTTGGTTGAAGCCGTCCTGTAGCCTGGATAAAGTATCGGACACGCTTTTTGGTTCAGAGAGTATGCCGAAGCTTGTTGAAAATGAGCAGAAGCCCGAGCGACCACGTCTACCAGAGATTGGCGGTGAGCTGATCAGGACCGCGCTGATCGATTGTCGTTTGTCAATCGATATCAGCAATTTGTTGACTCCTTTCAATTCGTCAAAGGTGCTTAGGAAAGTTCAGAATGGACAATGTACCTGGGCGGCGGTTCCGCTTTATGAAGAGATGCCTAGAAAGTATCCATATTTCGTGCTTTTAAAACTTTTCTGGAGTTGAAGCTTCTCTCCTTGCTTTCAAACTGCACCATGGCCTTGCAAAAAAAGAAGTCCGCTTCATCGTAGACATATGGCACACTTCCTTTAAGATTATTTTTAGCAAAATTGGGCCAATACAATGACCCAGAAGAAACCATTCATATGCCAGGATATGTGATAATTACAGATGTGATCTGGCAAGCGACCAGCCTTTTCAGTGCGTCAGATTGAGAGGACCGTGTTTGCTGGAAGAGCTCACAAGTATGCTGTGACAGCAGCGGCCGCCAAGTTTCCCACGCCAACAGGCGATGTCGGATCTGTGCTAGTATTGTTGGGGTCCAGGCCGGCAGCAGTCATCCCAGCAGAAGCAACTGCGAGAGAGAAAGCAGATTGCTTCAGATTTCTGTCGACGAACGAGGAGTTTTTATAGGATTCTGGAAAGCAGATTCTTTAGCGCGGACATGCTTGTCTAGATCGAATCAGACACGATGATCAATGAGCTGGCTAGCTGCTTGACGGATCAAGAACCAAAAGCTTCGTGCTTCGGACTGCTATTTTGTGAATCTGATACTGAAACAACTGGCACGGCCAATCATTATTTCCACAACCTCTTTCATCGGTCTCTGAAATATATCAGTAGCTCAAAAGGTTGCCTGAAAAATGGTCTCTCAGGACCCACCTTTCGCTCCTTGTGGGAAGAGGCTCTGCAGGACTCGGAAAACGGAGTACACGCATGCCAGGTTTTTGTTCTCGTCCGTAAACTCGGAAGACGGTCGCCGGAGTTTGCTTCCCAAGAAGAGTCCCAGAGAATTCGGCGTGTACGCAACCCAGGCCTGACATAAAGGGAGAGGGATCCCCTTCAGCAATGATAGGACGAGGATATTTGGTCGAGATTACCCTGATCTTCCAATTCACGTGATGCTTATTGCCAGAATTTGAGAGGTCTTATCACGTTCCGTAAAGGTATCCGTCCACAAATTCACACTTCTTCACTCGCTATCCCGGAAGAGATTCTTCGGTCGAAGGAAGAAGAAGGGAATAGAAACTCTTGATTGAAGGGACTTTGTCTCGCATCTTGGTGGGCACCAGGAACAATTCGCGAGCGAGGTACTCTTTACTACAAAGAAAAGGAGTCCAGAAGAAAACAGATGTCTACACCAACCAGCAGCTTACCTCGTACAGAGCAATGTCGATCGCTCCCGTCACGCGCAGCAGCAGGGGCACTTCCAAGGTGGGGAGCACAGTCCGCACGGGGCCGAGAATCGTCAGGATGGTTGCGTAGTACGGGCGCGGTGCTGCTGGTGCCGGCGCCGGCTGTGGTGCTGGGCATGGTAAAGAGAAAGGACAGGTAGTCTCGATTCTACGAAGGGTTAAAGCGCATGAAGGGTAACGGCAACACCTAACTAAAAATCTAAACCCAATGGTTGCACGCTCCCCACCCGTACCCACCCTAACCCCCAAGCTAACCCTACCCGTTCCAGTTACCCTTCATGGACCTTTCCCTTCATGAACTCGAGCGGAATAGAAAGGACAGGTAGTCTCGATTAACTGTTGTGTTTCCGCTATGGTGAATTAAAACGTGCCCGGGGAGCGGGTGAGATTAGATTAAGGGGAGGGGTACGGAGCCTGTCGACTTTAGTCTTGGGTTTTCTGAGGCCGGGGAAGTTGATCGAAAGGCCTGCCGCCTAACTCCAAGCCTAATCGAGACTTGGGAAGGAAGATGTGGGCTGTATACGTAAGCAAATCTCTGTGTTTGAAACCTTTACCGGTGGAATCAGGAGCAGAGGTGTCGTGGAAGTGAAGAGGCCTTGTAGTGTAGGAGAGTAGAATAAGATCCAGGTCTGTAGAGCATATCTCTGGAACCAGCACATACTTCAAGGTATTGAAGTAGATCTGAACGAATGGTAGAAGCGGACAAAGGCAACTGATACTTGACGTGAGGTGACGAGAGATCGTGACGAGGGCACTAATAGCAGTACATGCTAGTACCATATGAGACACTCGAGCAGAGTTATTTGGTGGCTTTTGAAACTGTTGCACGGAGAGTGAGCAAACAAGACACAGCGGGACTGCGCTTTCCAGGCCAGTTGCATCCAGAGCAATCTCAATCCTAGCAAGCTAAGTTGCTCGAGGGTTGAAAACAGATGTTCAAGTAGACTACTAGCTGCTCTAGGGGTCACTTGCATCAAACTCACCCATCTGGTGAAGCTTTCTGTGGCTAGCCACAGTACTCGTAACTACCTCATCGGCAGAGACTGGTATGGCAGTGTTGCTCAAAAGGCACATTCCCGCCAGCAGGAAGAAGAGCAGAGTGGTGGAGGACTTTGAGGATCCCATCTTCATACAGAGAATTGGTGGCGGCTGCAAGGAAGAAAACAGTACTCGTTGGTTTACTTGAAAAGCTTGGTGCATTGCCGAACACTTCGCAATCTCTAGAGGTCTTTTCGCATTTGAAACTTTGGGTAATTGGTGAGAAAGAGTTTTTTTCGTTTACAGGCTGGCATTGATTGGAAGCAAGTAAAAGGGTCTCTAATTAAATCTAATAGATGGTTTTGGAGCATGTATGCGTGTCATACTTACCGAAAGCATTGCAGCCAACTTCTGAGAAAGGGACACTGCGACTAATTCAACCAATCCAGAGATTCTAAGGGAGTTAGAACTGCTTAACAAATAGCATTGGCATTGCATGCATGGTCCAGCAGAAACTGAATCAACTGATAGCATGACTACTCTCGAGGGCCCCAGTAGGCAAAATACAGCCATTGCTTACCTTGCAAACAATCACAACCACAGAGGAAGGTGATGTCTTGTTCTCGCCTGGCAATGCTGCAAGCAGCAGGCAAGTCGGCACCGCAAGCCAACTATGAAGCTATTCGTGACCCCTCACAAGTTTTCGCTACTTACCTTTGCCAATTGCGACACCCAGAATTTACTTCAGGGCTGATCAGGGTTGAGGGAGTCGGCACCAAGTCAGTAGGAGTCCCTGTGAAAGTGGACGTTGTGGAAGAGGCAGTCGTGAATGCAGTTGGGAAATTGGACCTTTGTGCGACGAGTTGACTGCACAAATAGAAGGAGGTGATCAACTGAGAACTGGATCTGGGTTGCTGGATCTTGGTTGCGGAGAATGAGCGCTTTCCAAGGCGGAAGCACTGAATCCCTTATGAGTCTTTGCTGAAAAGCTCGTCCGAGTGACTGTTACTCGAAGTGCTCGGAGATCCTGTAAGATTCTGAGGGTTTTGATTTCCTGCATGCAGGACTCCTGCTATACACTTCTCTGATGCACTGGTGATCTAGAATGCCCAAAAGTCGTTGTCAAGAATTGAAGTGCACTGCAAACAATCATCATTGGTCCTTAATCAGTACAGCACAGATTTCCAGTACAAAGGTTGCAGCTTCCTTGCTGATGTACCTAACTTACGGTACGTCTAGGTAGTATCATGTGTGACATCAGCTTGTTGACTTATTGACTTCTTGCTCGTCGAGAGAATGTGGCCCTGCGACGTTGTCCGTACTACGCTGTGGCCGGTAGTACGTCATATCGTGATTTGCCACCCCCCCCGAGCGGCGACTCGCGAGTCATACATAGAAGCCAATCATAGCGCATTAGGTCATACCTGATTGACGTCCATAATGACCATGACGTTGTAAGAAGCACGTGCAGGCTGGATATGTCGGATCGTGCCAAAGTGACCACTTTCCGACCGTCGATAGGGGTCAATAGGGATATGAACTGACTGAACCGGGATCTGGGGCCCGGTTGGAGCAATGATTGCATGATTGAAAATCATCCAATGAAGCTACGTCACTGTCGTACGTACAAATATTCGTTTGTCCTTAGTCAACAGAGCGGGCAGAGGCGCGGGGATCTTCGAAAGCTTCTCGTCGAATGAAATGCACGGTTCGCCTTATCTCCAGGACCTCCATCTATGTAGTTTTAAATTGTAGTTTTAGCTCGTAAAACTACATTTTGCTGATGTCAAAACTACATTCGCCTTACGTCATCAAATTTGTGGTCGCCGCGAAATAATACTATATTTTTTTAAAAAA